TTTCACTAAAAAATCGACAATCTTTTTGGAGCCTATTTTGGAAGCTGCATAAAGCGGTGTCCAAGCATAATTGTCAACGTGGTTGAGTTCGGCACCAAGTTTTACAAGACATTGGACAGTTGTTTCATGGCCTTGCCAGGAAGCTAGGTGAAGCGCTGTCCGGCCATTATCATCAGTGCGGTTGATTTCGGCTTGGTGTTTCACTAAACAATCGACAGCTTTTTCGTGGCCGTTATTGGCAGCTGCATAAAGTGGTGTCCGACCAAAATTATCAACGCGATTGATCTCGGCTCCGCATGTCACTAGGCATTCAACGGTTTTGTCGTGGCCTTCCGATGAAGCCATGTAAAGTGGTGTCCGACCATCTTTCGAAGAGCAATTGATTTCGGCCCCACATTTCACTAAGCAATGGACGGTTTCGACGTCGCCGTTGCAGGAAGCTAGGTGAAGCGGTGTCTTACCACCATTATCAGCGCGATTGATTTCGGACCCATGTGTCACTAGACATTCGACAATTTGTTTGTCACCGTTCCAGGAAGCTACGTGAAACGGTATCCAGCCAGCATTATCAGGGTGATTGACTTTTGACATTTGCAATTTTAATAAAAGATATGAAAAATTGTATTGTGTTTTTATTGTCCACCGATGTTTTAAAGTTATGATAAGCGTGATAGATGTTTAACCAAAATATATGTACTTATCCTCCCAAAAAACTGATGACGTCACCTTGAAATTTTGCTGAATAAATCCTATCTTAAATGTGACTTATCACTGCATTAATATTCTTTAGATTTGCTTATACGGGATGTAAAAATGGGGATTTACTTACCTTCGATCAATTTTTTGGTATTAGAATTTTTCGTTTTTCCTTTTTCTTCGATTTTAAATTTTCCATATCACAATTTTTCGTTTTTCATTTTCTTTCATTTTCAATTTTACAATTTTTCATTTTTCGTTTTTTCAGTTTCTCGTTTTTAAGTTTTCGTTTTTTCAATTTTTCGTTTCCTCAGTTTTTCAAGTTCTTTATTTTTGTTTTTCATAGTTTTGATTTTCTCGATTTTTCCTTTTTACATTTCCTCTATTTTTTCAATATTTCTTTTGATTTGATAATTTTAAAATTGAAAAATCGAAAAATTTAGAACCAATAAGAATGAATGATGAAAATGGAATAAAGATGGGTGGGAGGGACCCGTTTTTACTTTGTTTTAAATTTTAGATTCTACCGCTTGTTAAAATATGAGTTTAGGATTTTCTAAAGAGTTTTATAAGCCAGTAGTATTGAATATTATTCAGTCTTATCTTGGCAAGTACTAGCCCCGCCCACCCACCCTCTATTTCCTTAGAGGGTATGTGATTTGCCAAAATTAGTTTTATCTCGGCATGTACTAGGCCCGCCCACCCACCCTCTACCTTCTTAGAGGGTCTGTGATTTACTAAAATCAGTCTTATCTCAGCAAGTAGGTACTAAGAAGAAAAAAACATAAATAAAAATTGAAAAATTACAAATCCAAAAATTGAAGAAAGGAAAAATTGAAAAATCCAGAAAGTGAAAAATTATAAATTGAAAACTTGAGAAATTGCAAATAGAAAAATTGCAAAATCTGAAAACTGAAAATTGAAAAATCGGAAAATCGAGAAATTGAAAAATTTAAAAATGAAAATTCGAAGAGTCGCATATCTTAAAAATAAACAAAAAATTAAAAATTGAATAAGTGAAAAAAAAAATTACGAAAATGAAAAATCAAAAAATTGCAAAATATAAAAATTGAAGAAATCAAAATTTGGAAAATTGAAAATTTTAAACTTGAAAACTCGAAATATTTCAAGTTGAAAAAATGAAGAAAAAAATAAAAAATTGAATAATTAAAAAGTCGTGAAATTCTTCTTCAGAGCCAATAAGAATGAATGATGAAAATGGAATAAAGGTGCGTGGGAGTATTTTAAATCTTAGATTCTACCGCTTGTTAAAATATGAGTTTAGGTTTTTCTAAAGAGTTTTATAAGCGAGCAGTATTGAATATTATTCAGTCTTATCTTAGCAAGTACTAGTCCCGCCCACCCACCCTCTATTTTCTTAGAGGGTATGTGATTTGCCGAAATTAGTTTTATCTTAGCATGTACTAGGCCCACCCACCCACCCTCTACCTTCTTAGAGGGTATGTGATTTGCTAAAATCAGTCTTATCTTAGCAAGTACTAACAAAAAAAAATAAATAAAAATTGAAAAATTGCAAATCCAAAAATTGAAGAAACGAAAAATTGAAAAATTCAGAAAGTGAGAAATTAAAAATTAAAAACTTGAGAAATTGCAAACAGAAAAATTGCAAAATCTGAAAACTGAAAATCCAAAAATTGGAAAATCGAAATTTTGAAAAATTTAAAAATGAAAACTCGAAGAGTGACATATCTTAAAAATAAAAAAAAATGAAAAATTGAATAAGTGAAAAAATAACGAAAATGAAAATTCGAAAAATTGCAAAATATAAAAACTGAAGAAATCAAAATTTGGAAAATTGAAAATTTTAAACTTGAAGACTCGAAACATTTCAAATTGAAAAAATGAAGAAAAAAAATAAAAAAATGAAAAATTGAAAAAGTGAATAATTAAAAAGTGAAATTTTTTCTTCAGAACCAATAAGAATGAATGATGAAAATGGAATAAAGGTGGGTGAGAGAGGTCCCTTTTCACTTTGTTTTAAATCTTAGACTCTACCGCTTGTTACAATAGAATTCAATTAACATTTTACAGTAAATAAAATAAGTCATGAAATGCAGACAAGAAGTGAGCGGAGCTGAGTTTAGGTTTTTCTAAAGAGTTTTATAAGCAAGTAGTCGCCCCGCCCACCCCCTCTATATTTTCTGAGAGGGTACATGATTTGCCAAAATTAGTTTTATCTTAGCATGTACTAGGCCCGCCCACCCACCCTCTACTTTCTTAGAGGGTATGTGATTTGCTAAAATCACTCTTATCTTAGCAAGTACTAACAAAAAAATAAATAAATAAATAAAAATTGAAAAATTACAAATCCAAAAATTAAAGAAAGGAAAAATTGAAAAATTCAGAAAGTGAGAAATTAAAAATTAAAAACTTGAGAAATTGCAAATAGAAAAATTGCAAAATCTGAAAACTGAAAATCGAAAAATTGGAAAACCGAAAAATCGAAAAATTTAAAAATGTAAACTCGAAGAGTCGCATATCTTAAAAATAAAAAAAAAAATAAAAATTGAATAAGTGAAAAAATTACGAAAATAAAAAATCGAAAAATTGCAAAATATAAAAATTGAAAAAATCAAAATTTGGAAAATTGAAAATTTTAAACTTGAAAACTCGAAACATTTCAAATTGAAAAAAATGAAAAAAAAAATAAAAAATTGAAAAATTGAACAATTAAAATGTGAAATTCTTTCTTCAGAGCCAATAAGAATGAATGATGAAAATGGAATAAGGGTGGGTGGGAGGGGCACCTTTTACTTTATTTTAAATCTCAGATTCTACCGCTTGTTAAAATAGAATTCAATTCACATTTTACAGTAAATAAAATAAGTCAGTGGAATGGAGACTAGAAGTGGGCGGAGCTGAGTTTAGGTTTTTCTAAAGAGTTTTATAAGTAAGTAGTAGCCCCGCCCACCGGCCCCTCTTAATTCCAGTGGCTACTGTTAATATTATTCAGCCTTATCTTGGCAAGTAATAGCCCCGCCCACCCACCCCCTATTTTTTTAGAGGGTATGCGATTCGCCAAAATTAGTTTTATCTTAGCATATACTAGGCCCGCCCACCCACCCTCTACTTTCTTAGAGGGTATGTGATGTGCTAAAATCAGAATTATCTTAGCAAGTACTAACAAAAAAAATAAATAAATAAAAATTGAAAAATTGCAATTCCAAAAATTTAAGAAACGAAAAATTGAAAAACTTGAGAAATTGCAAACAGAAAAATAGCAAAATCTGAAAATTGAATAATAGGGAAACTGAAAAATTTTAAAATGAAAACTCGAAGAATCGCATTATCATAAAAATGGAAAAACGAAAAAAAATTAAAAATTGGAAAAGCAAAAAAATAAAATCGAATAAGTGAAAAAAATCACGAAAATAATAAACTCAAAAATTGCAAAATATAAAAACTTAAAAACCAAAAGTTGGAAAACTGAAAATTTTAAAATTGAAGACTGGAAACATTTCAAATCGAAAGAATGAAGAAAAAAAATGAAAAATTGAAGAATGGACAAATTCAAGCAAAAAATTGAGGCTTGGCAAGTTCTGTCGAAATAATCTTGGACCAATTTTGATTACTAATTTTGGAATATTGGTTGCTTTTGATTTTTTGTGACAAAAAATGCAAACGATTCACTTATTATTAAATAAAAAAGACCTGTTTTGGACTTTGAAATGGGAGAATAGGACACAGAAATAGGGTGACTAAAAAGAAACTAAATAGCATGTTATTATCTATACATTACATATACTAATTTCGTTGAAATATATACATACAACTTTACTTATAAATAAAAAAATTAAAATTAAAGTAAAAATTACCATGATGCGAAGCAAAATCATCTTAATAGAAGTTTTGATTCTCACAAGCAATAAGCGAATTTGATTAGGAGATTTCCTTCGCATCGTAGTTTATAGTTATTTCGAGAAACAAGAGTACATCCCTAATGGGTATTATAGTGATATGACTAATTAATATTATACACCGTTCACTTTTAAAAGACCTGGATCAGGGAAACTATTTCCAATTTCTTATAATTATTGTAAAATAAAATATGATTTTGAAAGGTGATTTTCTAAAAGTTATCTTCAGATATGCTCAACACGCAGAAACTCCTAATTTCACTGAAAATATTTTGCTCACACTCAAACAGTGCACCATTCAAAATTTTTTTCTTCTTGTCCAAGAAACCAAAAAGGTACAAATTACCATGTTCTGAAATTGATGAAATAAACATTCTTTTTAAAGTTTTTTGCAAAAATAGTAAAATCTGATTCATAAACCAAGTGTGTTAATTTTTAAAAATTTAAAAATAATTTATTATGAAATGACGTAATCAAGGTTCAGTTATTAGTTATAAGTTCCAGTTTTTTTGGCGAATTTTTCATTTAAAAAGTTTACAATTTTAGTATGATTCATAAAAATGGCGATATCAAGCGGTGTGAAACCATTTTTAGAAATGAAATTGATTTCGGCTCCATATTTGATTAGGCATTCGACAATCATTTCGTGACCATTCAAGCATGCTAGGTGAAGTGGTGTCCGATCGTCATCATTAGCCCGGTTGATTTCGGCTCCGAATTTGACTAAACATTCGACAATTTTGTGGTGACCGTTCCAAGAAGCTACGTGAAGCGGTGTCAAACCGTCATTGTCAACGCGATTGATTTCGGCTCCACATTTCACTAGACATTCGACAAGTTTTTCACGATTCTTCAAGGAAGCCACGTGAAGCAATGTGTGGCCATCTTTATTAGTGCGATTGATATCGCCTCCGTGTTTGACTAGACATTTGACAACTTTTTCGTGGAGGTTGAACGAAGCTAAGTAAAGAGGTGTCTCGTCGTTTTTACTAGGACGATTGATGTCGGCTCCCGATGTCAATAGGCATTCGACGGTTTTGAGGTGACCCATCCGGGAAGCTACATGAAGCGGTGTCCAACCATCATTGTCAGTTAGATTGATTTCGGCTCCGGATTTCACTAAAAAATCGACAATCTTTTTGGAGCCTATTTTGGAAGCTGCATACAGTGGTGTCCAAGCATAATTGTCAACGTGGTTGAGTTCGGCGCCAAGTTTTACAAGACATTGGACAGTTGTTTCATGGCCTTGCCAGGGAGCTAGGTGGAGCGCTGTCCGGCCATTATCATCAGTGCGGTTGATTTTGGCTTGGTGTTTCACTAGACATTCGACAACTTTTTCGTGGCCGTTATTGGCAGCTGCATAAAGTGGTGTCCGACCAAAATTATCAACGCGATTGATCTCGGCTCCGCATGTCACTAGGCATTCAACGGTTTTGTCGTGGCCTTCCGATGAAGCCATGTAAAGTGGTGTCCGACCATCTTTCGAAGAGCAATTGATTTCGGCCCCACATTTCACTAAGCAATGGACGGTTTCGACGTCGCCGTTGCAGGAAGCTAGGTGAAGCGGTGTCTTACCACCATTATCAGCGCGATTGATTTCGGACCCATGTGTCACTAGACATTCGACAATTTGTTTGTCACCGTTCCAGGAAGCTACGTGAAACGGTATCCAGCCAGCATTATCAGGGTGGTTGACTTTTGACATTTGCAATTTTAATAAAAGATATGAAAAATTGTATTGTGTTTTTATTGTCCACCGATATTTTAAAGTTATGAAAAGCGTGATAGATGTTTAACCAAAATATATGTACTTATCCTCCCAAAAAACTGATGACGTCACCTTGAAATTTTGCTGAATAAATCCTATCTTAAATGTGACTTATCACTGCATTAATATTCTTTAGATTTGCTTATACGGAATGTAAAAATGTGGATTTACTTACCTTCGATCAATTTTTTGGTATTAGAATTTTTCGTTTTTCCTTTTTCTTCGATTTTAAATTTTCCATATCACAATTGTTCGTTTTTCATTTTCTTTCATTCTCAATTTTTCGATTTTACAATTTTTCATTTTTCGATTTTTCAGTTTCTTGTTTTTAATGTTTCGTTTTTTCAATTTTTCGTTTCCGCAGTTTTTCAAGTTCTTTGTTTTTGTTTTTCATAGTTTTGATTTTCTCGATTTCGTATCACAATTTTTCCTTTTTACATTTCCTCTATTTTTTCAATATTTCTTTTGATTTGATAGTTTTAAAATTGAAAAATCGAAAAATTTAGAACCAATAAGAATGAATGATGAAAATGCAATAAAGGTGGGTGGGAGGGACCCGTTTTTACTTTGTTTTAAATTTTAGATTCCACCGCTTCTTAAAATATGAGTTTAGGTTTTTGTAAAGAGTTTTATTGAATATTATTCCGTCTTACCTTGGCAAGTACTAGCCCCGCCCACCCACCCTCTATTTCCTTAGAGGGTATGTGATTTTCCAAAATTAGTTTTATCTTGGCATGTACTAGGCCCGCCCACCCACCCTCTACCTTCTTAGAGGGTCTGTGATTTGCTAAAATCAGTCTTATCTTAGCAAGTAGGTACTAAGAAAAAAAAATAAATAAAAATTGAAAAACTGCAAATCCAAAAATTGAAAAGAAGGAATTGAAAAATTCAGAAAGTGAAAATTTAAAAATTGAAAACTTGAGAAATTGCAAATACAAAAATAGCAAAATCTGAAAACTGGAAATCCAAAAATCGGAAAATCGAAAAATTGAAAAATTTAAAAATGAAAACTCGAGTCGCATATCTTAAAAATAAAAAAAACTGAAAAATTGAATAAGTGAAAAAACAACAAAAATGAAAAACCGAAAAATTGCAACATATAAAAATTGAAAAAATCAAAATTTGGAAAATTGAAAATTTTACACTTGAAAACTTGAAATATTTCAAATTGAAAACAATGAAGAAAAAAAAATAAAAAATTGAAAAATTGAACAATTAAAATGTCGTGAAATTCTTTCTTCAGAGTCAATAAAAATGAATGATGAAAATGGAATCAGGGTGGGTGGGAGGGGCCCCTTCTACTTTGTTTTAAATTTTAGATTCTATCGCTTGTTAAAATAGAATTCAATTACAGTAAATAAAATAAGTCAGTCAAATGCAGACAAGAAGTAGGCGGAGCTGCGTTTAGGTTTTTCTAGAGTTTGATAAGCAATTAGTAGCCCCACCCACCGCCCCGTCCTCATGCCAGTGGCTACTGTTACTATTATTCAACCTTATCTTGGCAAGTACTAGCCCCACCTCTACTTTTTTAGAGGGTATGTGATTGCCAAAATTAGTTTTACCATAGCATGTACTAGGCCCGCCCACCCACCATCTACTTTCTTAGAGGGTATGTGATTTGCTAAAATCAGTCTTATCTTAGCAAGTGCTAACAAAAAAAATATAAATAAATAAATAAAAATTGAAAAATTGAAAATTCAAAAATTGAAGAAACAAAAAATTGAAAAATCCAGAAAGTGAGAAATTAAAAATTAAAAACTTGAGAAATTGCAAATAGAAATATTGAAAATCTGAAAACTGCAAATCGAAAAATTGGAAAATCGAAAAACTGAAAAATTTTAAAATGAAAACTCGAAGAGTCGCATTATCATAAAAATGAAAAAACGAAAAAAATGAAAAATTTAAAAATTGCAAATCGAAAAATTGAAGAAACGAGAAACTGAAAATATTAAAATTGAAAATGCAAAAAAATAAAATGGAATAACTGAAAAAATAACGAAAAAAAAACTGAAAAATTACGAAATATAAAAACTGAAAAAAATCAAAATTTGGAAAATTGAACATTTTAAACTTGAAAACTCGAAACATTTCAAATTGAAAAAAATGAAGAAAAAAAAATTGAAAAATTGAATAATTAAAAAATTCGTGAAATTTTTTCTTCATATCCAAAAAGAATGAATGATGAAAATGGAATAAGGGTGGGTGGGAGGGGCCCCTTTTTACTTTGTTTTAAATTTTAGATTCTACCCCTTGCTAAAATAGAATTCAATTCACATTTTACAGTAAAAAAATAAGTCAGTGAAATGGAGACTAGAAGTGGGCGGAGCTCAGATTAGGTTTTCCTAAAGAGTTTTATAAGCAAGTAGTAGCCCCGCCCACCGCTCCCTCTTCATTCCAGTGGCTACTCTTACTATTATTCAACCTTATCTTGGCAAGTAGTAGCCCCGCCTACCCACCCTCTATTTTTTTAGAGGGTATGTGATTTGCCAAAATTAGTTTTATCTTAGCATGTACTAGGCCCGCCCACCCACCCTCTACTTTCGTGGAGGATATGTGATTTGCTAAAATCAGTCTTATCTTAGCATGTACTAACAAAAAAATAAATAAATAAAAATTGAAAAATTACAAATCCAAAAATTGAAGAAACGAAAAATCGAAAAATTCAGAGAGTGAGAAATTAAAAATTAAAAACTTGAGAAATTGCAAATAGAAAAATTGCAAAATCTGAAAACTGAAATTCCAAAAATCGGAAAATCGAAAAATTGAAAAATTTAAAAATGAAAACTCGAAGAGTCGTATGTCTTAAAAATAAAAAAAAATGAAAAACTGAATAAGTGAAAAAATAACGAAAATGAAAGACGGAAAAATTGCAAAATATCAAAATTTGGAAAATTGAAAATTTTAAACTTGAAAACTCGAAACATTTCAAATTGAAAAATGAAGGAAAAAAAATAAAAATTGAAAAATTGAAAAATTGAATGATTAAAAAGTCGTGAAAATCTCTCTTCATAGCCAATAAGAATGAATGATGAAAATGGAATAAGGGTGGGTGGGAGGAAGCCTTTTTACTTTGTTTTAAATCTTAGATTCTACCGCTTGTTAAAATAGAATTCAATTCATATTTTACAGTAAATAAAATAAGTTAGTGAAATGGAGACAAGAAGTGGGTGGAGCTGAGTTTAGGTTTTTCTAAAGAGTTTTATAAGTAAGTAGTAGCCCCGCCCACCACCCCCTCTTCATTCCAGTGGCTACTCTTACTATTATTCAACGTTATATTGGCAAGTACTAACAAAAATAAATAAATAAATAAATAAAAATTGAAAAATTGCAAATCCAAAAATTGAAGAAACGAAAAATTGAAAAATTTTAAAATGAAAACTCAGAGTCGCATGTCTTAAAAATAAAAAAAATGAAAAATTGAATAAGTGAAAAAATAACGAAAAGAAAAAAAGAAAAAGAAGTGGGCGGAGCTGAGTTTAGGTTTTTCTAAAGAGTTTTATAAGCAAGTATTAGCCCCGCCCACCGCCCCCTCTTCATTCCAGTGGCTACTCTTACTATTATTCAACCTTATCTTGGCAAGTACTAGCCCCGCCCAACCACACTCTGTTTTCTTAGAGGGTATGTGATTTGCAAAAATTAGTTCTATCTTGGCATGTATTAGGCCCGCCCACCCACCCTCTTCCTTCTTAGAGAGTATGTGATTTGCTAAAATCAGTCTTATCTTAGCAAGTACTAACAAAAAAAAAATTAAAATCGAAAAATTGCAAATCCAAAAATTGAAAAAACGGAAAATTGAAAAATCCAGAAAATGAGGAATTGAAAATTAAAAACGTGAGAAATTGCAAATCGAAAAAATGAATAAAGGAGAAACTGAAAAAATTAAAATTGAAAAAGCAAAAAAATAAAATCGAATAAGTGAAAAAATAACGAAAATAAAAACTGAATAATAAAAAATATAAAAACTGAAAAAACCAAAATTTGGAAAACTGAAAATTTTAAACTTGAAAATTCGAAAGATTGAAGAAAAAAAACGAAAAATTGAAGAATTGCCAAATTCAAGCAAAAAATTGAGGCGTGGGAAGTTGTGTCGAAATAATCTTGGACCAATTTTGATTATTAATTTTGGGATATTGGTTCCTTTTGATTTTTTGGACTTCGAAATGGGAGAATAGGACACAGAAATAGGGTGACTAAAAAGAAACCAAATAGCATGTTATTATCTATACATTACATATACTAATTTCGTTGAAATACATACAACTTTACTAATAAATAAAAAAATAAAATTAAACAAAAATTACAATGATGCGAAGGAAAATCATCTTAACAGAAGTTGAATAATGTTTTGATTCTCACAAGCAATAAGCGAATTTGATCAAGGAGATTTCCTTCCCATCATAGTTTATAGTTAAGTATTTCGAAAAATAAGTGTACCTAATGGGTATTATAGTGATACGACTAATTAATGTTATAGACCGCTCACTTTTTAAAGACTTGGATTAGGGAAGCTATTTCCAATTTCTTATAATTGTAAAATAAAAAATGATTTTGAAAGGTGATTTTGTAAAAGTTATCTTCAGATATGCTCAACACGCAGAAACTCCCAATATTCCACTGAAAATATTTTGCTCACACTCAAATAGTGCACCATTCAAAATTTTTTCTTCTTGTCCAAGAAACCAAAAAGGTACAAATTACCATGTTCTGAAATTGATGAAATAAACATTCTTTTTAAAGTTTTTTGCAAAAATAGTAAAATCTGATTCATAAACCAAGTGTGTTAATTTTTAAAAATTTAAAAATAATTTATTATGAAATGACGTAATCAAGGTTCAGTTATTAGTTATAAGTTCCAGTTTTTTTGGCGAATTTTTCATTTAAAAAGTTTACAATTTTAGTATGATTCATAAAAATGGCGATATCAAGCGGTGTGAAACCATTTTTAGAAATGAAATTGATTTCGGCTCCATATTTGATTAGGCATTCGACAATAATTTCGTGGCCATTCAAGCATGCTAGGTGAAGTGGTGTCCGATCGTCATCATTAGCCCGGTTGATTTCGGCTCCGCATTTGACTAAACATTCGACAATTTTGTGGTGACCGTTCCAAGAAGCTACGTGAAGCGGTGTCAAACCGTCATTGTCAACGCGATTGATTTCGGCTCCACATTTCACTAGACATTCGACAAGTTTTTCACGATTCTTCAAGGAAGCCACGTGAAGCAATGTGTGGCCATCTTTATTAGTGCGATTGATATCGCCTCCGTGTTTGACTAGACATTTGACAACTTTTTCGTGGACGTTGAACGAAGCTAAGTAAAGAGGTGTCTCGTCGTTTTTACTAGGACGATTGATGTCGGCTCCCGATGTCAACAGGCATTCGACGGTTTTGAGGTGACCCATCCGGGAAGCTACATGAAGCGGTGTCCAACCATCATTGTCAGTTAGATTGATTTCGGCTCCGGATTTCACTAAAAAATCGACAATCTTTTTGGAGCCTATTTTGGAAGCTGCATAAAGCGGTGTCCAAGCATAATTGTCAACGTGGTTGAGTTCGGCGCCAAGTTTTACAAGACATTGGACAGTTCTTTCATGGCCTTGCCAGGAAGCTAGGTGAAGCGCTGTCCGGCCATTATCATCAGTGCGGTTGATTTCGGCTTGGTGTTTCACTAGACAATCGACAGCTTTTTCGTGGCCGTTATTGGCAGCTGCATAAAGTGGTGTCCGACCAAAATTATCAACGCGATTGATCTCAGCTCCGCATGTCACTAGGCATTCAACGGTTTTGTCGTGGCCTTCCGATGAAGCCATGTAGAGTGGTGTCCGACCATCTTTCGAAGAGCAATTGATTTCGGCCCCACATTTCACTAAGCAATGGACGGTTTCGACGTCGCCGTTGCAGGAAGCTAGGTGAAGCGGTGTCTTACCACCATTATCAGCGCGATTGATTTCGGACCCATGTGTCACTAGATATTCGACAATTTGTTTGTCACCGTTCCAGGAAGCTACGTGAAGCGGTATCCACCCGGCATTATCAGGGTGGTTGACTTCGGCTCCGGATTTCACCAGACACTCGACAGTTTTCTTGTGGCCGTTCGAAGCAGCTGCGTAAAGTGCTGTCCAACCATGATTATCAACGTTGTTGATTGTGGCTCCACATTTGACCAAACATTCGACTGTTTTTTCGTGGCCGTTTGCGGCCGCTGCGTAAATCGGTGTCCGCCCATAGTTATGAACGCGATTAATTTCGGCCCCGCATTTCACCAAACATTCGACCATTTTTTCGCTTCCGTTGGAAGAAGCCGCGTAAAGTGGTGTCTCACCGTAATCATCAGGACGATTGATTTCGGCCCCGCATTTGGTTAGACACTCGACAGTTTTTTCGTGGCCTTTTGACGAAGCTGCGTAAATTGGTGTCCACCCGTAATTATCAGAGCTGCTGATTTCAGCTCCGTGTTTCATTAGACATCTGACAATGGTTTCGTAACCGTTTGAGGCAGCTGCATGAAGTGGTGTCTGACCATCAACAGAAGAGTCGTTGATTTTGGCCCCGCATTCCGCTAGACATTCAACAACTTTTTCGTGGCCATTGAAGGAAGCTAAGTAAAGTGGTGTCCGATCATATTGATCCGAGCAATTGATTTTGGCCCCGTGTTTCAGTAGACATACTACAACTTTTTGATGGTCGTTTTTCGCAGCGACGTATAGCGGTGTGAGACCATGATAATTAGCGCGATTGATTTCTGCTCCAGATTTCATTAAGCATTCAACAATTTCTTCATGGCCGTTCGAGCAAGCTGCATAAAGAGGCGTCTGGCCATTTTGATCAGCACAATTGACTTTTGAGCCGAGTTGCAACAAATGTTCAACTATCGCTGTGTGGCCATTTGCGGACGCTACCATAAGGGCTGTGAGACCAGACCGTTCAAAACTAAAATTGACTTCATCGTAATAACCATTTAATTGCTTAGTACAAACAATTTTAATTGCTTTGTCATAACCGAACAGAGTAGAATAAAACAAAATATTAATTCTATCACACTGATTATATAGATGTTCTGGCTTAAACTTTTCTGACTGTAACAATTCCAATTCCGCACCTAAACTTTCACTGACTATAGCAAATGACAACGGCGTCATTTTAAATAGTCCATCCGGTTCTGAAGTACTACATTTTTTTAACAAATGTTGCACTCCTTCTAAATATTCCCTTGTTTCTAATTCCCTTTTGGAAACTTCATCGCAATCATCGAGAGTGTATCTCACACTAGATATCGTTTTCGACAAAGACATTTTTTTGGGCAAAGTGGAAATATAATTCGAAAATTTTTTATTTTTTTTGGAACTTGTTAGTGTTAGGCGTGGATATCTTTTTCCCCACGAGCACATTAAATGTAGAACACTTCTTCCACCGTCGTCTTTACACCCCAATATTTCTTCATTATTTATTTCTAGGGTGTCAAAGTTCCTATACAAGACTGCAGTGTGAAGTGGCGAGTTTTTTGCCAACAACATGTCAAAGAAAAATCGTACGTTGTCAAATTTCCGTTCAAAAAATCTATCCTGAGGAATAAGCTTAAAATTCTTCGCAAAATATGCGGCAGCCAAATATTCCGCAAAAGACGTATGTATAAAAACCGGTGCGTTATTTTGTATGCTAGTTATAATACCTATGGCTATATAATCGTCTATATCTTCTTGACAGTTGGTAGTCAGACAGTCCGAGAATAATAACCCAACTGCAACTTCTTCATAATGGTTTAAGATTTTTTCTTTATCTCTGTTAAACATACGCTTCAAATAAGGATCCTGAACGTCAAGCGACAATTTATTTTGATAAAAAATGTTGAATTTTTCTTCAATGAAGTGATGATATAAATCGGTCAAGCGCCAACAATCGCCAAACAATTGTAAATATTTGTCGTTATTTCGAAGAACTATTTCTGTAAGCATGAAAATCTGAAGTGGAATTCCTAAGATATCTATGTGTTTAATCAAAGCAAAACTAGAGATAACTTTTCGAACAGCACTTTCTATGTTGTTAGTTGAAATAATAGGATTAAGACGTTTTCTAATATAATCTTGTTGCTCGAGCTCATTTAACTGATTTATACTCAACGAAAGTGTGTTAAATTTTTTTTCGAGCAACGATTTCAAGTGTTTTCTACCAGTAACCCATTGTGTGAAACCTTTATTTGATAACAGAACAATCAAATCTGACACGTCTTTCAAATATTCGGTAGAAATTTCATCAAGAGCGTCCCACACGTAACAAACACGAAATTGCTCAGAACACATTTTAAAAAATTCTTTATCGAACTTTTCAAGGTAGTGATACTTTTTCTCTAAGATAAATGTTTGGAATAAATTAAGGTAATCAGACTTTTTAGATTTTTTAAAGAATAAATTAGCTTCTTGAGGGCTGACAATTACTGTCCAGTATTTAGCAGAACACTTATTTTTTAAGCTTTTTGTTAGTTCGGTTTTACCCATCCCTGGATCAGCTAACACTAAACTAATGCTGTTGCTAAAGTCGAAAGTCCAAAACTCGTTTTCATTTTTAGAATGATCAGATAATTTGTAATTTTGCAATTCTCCTACACTCCCTCTGCTTCGTACCCATTCTAAATTTGTATTTTTAAGAAATTTAAAATAATGTACGATCTTGGTTTTTGGTGTTTTGGAGCATATTTTCTGAAATTCAGATTCGCTGCATTTATTTTCACTTATAATGAAAATTGGAGCATTGGAAGTTGTACACTCTGCGTTATTTAAGTAATCATCGAATTTTGTTAGTTTAATTTTTGTAAATTTTTGTATTACTTTCGAACTGTCTGCGCAACTTAGAATAACTACGGTATTATGATTAAGTTGTTTTAAATAATTAATGTCTATCACATTTAACGACAAGTACCTTTCAATATAAGGATTGGGGAGAGCTTCTTTTATCCCGTCTATGGGACGTGCGCCGTCCATCATTTCTAAAAGATTATTTACACTAATATTCTTCAAGAATTCTTCATTTCCTCCACACGCGTCCATCAGAGTAAGTACTGCTTTCCCTTGCAAGGAAACGGTACAATTCTGCATCACTTTTTCATATACAGTATGTTCGGATTTCAAGTCCAACAGGTTCTGGAACACGGAACGACCTCTCATCCATTCTTTCCATGTTCCTTCACCAACCAAAACGAATTTTCCATCGGGACAAAGTTGAACGGCTTTTTCTATATTTTCGTGCTCTTTTACAATCAGCGGACGTTTCTCCATCAACCACAACAACTGTGCTAACACATTTCCATCTACATCTTCCATCCGAAATATACAATTAGGAGAAAGACGATAAAATGATCTCAGTTTGTTTAGTTCTTTGATGTCAATATTCTTGTCCAAGTCGCCCCACAACCATTTCTTCACATCGCACTCCACGTTTTCCAACAGCGTAATTTCAAATGGACGAATTGCTTCTCGAAGAATTTCCCCTTTGTCGCTGACTTCTCCAAAAGCAAAATTTTCGATGTACGGAGACAACAGACAAAGTGCAACTGCACGTTGCATCATCTTCTTTTCTAACTTCTTTTTCGATCCTTCTTGCATATCCCACTCAGATATAATCTTCAGATATTTTTCGAACGTTTCTTGATTCGAACAGAACATCTTCACGAAGTCATTCGCTGTTGAATTTTCAAGCGTTTCGAGACTTTGTTGGTCAGAATAAAGACTAAAACTTTCAAGAAATGCCTTAAACTGTTGAAGTTCTGAATCAACTTCTCCTTCGTTTTCTACAATTCGAAATTTATAACAGTAATTTATGTGTTGAGAAAGTTTCAAACTATCATCAGCAATTTCTATTTTATAAGGTTCCAAGCAAACATTTTTTCCGCCTAGTTGAAATTGTGTGTCTTCGAATATGTTTAATTTAAGGTTCGTGAACAGAATACATTGTTGTGGTTTTTTCTTTATCTCTTGGAACGACTTAAAATATTTTAGGATACTAAAATCTCCGCTTTTGCTTGCTAGTCGTGCTATAACTAAATTTCCTGGTTTATTGCTGTGTTTTAACTGTGCGGCTATTGATTGGATTCCCTTATCTGTCTCCACTTCAATGACCACATCATCGAAAGCTCCAAAATTTGCATCGTTCGACGAAACGTAGAAGTTTTTTACTTTTTCGGTGCTTACCATGTGAAGTACGATGTTGGCGATTATCATATTTTCGTACTTCTTTCCTTTGTTTGTTGTTCCAGATCTTTTGCGAAAATTCTAAAACGTAATAAAAAAATGTAAATGAATTAATTGTATTTATCGAAAAAGAATACTTTTGTACTCTTTCGACTTAGATGGGGTTATTATAAACTACAAAGCTTAATACCTTTTTCGTCGACGATGCATTTCGTTGAGGTTGTAAATTTTCTTGTAAACTTTCGGTTTTGTCCTCCATGGTGATAATTACGTGTTAAAAACAATCGTGTCCTATTTCCCGAAAGAAGCATAATGAAATGCCCGTTAATTTAATGTTATTTTACTTACCTAAGCGTCTAACTTTTCTCTCTTCTGATATGTTTCACATGAATTTGTAGGGTCCACATTCTATAACTTCGCCACTTAAACTATGAATCCGTGAGTTCACGGTTTGACTGGCTGTTACTTTTGGAGTTGTTCTATTTAAAATCATTTTTGTTAATGCTCTATTGATGTTTTAGTGACTGTTATCAGCGTTGAAATGCGGTGTTTGTGTTATCAAACCACTTGAGATTTCCCAACAGTGTGCACATTTATTTGACGCAAAAGATAAACTAGCATCAAAATAGTTCTGAAATTTTTCCAGCTTTTCTTATATTTTTCTTTTGATTTAAAGAGTAATTAATCCAGCGCTGAATGAATTACATTTAAAAAGCATGACTTAATATACTTGCTTTCAGCACATCATTGTATCACTATAAATAAAAATTATCTCTTTATCGAGTTCAAATTAATCTGTTAGCTTTAAAATTGGAAAATTTATTTTTCGCATGTCTGTCAAGGTCAATGTGGTAATGACTCGAGTATTTCAGTGAAGTACATCAAAACTTTATAAAATTTGCTTTGGTTTTTGTTGTTTCTTATCGAGTTTGATAGATCAATCATTCTTTTGGTACAAGATCATTTTTTTTTAACGTTGGATGTATAAAACAAGTTACCGAAAAGTTTAATTATGAAGTAGGTACATAAAGTGCTTTAAAACGTCCCTGTTTTCAGGAATTTCGTGAAAAATTTCCTCTTCTCGAAGCTAATTTTTTAAGGATAAAGTTAATTCGAAAGACAGGTAGCATTTAGAGGAAGTCTTAATTTTGAATAAAGTCCTCTAATACAAAGTTTCTTTTTATAGATTTCAACGAAGAGGCGTGGGAAGAAATAGAGAGTTTCAAAGTGGGGGAAAAGCAAGAGAAGAAAATACAAAAAAACTAATTTTTTTTTTATTTTTTGTAATTTTTAATTTTTAACTTTTCGATTTCCCGATTTTTGATGTCTCGAATTTTCCATTTCTCTATTTTTCGATGGTTTACTTTTTCAATTTTTCGGTTTTCAAGTTTTATATTTTCCGATATTTCGATTTGTCAATTTTTGGGTTTCTAAATTTTTCCCGATTTCAGAATTTTTTAATTTCTCGATGTTTTAGTTCCATTTCAATTATTTAAATTTTAAATTTTTCGATTTCTCGATTTTTCGATTTTTCAATATTTCTATTCATTTTTCCAATTTTTTTTTTCGACTTCAGAGCTTTTAATTTTTCAGTTTTCAATTTTTCGATTTTTTTTAAATTTTTGATTTTTTAGTTTTCGATTTTTCACTGTTTCGCTTTCTCTATTTATCGATTCTTTTTTAGTTCTACATTTTTTAATTTTTGGATGTTTTTTGAATTGAGAAATCGAAATAGGCCAAAGTCGAAAAAGTACAAAAATCGACACATCGAAAAATCCAGAAGTTGAAAAGTCGAAAACTCGAAATATTGAAAAATCCCTAGACTGGAATATCGAAAAGCTGAAAAGTGAAAAAAAAAAACTGAGGAATTGAAACACTGAGAATCTAAAAAATTTAAACCAAAATCGAAAAATTGAAGAATTGAAGAAATGGAAAATCAAAACAGTGGGAAGTCAAGAAATGGTAAAATCAAAACATCGATTAATTGAACAGCGAAAAGTTGAGAATTTAGAAAAGTCAAAATTTGAAAAATCGAAATACATATTGAAAAATCGTAAAACTGAAACATGGGAAAATTGAAAATCGAGAAATTGAATAATAAATAATCTGAAAAATCCCAAACCGAAAAACGAAAGAAAGACTGAAGAATGGAAATACTGAGAAATAAAAAAACATGAAAAAAAAGTGGGTTGTAGAGAAAAGCAAGAGAAAAATTAAGAAAATGGAAAAATAACAGAGGAAGGAAAGAAGAGTACTTAAAAGCAAGACAGAATCGAAATCATCAAACATCGAAAAACTGGAAAATCCAAAAACCGAGAAATCGAAAAATCAAAAAATCAAGAAATCGTGGAGTCGAAAAGTCGAACAATAGAGAAACCGAAATAGGCCAAAATCGAAAAATCGAAAAGTTAAAAATTGAACAATTTATAAATTGAGAAACTGACAATCAAAATGTGGAAAAATCCAAACCTCGATAAATCGAAAAATTAAAAAACTTAAAAATTCGAAAAATTGAAAAATTGAAATCAAAAGAACGAGAAATCGGAAAGTAATGAAGTCGAAAAATCGAAAAACAGAGAAATCGACAAACAAAAAGTTAAAAGTTGAAAAATTGGAAAAGCGGAAAAATCAGAAAATGAAAAAATGGAAAACTGGATAAACTGAGAAACCGAAATGTGCCAAAATAAAAAGTTGAAAACTGATAAATCGAAAACCTGAACAATCAAATCTCGATAAATCGGAAATGAAAAATTAACAAACCGAAAAATTGAAAAACAACATCTTAAACCAGGAGATCGAAAAATCGAAAAATTAAGAAATATTGAAAAATTAAAATATCAGAAGTTTGAAAAATCTAAAATTTATAAATCCAAAAATTGAAAAATCGAGAAGTCCAGAAGTCAAAAATAGAAAAGCCGAAGAATTGAAATATTGAAAAATCCTAAAACTGAAATATCTAAAAACTGAAAAATCGAAAAATCAAAAAAGTGAAGTCGAAAAATAGAAACCTTGAAAATTCGAAAAATCGAAAAATCAAAAACCTGAAAAATCAAAAAATTAAACAATTGAACAGGAAAATCGAAAGGTCAAGAAATGGGACAATCAAAACATTGATTAATTGAAAAAGCGAAAAATTGAGAGTTTATGAAAGTCAAATTTGAAAAATTAAAAAATCGAAAATTTGACAAAATGACAATTCAAAAACAGAAAATCTAAAACCAGGAAGCCGAAAAATCAAAAGATTAAGAAATCGAAACATTTGCAAAATATCGAAGAACTGAACTGAAAAATCGAGAAATCGAAAAATCTAAAATTTTAAAAATAAAAAAATCTAAAAATTAAAAATCGAAAAAGTAAAATAATCACATCGAAAATCCAGGAGTCAAAAATCGAAAAGTCGAAGAATCGAAATATTGAAAAATCCCAAAACTGAGATATCTAAAAACTGAAAAATGAAAGAAAAACTGAAAAATGGAAAACTTGAAAAATCCGAAAACTGAAATATCCAAAAACTGAGAACTTAAAAAGTCGAAAAATCGTAACCTTAAAAAAACTGAAAAATAAAACATCGAAAAATTAAAGAATTGAAGAACAGGAATATCGAAACCCTCGAAAGTAAAGAAATGGGAAAATCAAAACATCGATTAATTGAAAAATCGAAAAATTGACGGTTTATAAATGTCAAATTTGAAAAATTGAAAAATCGAAAAGCCGAAAAAACGACAACTGAAAAACACAAGAATCTAAAACCTGGAAGTCGAAAAATCGATGGATTAAGGAATCAAAACATTTGAAAAATTCGGAAACATGAAAAACGGAAATATCGGAAAACTGAAATGAAAAATCGAGAAATCGAAAAATCTAAAATTTTAAATATTGAAAAATTAAAATATCCAAAAACTGAAAAATCTAAAATTGAAAAAGCGACAATTGAAAAACAGAAAATCTAAAACCGGAAAGTAGAAAAATCCAAAGATTAAGAAATCGAAACATTTGAGAAATTGAAATATGGAGGAGCTGAAATGAAAAATCGAGAAATCGAAAAATCTAAAATTTTAAATATTGAAAAATTAAAATACCAAAAAACTGAGAAATCTAAAATTTAAAAATCGAAAAAGTAAAAACTCGACACATCGAAAAATCCAGAAGTCAAAAATGGAAAAATCGAAAAACAGAAATATTGAAAAATCCCAAAACTGAAATATCGAAAAACTGAAAAATGAAATAAAACTGACGAATCGAAAAACTTAAATATCCCAAAACTGAAATGTCCAAAAACTGAGAAATTAAAAGATTGAAAAATTGAGAAATCGTAAAATCGAGAAATCGAAAAAGTGAAGTCGAAATATAGAAACCTTAAAAATTCGAAAAATTGAAAAATCAAAAAATTAAACAATTGAAGAACAGGAAAATCGAAACACTCGAAGGTCAAGAAATGGGAAAATCAAAACATCGATTAATTGAAAAATCGAAAAATTCAGAGTTTATGAAAGTCAAATTTGAAAAATTAAAAAATCTAAAATTTGACAAATAGACAATTGACAAACAGAAAATCTAAAATCGGGAAGCCGAAAAATCAAAAGATTAAGAAATCGAAACATTTGGAAAATTCGAAAACTTGAAAAATTCAAATATCGAAGAACTGAACTGAAAAATCGAGAAATCGAAAAATCTAAAATTTTAAATATTGAAAAATTAAAATATCCAAAAACTGAAAAATCTATAATTTAAAAATCGAAAAATTTAAAAAACGACAATTGAAAAACAGAAAATCTAAAACCGGAAAGTAGAAAAATCGAAACATTAAGAAATCGAAACATGAAAAATTGAAATATGGAAGAGCTGAAATGAAAAATCGAGAAATCGGAAAATCTAAAATTTTAAATATTGAAAAATTAAAATACCAAAAAATTGAGAAATCTAAAATTTAAAAATCGAAAAAGTAAAAAGTCGACACATCGAAAAATCCAGAAGTCAAAAATGGAAAAGTCGAAGAACAGAAATATTGAAAAATCCCAAAACTGAAATATCGAAAAACTGAAAAATGAAAGAAAAACTGACGAATCGAAAAACTTAAAAATCCCAAAACTGAAATATCCAAAAACTGAGAAATTAAAAAATTGAAAAATTGAGAAATCGAAAAAGTGAAGTCGAAATATAGAAACCTTAAAAATTCGAAAATTTGAAAAATCGAAAACCTGAAAAATCAAAAAATTAAACAATTGAAGAACAGGAAAATCGAAACACTCGAAGGTCAAGAAATGGGAAAATCAAAACATCGATTAATTGAAAAATTTAAAAATTGAGAGTTTATGAAGGTTAAATTTGAAAAATTAAAAAATCGAAAATTTGACAAAATGACAATTGAAAAACAGAAAATCTAAAACGGGGAAGTCGAAAAATCGATGGATTAAGAAATCAAAACATTTGAAAAATTCGAAAACATGAAAAACGGAAATATCGAAGAACTGAAATGAAAAACCGAGAAATCGAAAAATCTAAAATTTTAAATATTGAAAAATTAAAATATCCAAAAACTGAAAAATTTAAAATCGAAAAAACGACAATTGAAAAACAGAAAATCTAAAACCGGAAAGTAGAAAAATCGAAAGATTAAGAAATCGAAACATTTGAAAAATTGAAATATGGAAGAGCTGAAATGAAAATTCGAGAAATCGAAAAATCTAAAATTTTAAAAATTAAAAAATCTAAAATTTAAAAATCGAAAAAATAAAATAATCGATACATTGAAAATCCAGGAGTCAAAAATCGAAAAGTCGAAGAATCGAAATATTGAAAAATTCCAAAACTGAGATATCGAAAACTGAAAAATGGAAAAACTGAAGAATCCGAAAACTGAAATATCCAAAAAACTGGGAAGTTAAAAAGTCGAAAAATTGAGCAATCGAAAAATCCCAAAAGTGAAGTCGAAAAATCGAAACCTTAAAAAAACTAAAAAATGAAAAATCGAATAGTTAAAGAATTGAAAAACAGGAATATCGAAACCCTCGAAAGTAAAGAAATGGGAAAATCAAAACATCGATTAATTGAAAAATCGAAAAATTGACAGTTTATAAATGTCAAATTTGAAAAATTGGAAAATCGAAAATTTGAAAAAACGACAAATGAAAAACACAAAAATGTAAAACCGGGAAGTCGAAAAATAGATGGATTAAGAAATCAAAACATTTGAAAAATTCGAAAACATGAAAAACGGCAATATCGAATAACTGAAATGAAAAATCGAGAAATCGAAAAATCTAAAATTTTAAATATTGAAAAATTAAAATATCCAAAAACTGAAAAATCTAAAATTTAAAAATCGAAAAAATGAAAAAACGACATTTGAAAAACAGAAAATCTAAAACCGGAAAGTAGAAAAATCGAAAGATTACGAAATCGAAAAATTTGAAAAATTGAAATATGGAAGAGCTGAAACGAAAAATCGAGAAATCGAAAAATTTTAAATATTGAAAAATTAAAATACCATAATATTGAGAAATCTAAAATTGAAAAATCGAAAAAGTAAAAAGTCGACACATCGAAAAATCCAGAAGTCAAAAATGGAAAAGTCGAAGAACAGCAATATTGAAAAATCCCAAAACTGAAATATCGAAAAACTGAAAAATGAAAGAAAAACTGACGAATCGGAAAACTTAAAAATCCCAAAACTGAAGTGTCCAAAAACTGAGAAATTAAAAAATTGAAAAACTGAGAAATTGAAACTCCCAAATTTAAAAAATCGGATAGCTGAAAAATCGAAAAATCAAAAAAGTTAAGTCGAAATATAGAAACCTTAAAAATCCGAAAAATTGAAAAATCAAAAATCTGAAAAATCAAAAAATTAAACAGTTGAAGAACAGGAAAATCGAGACACTCGAAGGTTAAGAAATGGGAAAATCAAAACATCGATTAATTGAAAAATCGAAAAATTTAAACTCTCGAAGAACAGAAATATTGAACTTAAAAATCCCAAAAGTGAAGTGCCCAAAAACTGAGAAATTAAAAAATTGAAAAATTGAGAAATAGAAAAATCAGTTAATTGAAAAATCGACAAATAAAGAGTTTATGAAAATCAAAAACTGAAAAATCGAAATATTTAGAAATCGTAAAATTTTAGAGAAAAACTGAACTCTGATCTTTCGTTCTAAATTTACCAAGGTAGTATGTGAAAAACTACCTGACCTACAACAAGTTAGTATATATTTAGTTAGATCATCCACGTTGTTACTTTGTAGCAAATTGTAAGCATTTTCTTTTTTTTTTTTTGTAATTCTTCATGGACCTGGATTTCACTTAAACATTGTTTTTATATGAATGGGGTTACAACATACGACTATTGTCGCATGCCACATTTAGCATCTTATTTTTAATTCTCAATCATCAGTTCGTTCTGCTCGCCCACTCTTCTTAGAAACAGAAATTTCGACCTTTGTGAACAGCCTATTTCCATATCTTCCAACTTCTTTTTTCACTTTTCTAAGATTACTAAAAGAGTTGGTAAAAGATAACAACCTTGCTCTAGTGCTTTGATGGGTTTAGCCATTCTGAAACATTTTTACGGCCTTAAATTGAATGATTTATCTATGTTTATAGCTATTACTAATGCTTACGTAAGTGCTCTTTATTTGCTTTTACTAAGTACTTCTTATACGTTACTATACGCCATCTCGTGTTTGTTCCTTACATATGAAATAAACACTTACAAAAAGCCGAATAACTGTTTTAAATAGCCTAAAGTTTTATGCTTTCTAAGAAATAGATACCGCTAACTTGGTCATTGCTACTGGAAACTGAAAGTATCGACAAAAATGTTTATATTTCTGGAATATTTTTTAACCTTTAATTTAATAAAACATAACCTAATGAAAAAATTCTTCTGCATCAAACACCAACAAACTCACTAGATTTTCATGGCCAACCCTACTATATAAAGATCGTGAACGGTTAATACTCAAACTTTGATAATTTATTATCTCATACAAAGTGCACATGATAGAAAGAGGAAACGTTTTATTTTTGTTTTTTGTAGTATGTACCCTTGACCAGAAGTTATATCAGAGGCCAACAAATATCCTTATGTTTATTTTCATGTTTACTAACATTGACAACACTATCAAAGGTTATCGTTGTTTCCCGAATGTCTATTTATGAGAGTGCAAAATCAAATGCACGCCAATTTCAGTAGTTTCACAACCACCATAAAGACATTTACCATGTGTAAATTCGAAAACCAAATTTTGTGCTTTTTCCTGGTGATATGTTGTCTCCACCAATGTCTTACTCATGGTTCGACTTTCCAAAACGCCACACTCTTTTGCAAAACCTTCCCCAGCGCCAGACAAAGCTTATCAATAAACTACGACGAACTCTCCAAAAATGCCAACAACTCGTGCCACAACAATGCCTACAAAGTCGCCTACGTCACAGGAACGGTTCGAACGATCTACAAAAACACTGTCACCGATTTGCAAAACCTCAACGGACTCAACTTCACCCAAGTCGGATTAGAAGAAATACAAATCGGTGCGTTTACAAACTTTCCAAAGTTAGAGACACTGACACTAAACAGCAACAATATCAAAGAAATTAGAAGTGGCGTTTTCCAAAACCTTCCCCTGGTCAACTTACTTCTAAATAACAACTCGATTTCGAGTTTGGAAGAGCGAGCTTTTCACAATTTAGCGTCCCTGCGGATGCTGTCTCTGGAGAAAAATAGTTTGAAGAAAATCCAGAAACGAGTCTTCGATAATATTGCTCTTTGGGTTTTGAACCTCCGACACAACGAAATTGACGAAATAGAAGCTGGCGCTTTTGATGCCGTTCATCCAGAGTCGCACAAGTGGAATATTCTGATTTATCTTTCTGACAATAACTTGAAAGAAATTAATCCAGAAGTTTTCAATATAGAGCATCTGGTCACTTTAAATTTGGACAAAAATTCTATTTCAAAAATTCGTCCAGGCGACTTGGCGAATCTACCCAACCTACGTGATCTACACCTATCTAGAAACAGGCTAAAACTTATTTCAAACGATGTATTCAAAGGGTCAACGATTGAAAATCTGGACATCAGTTATAACCAGATTTCTGAGATTGAAAGTCAAGCTTTTGACGACATGGAATATTTACTCAAACTGAACATGGGTAACAATAAATTGAAGATTTGGGACGGTAACTGGTTCAGTGGGTCGTGGTCTTCTGGGTTTCACACGTTCAGAAAACTTTACGCTGGGTATAACAACATTGAGGAAATTCCAGGAAACGCCTTCCAGAATTTTGGGGGCAACTATTTTATGGTCGATTTGAAGTGGAACAAAATTAGAGGGATTGCTGATGGGGCTTTCAATGGAGTTACAGGTCTACATCTTCTGGATCTATCTCATAATGAAATAAGTGAATGGGATGAGAATTTGTTGCGACAGGTGAAGGTGATAGGGACTGTGAATCTGAGTGGGAATAAGTTTAAGTGTGCGGATATTTCTGCGGATTATGTAGTCGTTCCTAGAGCTAGACGAGTTATATTACAAGACTGTGTACAATTTGATGAAAATTGAAAATATATTTTAGTGTATTTTTTTCCTAATCTGATGGGTTAAATAAATCTCGGACAACTCTATGGAAAGTAAGAGTTATTTTCATACTGGACATATTTATTTATCAATTGCAAGAGAGACCTCATCTGAGTAGAGCGGCAAAATATACGTGTCTTATAATTTTCAGATAATTAATTATTATCTAATTAATTAATTGTAATATTATACGAAATAATAATCAACATATTAAAAAAAATAAAAACACGCTTTATTATGTACCGTGGACATCAATTAATATTGTTCCTATCCTTTGCTTCTCGTTTCACTTGATTCACCTCAATTTGTCATTTTCACGATCTTTTAATTTTCATTTCCTCGATTTTAAATTCTTCCAATTTTTAAATTCCTCAATTTTGGAATTTTGATTTCCAGTTTTTACATTTTCGTTTTTTCATTTCTGATTTTTCAGTTTTACCACTTTGCAATTTTCCCAATTTTTTGATTCGATAATTTGAAAAATCCGAAAACTGAAAACACGAAAAATTGCAAAATCGGAAAAGTGGAAAATCGAAAAATCTCAAATGGAGGAATCGAAAAATTGCAGCATTGAAAAACTTAAAAATCGAAAAAAAATTAATGAATCGGAAAATTGGAAACAAGAAAAAGTATTGCAAAGGCGGAAAATTATAGAATTGTAAAAATAGCAAAGTCAAAAAACTGTAACACTGAAAGATCAAAAAATTGAAAAATGAAATATACGTATCTATATAATTTTTCGAATTTCCCATTTCCAATTTTTTTATTTTTTCGATTTATCAATTTTTCTTGGATTTTTCGATTTATCGGTTTTTCGAAATTTCACTTTTGGGATGTTTTAATTTGTGATATTTTAAATTCCTTGTTAATTAAAACAATTAATCGATTTTCTTACTTTTCACTTTCTCCATTTTTCGACTTCTAATTTTCTAATTTACCCATTTCAGCATTTCCCGACTTTTCGATGTTCTTCAAAAATATTTAGAAAATAAAAAAATCCCAAAATCAATTGAAATGTCGAAAAACCGAGAAATTGAAAACTTGAAAAATCGAGAATTTTAAAAGTCGAAAAATTTTAAACATCGAAGAACTGAATGTCAAGAAAGCGAAACATCAAAACTCGTAAAATCGAAATTGCACTTTTTTGAGTTTTAAGTTTCTCAATTTTTATCTTCCGATTTTGAAATTTTCGTTTCTTCCAATTTTTAGATTTTTCAAAGTTTTCATTTTATACATTCTTGTTTTTGAATTTTTTTCAATTTTACAATTTTGCAATTTTTTCAGTTTTTTTATTTGAAAATACACGAAAAATTCCAAACCGAAAAACTGAAGAAACGAAAATTTGAACAATGAAGAACTGAAAATGGAGAATCTTAAAAATCGAAAAAAAATTATGAATCGAAAAATTGGAAAACTCAAATATTGTAAAAGCGACAAAATATAGAATTGTAAAAATTGTTAAGTCGAAAAACAGTAACACTGAAAGTTCAAAATTATCGATTTCTCAATTTTTCCATATATCAATTTTGAAATTATTGCCCTTTTGATTCTTTATGTTTTCCGAATTTTCAGTTTTTTAATTTCTCCATTTTTCAATTTTTTTTTAATTTTGGCGTTTAAACTTTGAGGTTTTATATTTCTCGATTAATCGATTGTCGATTTCTCAATTTTTCGCCCTTTTAATTTTTTTTAATTCTTGGATTTTCCGACTTTCCGACTTCCCAATTTTTAAATTTTTCGATGTTTCAGTTTTGGAATCTTCTAGTTTTCAATTTTTTAAATTTCTATTTTTTAGTTTGCCGATTTCTCGATTTTCAATTTTTCCCTGTTCAAAATTTTACATTTCTCGACTTCAATTATTCTTTTAATTTTTGGCGTTTCTAAGATTGTAGTTTTTCGATTTCTCGATTAATCGATTCTTTGACTTCGCAACTTTTCGAATTTACGATTTCCCAATTTTTCAATATTTCAGTTTTGGGATTTTTGGATTTTTTTTACTCTTTTGATTTTTTGAATTTTCAGTTCTTCAATTTTCGGTTCAATTTTTTGATTTTTTAATTATTTTAAATTTTGGCGTTTTAAACTTTCAGTTTTTCCATTTCCCGATTAATCGATTTTCGATTTCTCGATTTGTGGCCTTTTTAATTTTTTTATTGTTCAATTTTTCGATTTCTGGAGTTTGCGATATTTCAATTTTCCTCTTTTCCAGGTGTTTGATTTTCCAATTTTTCGATTTCCCGGTTTTTCAATTTTTCGATTTTTCAATTTTTCTTCAATTTTTCGATATATATTTCGTTTTGGGATATTTTAATTTTCGATTTTTCAATTAGCCTGTTTTTTGATTTGCCGATTTCTCTATTTTCAGTTTTTCGATGTTTTCAATTTTACATTTTTCGATTTCAATTCTTCTAATTTTTGGCGTTTTTAAACCTTGAATTTTTCGATTTTGCGATTAATCGATTTTTCCACTTTTCCCTTTTTCGATTTTTCAACTTTTCAATTTTTTAGTTTACCCATTTCTCGATTTTCCGACTTTTCAAAATCTTTCAAAAAAAATTCAGAAGATACAAATTCCCAAAATTAAAATGTTGAAAAACTGAAAAACAGAAAACTTAAAAAATTGGGAATTGTAAAAGTCCAAAAATTTTAACTGTCAAGAAACCAAAATATTAAAAAATCAAAAAATTGAAAAATCGAAAAATATGATATTTGAAAAATTAAACAATTGAAAAATCAAAACAATTCTTTTATTTTCAATTTTTCGATTTATCAATTTTTCTTCGATTTTTGGATTTATCAGTTTTTCGGAATTTCACTTTTGGGATGTTTTAATTTGCGATATTTTAAATTTCCTGTTAACTAAAATATATAGTTAATCGATTTTTGACTTTTCGCTTTCTCGATTTTTCGACTTTCCAATTTTCTAATTTATCCATTTCAGCATTTCCCGACTTTTCGATGTTCTTCAAAAAAAATCACAAAATAAAAAATCCCAAAATCAATTGAAATGTTGAAAAATTGAGAATTCTAAATGTAGAAAAATTTTAAATATCGAAGAACCGAATCTCAAGAAACCGAAACATCAAAAACTCGTAAAACCGAAAACGTGAATAATATAAAAATTAAACAATTCGTAAATCAAAACATTTCTTTTATTTTCACTATTTCGATTTTACAATAAGTACATATTATTTATTTTTTTCGATTTTGCACTTTTTTGAGTTTTAAGTTTCTCAATTTTTTTATCTTCCGATTTTGAACTTTTCGTTTCTTCCAATTTTTACATTTTTCAAAGTTGTCATTTTATACATTTTTGTCTTTTCATTTTTTTCAATTTTACAATTTTGCAGTTTTTACAGTTTTTTTATTTGAAAAGTTGAAATATCCGATAACTTAAAAAACGAAAAATTGCAAATTGAAAAACTGAAGAAACAAAAATTTGAAGCAATGGAAAATATAAAATCGAGAATCTTAAAAATCGAAAAAAAATTATGAATCGAAAAATTGGAAAACTCAAATATTGTAAAAGCGACAAAATATAGAATTGTAAAAATTGTGAAGTCGAAAAACAGTAACACTGAAAATTCAAAAAATTGAAAAATTAAATATCGAGAAATTCTCATTTTTCGTATTTTCGATTTCTCAATTTCTCGATATATCAGTTTTGGAATTATTGCCTTTTTGATTCTTTGGGTTTTTCGAATTTTCAGTTTTACAGTTTCTCCACCTTTCAATTATTTTAATTTTGGCGTTTAAAGCTTTCAGGTTTTATGTTTCTCGATTAATCGATTGTCGATTTCTCGATTTTTCGCCCTTTTAATTTTTTTTAATTCTACGATTTTCCGACTACCCAATTCTTCAATTTTTCGGTATTTCAGTTTTGGAATCTTCTAATTTTCAATTTTTTAAATTTCTATTTTTTAGTTTCCGATTTCTCGATTTTTAATTTTTCCATGTTCGAAATTTTACATTTCTGGATTTCAATTATTCTTTTAATTTTTGGCGTTTCTAAGATTGTAGTTTTTCGATTTCTCGATTAATCGATTCTTTGACTTCGCAACTTTTCGAATTTACGATTTCCCAATTTTTCAATATTTCAGTTTTGGAATTTTTGGATTTTTTTACTCTTTTGATTTTTTGAATTTTCAGTTCTTCAATTTTCGGTTCAATTTTTTGATTTTTTAATTATTTTAAATTTTGGCGTTTTAAACTTTCAGTTTTTCCATTTCCCGATTAATCGATTTTCGATTTCTCGATTTGTCGCCTTTTTAATTTTTTTATTGTTCAATTTTTCGATTTCTGGAGTTTGCGATATTTCAATTTTCCTCTTTTCCAGGTTTTTGATTTTCCAATTTTTCGATTTCCCGGTTTTTCAATTTTTCGATTTTTCAAATTTTCTTCAATTCTTCGATATATATTTCGTTTTGGGATATTTTAATTTTCAATTTTTTAATTAACCTGTTTTTTGATTTGCCGATTTCTCTATTTTCAGTATTTCGATGTTTTCAATTTTACATTTTTCGATTTCAATTCTTCTAATTTTTGGCGTTTTTAAACTTTCAATTTTTCGATTTTGCGATTAATCGATTTTTCCACTTTTCGCTTTCTCGATTTTTCAAATTTTCAATTTTTTAATTTACTCATTTCGCGATTTCCCGGCTTTTCGATGTTCTTCAAAAAAATACAAAAAAAATCCCAAATTTGAAATGTTCAAACACTGAGAATTCGAACACTTGAAAAAAAACGAAAAACCGAGTGTCAAGAAACCAAAACATCAAAAAATCGTAAAATCTAAAAATCGAAAAACAAAATTTAAAAAATCGAAAAATTCAAAAACCAAAACACTTTTTTTATTTTCAATATTTCGGTTTTACAATCCATACATATGTATTTCGTTGTATGGATTTTGCAATTTTTTGAGTTTTAATTTACTCATTTCTCGATTTTCCGACTTTTCAAAGTTTTTCAAAAAAAATTCAGAAGATACAAATTCCCAAAATTAAAATGTTGAAAAACTGAAAAACAGAAAACTTAAAAAATTGGGAATTGTAAAAGTCCAAAAATTTTAACTTTCAAGAAACCAAAATATTAAAAAATCAAAAAATTGAAAAATCGAAAAATATGATATTCAAAACACTTCTTTTATTTTCAATTTTTCGATTTATCAATTTTTCTTCTATTTTTCGATTTATCAGTTTTTCGAAATTTCACTTTTGGGATGTTTTACTTTGCGATATTTTAAATTTCTTGTTAACTAAAATAGTTAATCGATTTTTGACTTTTCGCTTTCTCGATTTTTCGACTTTCCAATTTTCTAATTTATCCATTTCAGCATTTCCCGATTTTTCGATGTTCTTCAAAAAAATCAGAAAACAAAAAATCCCAAAATCAACTGAAATGTGGAAAAATTGAGAATTCTAAAAGTCGAAAAATTTTAAATATCGAAGAACCGAATCTCAAGAAACCAAAACATCAAACACTCGTAAAATCGAAGAATTGAAAAATATAAAAATTAAACAATTCGTAAATCAAAACATTTCTTTTATTTTCAATAGTTCAATTTTACAATACATATTATTTAGTTTTTTCGATTTTGCACTTTTTTGAGTTTTAAGTTTCTCAATTTTTATCTTCCGATTTTGAAATTTTCGTTTCTTCCAATTTTTAGATTTTTAAAAGTTGTCATTTTATATATTTTTGTCTTTTTTACAGTTTTTTTATCTGGAAAGTTGAAATATCCGAAAACTTAAAAAACGAAAAATTGTAAATCGAAAAACTGAAGAAACGAAAATTTGAAGCAATGAAAAACTTAAAATCGAGGATCTTAAAAATCGAAAAAAAATTATGAATCGAAAAATTGGAAAATTCAAATATGGTAAAAGCGACAAAATATAGAATTGAAAAATTTGTGAAGTCGAAAAGCAGTAACACTGAAAGTTCAAAGAATTGAAAAATTAAATATCGAGAAATTCTCATTTTTCGAATTATCGATTTCTCAATTTTTCCATATATCAATTTTGGAATTATTGCCTTTTTGATTCTTTAGGTTTTTCGAATTTTCAGTTTTTCAATTTCTCCATTTTTCAATTTTTTTTAATTTTGGCGTTTAAAACTTTCAGGTTTTATATTTCTCGATTAATCGATTTTCGATTTCTCGATTTGTCGCCCTTTTAATTTTTTTATTGTACAATTTTTCGATTTCTCGAGTTTGCGATATTTCAATTTTCCTCTCTTCCAGGTTTTTTGATTTTTCAATTTTTCGATACAAATTTCGTTTTGGGTTATTTTTATTTTCGATCTTTTAATTTTCCTGTTTTTTGATTTGCCAATTTCTCTATTTTCAATTTTTCGATGTTTTTAATTTTACATTTTTCGGTTTCAATTCTTTTAATTTTTGACGTTTTTAAACTTTCTGTTTCCCGATTTTGCGATGACTCGATTTTTCCACTTTTAGCTTTTTCGATTTTTCAACTTTTCAATTTTTTAATTTACCCATTTCTCGATTTCCTGGCTTTTCGATGTTCTTCAAAAAAACCCAAAAAAATCCCAAATTTGAAATGTTGAAAAATTGAAAATTCAAAAACTTGAAAAAAAATATCGAAAAACCGAATGTCAAGAAACCAAAACAGCAAAAAATCGTAAGATCGAAAAATCGAAAAACATAAAATTTACAAAATTGAACAACCAAAATACTTTTTATTTTCAATATTTCGGTTTTACAATCCATACATATTTCGTTTTATCGATTTTGCAATTTTTTGAATTTGAATTTACCCATTTCTCGATTTCCCGACTTTTCGAAGTTTTTCAAAAAAAATTCAGAAAATACAAATTCCTGAAATTGAAATTTTGAAAAATCGAGGAATTGAAATTTTGAAAAATCTAGAAATCTAAAAGACGAAAAATTTTAAATATCGAAAAATCAAATGTCAAGAAGCCGAAACGACAAAAAATCGTAACATCGAAAAATTGAAAACTGTAAATTTTATAAAAATTGAACAATTGAAGAAAACACAATTCTTTATTTTCAATATTTCGATTTTACAATAGGTACATTTTTCATCTTTTCGATTTTGCACTTTTTCGATTTTTGAGTTTTTCAGTTTTAAAATTTCGATTTCGAATTTTTCGTTTTTTACAATTTTTACAGTTTTCGTTTTTTACAATTTTTACATTTTTCAAAGTTTTCATTTTATACATATTCATTTTTTCATTTTTGATTTTTCAATTTTACAGTTTTGCCATTTTTCCAATTTTTTGATTCCAAAAGTTGAAAAATCCGAAACTGAAAAAATGAAAAATTGCAAAATCGAAAAAGTGGAAAATCGAAAAATTGCAAATCGAAGAACTACAGAAAAGAAAAACTGTAATAATGAAGAACTTAAAATCACGAAACTTTAAAATCGAAAAAAATGAATGAATCGAAAAATGGAAAACAAGAAAATACGAATTGAAGCGAAAATTTGGAGAACCCAAATATTCTAAAGGCGAAAAATTATAGAATTGCAAAAACTGTAAATTCCAAAAACAGTAACACACATAGAAAAATTGAAAAATTAAAAATAGAAATATTAAAAAATTAAAAATAAAAAAATTGAAAAACCAAATAAATGAAAACGTTTTGAAATCCAAAGATTTTTTTCCACAACTAACTGAGTTCTCAACCGACTGGAAATCATTAATCGACTTCTGTTTCTCGATTTTTCGACTTTTCAATTTTTTGATTTAGCCATTTCTCGATTTCCCGACTTTTCGAAGTTTTTCGAAAAAATCCAGAAAACAAAAAATCCCAAAATTAAAATGTTGAAAAACTGAAAAACCGAAAACTTAAAAAATCGAGAATTCTAAAAGTCGAAAAATTTTAACTATCGAAGAACCGAATGTCAAGCAACCGAAATATTAAAAAATCGTAAAATCAAAAAATTGAAAAAACGAAAATTATAAAATTTGAAAAATTGAACAATTGAAAAACCAAAACACTTCTTTTATTTTCAATATTTCGATTTTACAATTTTATACATTTCGTTTTGTTGTTTTTGCTCTTTTCTGAGTTTTAATTTTGTGAATTTTAATCTTTGGATTTTTTTATTCAAAAAGTTGAAAAATCCGAAAACCGGGAAAACGAAATATTGCAAAATAGGACAAAGCGCAGAACCGAAGAAACGAAAAATTGAAACAATAAAAACTCGAACTAAAATCGAGAAACTTAAAAATAGAAAAAATAATGAATGGATAAATTGGAAAGAAGAAAAAACGAATCGAATCTCGAAAAATTGGAAAGCTCAAATATTGTAAAAGCGAAAAATAATAGAATTTTCAAAATTATGAAGTCGAAAAAGTAACACTGAAAGATCGAGAAATCGAAAATTTAAAAAGCGAGAAACTGAAAAATCTAAGACTGAAAAAAATTTTAAGAATCTAGAAGTTGATATATCGAAAAATTAAAAAAAAAATGTTTATAAGAACAAGTACTCTCTAGACAAATACACAAGTGTGTTTTCGTAACATAATGTGTTCGAATTGTAGACAGTGGCGGAGTATGGGTGATCAAGTACGACACGTTAACGAATTCAGAAAAACAAGTTCTACAACAATTCTAAAAAATGTTTTTTGAATACGCTACCTATATGAGGTGGTACCAATTCGGTTGTGGCTAATTTAATTATTGTAAATATTGCATTAGTAGTACACTTGATCGGGAGTCATATCAGAGTCCAAAATAAAATAACTATCCTTATGTTTGACAACATTATCAAAGGTTATCGCTTTTCCACGAATCTCTTTGTATGCGTGCGTAAATTCAAACGCACCAGGTTCCAGTACTTTCACAACCACCATAAAAACAACACACCATGCGTAAATTCAAAAATCTAATTTTTTCCTTTTTCCTGGTGATATGTTGTGTCCACCAGTGTCTTACTCATGATTCAACTTTCCAAAATGCCACAGTCTATTGCAACAGCTGCAAATACGTTTACGTCACAGGAATAGTTCGCACAATCTACGAAAACGCTTATATCGATGGCCAGCAAAACCCCAACAGACTCAACTTCACGCAAGTCGGATTAGAGGAAATACAATTTGGTGCGTTTACAAATTTTTCAAACTTAGAAACACTGATACTAAACAGCAACAATGTCAAAGAAATTAGAAGTGGCGTTTTCCGAAACCTTCCCTTGGTCAACTTGTTTTTATATAACAACCAAATTTCGACTGTACACGAGCGGGCTTTTTGCAATTTGACGTCTCTGAGAGTGCTGTCCTTGGGGAAAAATATCTTGAAGAAGATCCCAAAGGGAATTTTCGAAAATGTCGCACTTTGGGAGTTGCACTTGGGACAAAACAGGATCGAGGAAATAGACGTCGGAGCGTTTGCAAATCTTCCAAATTTGAAAGTGCTAAATGTAAACGACAACAACCTTAAAGTAATTAAAAGTGGTATTTTCAACAACCTTCCAGTGGAGAAATTGTTTTTAAATAACAACACAATTTCGACTCTGGAGGAACGAGCTTTTTACAATTTGACGTCGCTGCAAATGTTGTCTCTGGAGAACAATAAATTGAAGAAAATCCAGACGGCAGTGTTTGAAAATGTCGCAGTTTTGGAGTTGCAGTTGGGACACAACAGCATTGAGGAAATCGAAGACGGGACAAACCTTACAAATTTGAAAGTACTAATCATGAACAACAACAATCTTAAAGAAATTGAAAGTCGAATTTTTGGAAACCTTCCAGTGGTTAGCTTGTTTTTAAACAACAACTCGATTTCGACTCTTGAGGGAGCTTCTCACAATTTAAAGTTCCTGCAGACGCTGTCTCTGGAAAGCAATAATTTGAAGACAATCCCGAAGGGAATTTTCGAAAATGTCACACTTCGGAAGTTGTACTTGGGACAGAACAGGATTGAGAAAATTAATCCAGAAGATTTCAGTTCAGCGCATCTGGTCACTTTAAATTTGGACAAGAATTTGATTTCGAAAATTCGTCCAGGCGATCTGGCGAATTTACCTACCCTACGTGATTTGCGCATATCTGGAAACAGGCTAAAGTTTATTCCAAACGGTGTATTCAACGGGTCGGCGATTGAAAATCTGGACATCAGTCATAACCAGATTTCTGGGATTGAAAGTCAAGCTTTTGACGGCATGGAACGTTTACTCAAAATGAAGATGGGTTACAATAAATTGAAGATTTGGGACGGCAACTGGTTCAGAGGTTCGTGGTCCTCTGATTGGACTCCGACGTTCAGAGAAATTTACGCCGAGTATAACGACTTTGAGGAAATTCCGGGAAACGCGTTCCAGAATTTTGAGAACAACACTTTTATTATTGATTTGAAGTGGAACAAAATTAAGAAGATTCATGATGGGGCTTTCAATGGAATTACATATCTACAAAATCTAGACCTATCTCATAATGAAATAAGTGAATGGGGTGATCTGTTAGACCACATGAAAATTGTAGGAACTGTAAATGTGGATGATAATAAGTTTGATTGTATTGTGTTTCGTTACATAATCGTTCCTCACTTAAAACTGGTACCAATACACCCATGTGTAGATATGGGGCGTTGTGGCAACAATTACTGAAACCCAGATGTCAAAAACTTTATGATAATTTGTAATTTGTGTAAAATTAATTTTTCAGAAGTCGTTAGGTTTTTGGATAAGTATTGTCCTTTATAAGGTCAACATGAAGACAGATGAGAAAAGTGTAGATTTGAATCCCAAAAAAGGTGGTTCTTAAGTTTAAGTTAGTGTAATAATAATAATAAAATAATACAAATACCTACAAAATTACAAATTGTTGTAATACAGGACAAATTTTTGGTTGTTTCCCCCATGATGATCGTGCACTTTAATTTGACCTCCGGGAACAAAAAATCTCCCTTGTACATCCAGAACTTTGTTGCTGCTAGGATTTCTGACGGTCTGTTCCTCAGAATTATATTGCCACAGCTGACTCGGAGCTCCACTTTTTGCCTCAGTTACAAGATGAAACTCATTTTGGGCCCCCTGTGCATGAAGATATCTCCTAGAAGCAGAACTGTGTTTTCTAATAAATCAAGCACGTGTCTGTACTTACCCTGTACCAACGTTCTGCAGAAAAAACTAGCCTGGGATGGGCACTCAAATTCCCATTGTTGCAGCGGACTTCCTGTAAATTCTCGGAGTTTGACTTCAGGTTCGCTTGCGTCTAGGACGAGAGACGAAGCCGAATTTACGATGATGACGGAATACGGGTGGTCTGGGTACCATTGCACCTTTTGCTGGATCACGGAGTGGGTTTGATGGATTTTTGAAATGGGTGGCAAGTGGAAGATGAACTCATGGTGGGTTTTCTTCAAACTATTGTCGGAATGGATTTTATAAGGAAGTAGTTGCACCGCATGATTTCTCATCTGACCAGAGCAGCAAAACCACATAAATTATTAACGTTGGAGCAAGACTAACTAGTAATTTTAATACGCTCTGTAGAAATTCTGTCAGGGGTTATGGATGTGGCTACTTTGTGGTCGTAATTTGATAGGTTGTTTTCTTGGGTTTCTTATAACTTTCGATTGTTAATTTACCACAAGATAATTAATTATCAAAATAAATAATTTGTGTTTTCTGTCTAGAATTCAGGGTCACGGAGCAAAAATTCGGTGCGAAATTCGAAATCTTTGAATTTTTTTAAAACTGCGATATTTCAATGGACGGAAGTGACTTCTGTGGCCCCAACTCTACTATCCAAACTAAAATATTGGAAAATCGGAAAATCGCGTCATTGAAACAATGAAGGAAACAAAAATTTTAAAATAAAAAATCCAAAAATTTCAAAATGAAAATCGAGAAACTAAAAAATCGAGACACCGAAAAATTGAAATATTGTAAAAACATAGGAAAATTAAAAATAAAACTGCAAAATCGGGAACTGAAAAACTGGAAAAACCAAAAAAAAAATCCCAAAATTGAAAGATCAAAAAAAAACGACAAACGAAACAATTTTGAAATTTTTCAATTTTGAAGTTTTCAAGTTAATAATAATAATAATAGTAATAATAGAGTTTATTTCCAACAGACTATGTTAGTCTATAGTGGATTTTTGATTTTCAACTTTAATCAAAATAAAATTTTGCAAAATCGAATAACTGTAACACCGAAACATAAAAAAATGCAACAATTAAATTGAGATTGAAAAATCGACAAAATGCAGCAAATTCTGCAATTTTCCGATATAATTAATCGATTCTTTGACTTCGCAATTTTTCAAATTTACGATTTCTCAAATTTTCAATATTCCAGTTTTGGAATTTTTGGGTTTTTTTAGTCTTTTGATTTTATGAATTTTCAATTCTTCAATTTATTGATTTTGGCTTCTTAAACTTTCAGTTTCTCCATTTCTCGATTAATCGATTTGTCGCCTTTTTAATTTTTTTATTGTTCCATTTTTCGATTTCCCGAGTTTGCGATATTTCAATTTTCCTCTTTTTTCAGGTTTTTGATTTTCCAATATTTCGATTTTCCGACGTTTCGATTTCCCGGTTTTTCAATTTTTCGATTTCTCAATTTTTCTTCAATTTTTCGATACATAGGTATCTCGTTTTGGGTTATTCTTATTTTCGATTTTTTAATTTTCCTGTTTTTTGATTTGCCGATTTCTCTACTTTCAATTTTTCGATGTTTTCAATTTTACATTTTTCGATTTTAATTCTTCTAATTTTTGGCGTTTTTAAAGTTTCCATTTTTCGATTTTGCGATGAATCGATTGTTCTCGATTTCCTGGCTTTTCGATATTCTTCGAAAAAATTCTAAAAAATTCCCAAATTCGAAAACTTGAAAAAAAAAATCGAAAAACCGAGTGTCAAGAAACCAAAATATCAAAATATCGTAAAATCTAAAAATCGAAAAACAAAATTAAAAAATCGAAAAATTGAAAAACCAAAACACTTTTTTATTTTCAATATTTCGGTTTTACAATCCATACATATTTCATTTTATCGATTTTGCAATTTTTGGAGTTTTAATTTACTCATTTCTCGATTTTCCGAGTTTTCAGTTTTTCAAAAAAAATTCAGAAAATACAAATTCCCAAAATTAAATTGTTGAAAAACTGAAAAACAGAAAACTTAAAAAAATGGGAATTCTAAAAGTCCAAAAATTTTAACTGTCAAGAAACCGAAATATTAAAAAATCAAAAAATTGAAAAATCGAAAAATATGATATTTGAAAAATTGAACAATTAAAAAATCAAAACACTTCTTTTATTTTCAATTTTTCAATTTATCAATTTTCCTTCCATTTTTCGATTTCCCGGCTTTTCAATTTTTCTTCAATTTTTCGATAGACATATTTCGTTTTGGGATTTTTTAATTTTCGAATTTTTAAATTCCGTTTTTTGATTTGCCGATTTCTCTAGGTATTTCCAATTTTTCGATGTTTTAAATTTTACATTTTCAGATTTCAATTCTGTTAATTTTTGGCGTCTCTAAACTTTCAGATTTTCGACTTTGCCATTAATCGATTTTTCAAAAATTTTTCAATTTTTTAATTTACCCATTTCTCGATTTCCCGGCTTTTCGATGTTCTTCCAAAATCCAGAAAATAAAAATTGAAATGTTGAAAAATTGGAAGTTCGAAAACTTGAAAAATCGAAAAGTTGAAACATTTTAAATATCGAAAAACCGAACGTCAAGAAACCAAAATATCAAAAAATCGTAAATTCGAAAAACTGGAAAACATAAAATTTTAAAAATTGATCAATCGAAAAACCAAAACACTTCTTTGTTTTCAATAGTTCGTTTTTACAATACACACACATTTTCATTTTTCGATTTTGCAAGTTTTTGAGTTTTAATTTACTCATTTCTCGATTTCCCGTCTTTTCGAAGTTTTTCAAAAAAAAAAACAGAAAATAAAAAAAATCCTAAATTTGAGATGAAAAATTGAGAAATCCAGAACTTGAATATACTTCTTTTATTTTCAATATTTCGATCTTACAATACGTATCTCATTTTTTCGATTTTGCACTTTTTCGACTTTTAAGCTTCTCGGTTTTAAAATTTCGATTTTAAATTTTTCGTTTTTTACAATTTTTACATTTTTCAAAGTTTTCATTTTATACATATTTATTTTTTCATTTTTGATTTTTCACCTTTACAGTTTTGCCATTTTTCCAATTTTTTGATTCGAAAAGTTCAAAAATCCGAAACTGAAAAAATGAAAAATTGCAAAATCGAAAAATTGGAAAATCGAAAAATTGCAAATCGACGAACTACAGAAAAGAAAAACTGTAACAATGAAGAACTTAAATCACGAAACCTAAAAATCGAAAAAAAAATAATGAATCGAAAAATTGGAAACAAGAAAAAACGAACTGAAGCGAAAATTTGGAGAACCCAAATATTGTAAAAGCGAAAAATTATATAATTGCAAAAACTGTAAATTTCAGAAACAGTAACAGATCGAAAAATTGAAAAATTAAAAACAGAAAACTTTTCAATTTTTTAATTTAGCCATTTCTCGATTTCCCGACTTTTCGAAGTTTTTCAAAAAAATTCAGAAAATCAAAAAATTCCAAAATTAAAATGTTGAAAAACTGAAAACCGAAAACTTAAAAAATCCAGGATTCTAAATGTCGAAAAATTTTAACTATCGAAGAACCGAATGTCAAGAAAACGAAATATTAAAAAATCGTAAAATAAAAAAATTGAAAAATAGGAAAATATAAAATTTGAAAAATTGAACAACTGAAAAACCAAAATATTTCTTTTATTTTAAATACTTCGTTTTTACAGTTTTACATATTTCGTTTTTTTGTTTTTGCACTTTTCTGAATTTTAATTTTGTGAATTTTAATCTTTCGATTTTTTTTATTCAAAAAGTTGAAAAATCCGAAAACTGAGAAAACGAAATATTGCAAAATAGGACAAATCGAAGAACCGAAGAAACGAAAAATTGAAACATTAAAAACTCGAACTAAAATCGAGAAACTTAAAAATAGAAAAAAAATAATGAATGGATAAATTGGAAAGAAGAAAAAACGAATCGAATCTCGAAAAATTGGAAAGCTCAAATATTGCAAAAGCAAAAAATAATAGAATTTTCAAAATTATGAAGTCGAAAAACTAACACTGAAAGATCGAGAAATCGAAAATTTAAAAAGCGAGAAACTGAAAAATCTAAGACTGAAAAAAATTTTAAGAATCTAGAAGTTGAAATATCGAAAAATTAAAAAAAAAAATTTTTATAAGAACAAGTACACTCTAGACCAATTATACACAAGTGTGTTTTCGTAACATAATGTGTTCGAATTGTAGACAGTGGCGGAGTATGCGTGATCAAGTACGACACGTTAACGAATTCAGAAAAACAAGTTCTACAACAATCCTAAAAAATATTTTTTGAATACGCTACCTATATGAGGTGGTATCAGTTCGGTTGTGGCTAATTTAATTATTACAAATATTGCATTAATAGTACACTTGATAGGGAGTCATATCAGAGTCCAAAATAAAATAAATATTCTTATGTTTGACAACATTATCAAAGGTTATCGCATTTCCACGAATCTCTTTATATGCGTGCGTTAATTCAAACGCACCAGGTTCCAGTACTTTCACAACCACCATAAAAACAACACACCATGCGTAAATTCAAAAATCTAATTTTTTCCTTTTTCCTGGTGATATGTTGTGTCCACCAGTGTCTTACTCATGATTCAACTTTCCAAAATGCCACAGTGTATTGCAACAGCTGCAAATACGTCTACGTCACAGGAATAGTTCGCACAATCTACGAAAACGCTTATATCGATGGCCAACAAAACCCCAACAGACTCAACTTCACGCAAGTCGGATTAGAGGAAATACAATTTGGTGCGTTTACAAATTTTTCAAACTTAGAAACACTGATCCTAAACAGCAACAATGTCAAAGAAATTAGAAGTGGCGTTTTCCGAAACCTTCCCTTGGTCAACTTGTTTTTATATAACAACCAAATTTCGACTGTACACGAGCGGGCTTTTTGCAATTTGACGTCTCTGAGAGTACTGTCCTTGGGGAAAAATATCTTAACGAAAATCCCGAAGGGAATTTTCGAAAATGTCGCACTTTGGGAGTTGCACTTGGGACAAAACAGGATCGAGGAAATAGACGTCGGAGCGTTTGCAAATCTTCCAAATTTGAAAGTACTAAATATAAACGACAACAACCTTAAAGTAATTAAAAGTGGTATTTTCAACAACCTTCCAGTGGAGAAATTGTTTTTAAATAATAACACAATTTCGACTCTGGAGGAGCGAGCTTTTTACAATTTGACGTCGCTGCAAATGTTGTCTCTGGAGAACAATAAATTGAAGAAAATCCAGACGGGAGTGTTTGAAAATGTCGCAGTTTTGGAGTTGCAGTTGGGACACAACAGCATTGAGGAAATAGAAGACGGGACAAACCTTACAAATTTGAAAGTACTAACCCTAAACAACAACAATCTTAAAGAAATTGAAAGTCGAATTTTTGGAAACCTTCCAGTGTTTAGCTTGTTTTTAAATAACAACTCGATTTCGACTCTTGAGGGAGCTTCTCACAATTTAAAGTTCCTGCAGACGCTGTCTCTGGAGAGCAATAATTTGAAGACAATCCCGAAGGGAATTTTCGAAAATGTCACACTTCGGAAGTTGTACTTAGGACAGAACAGGATTGAGGAAATTAATCCAGAAGATTTCAGTTCAGCGCATCTGGTCACTTTAAATTTGGACAATGATTTTATTTCGAAAATTCGTCCAGGCGATCTGGCAAATCTACCCAACCTACGTGATTTGCACCTATCTGGAAACAGGCTAAAGTTTATTCCAAACGGTGTATTCAACGGGTCAGCGATTGAAAATCTGGACATCAGTCATAACCAGATTTCTGGGATTGAAAGTCAAGCTTTTGACGGCATGGAACGTTTACTCAAAATGAAGATGGGTTACAATAAATTGAAGATTTGGGACGGCAACTGGTTCAGAGGTTCGTGGTCCTCTGATTGGACTCCGACGTTCAGAGAAATTTACGCCGAGTATAACGACTTTGAGGAAATTCCGGGAAACGCGTTCCAGAATTTTGAAAATAACACTTTTATTATTGATTTGAAGTGGAACAAAATTAAGAAGATTCATGATGGGGCTTTCAATGGAATTACATATCTACAAAATCTAGACCTATCTCATAATGAAATAAGTGAATGGGGTGATCTGTTGGACCACATGAAAATTGTAGGAACTGTAAATGTGGATGATAATAAGTTTGATTGTATTAAGTTTCGTTACATAATCGTTCCTCACTTAAAACTGGTACCAATACACCCATGTGTAGATATGGGGCGTTGTGGCAACAATTACTGAAACCCAGATGTCAAAAGCTTTATGATAATTTGTAATTTGTGTAAAATTAATTTTTCAGAAGTCGTTAGGTTTTTGGATAAGTATTGTCCTTTATAAGGTCAACATGAAGACAGATGAGAAAAGTGTAGGTTTGAATCCCAAAAAAGTGGTTCTTAAGTTTAAGTTAGTGTAATAATAATAATAAAATAATACAAATACCTACAAAATTACAAATTGTTGTAATACAGGACAAATTTTTGGTTGTTTCCCCCATGATGATCGTGCACTTTAATTTGACCTCCGGGAACAAAAAATCTCCCTTGTACATCCAGAACTTTGTTGCTGCCAGGATTTCTGACGGTCTGTTCCTCAGAATTATATTGCCACAGCTGACTCGGAGCTCCACTTTTTGCCTCAGTTACGAGATGAAACTCATTTTGAGCCCCCTGTGCATGAAGATATCTCCTACAAGCAGAACTGTGTTTTCTAAATCAAGCATGTGTCTGTACTTACCCTGTGCCAACGTTCTTCAGAAAAAAACTAGCCTGTGATGGGCACTCAAATTCCCATTGTTGCAGCGGACTTCCTGTAAATTCTCGGAGTTTGACTTCAGGTTCGCTTGCGTCTAGGACGAGAGACGAAGCCGAGTTTACGATGATGATGGAATTCGGGTGGTCCGGGTACCATTGCACCTTTTGCTGGATCAAGGAGTGGGGTTTGATGGATTTCTGAAATGGGTGGCAAGGGGAAGATGAACTCATGGTGGGTTTTCTTGGTACTAACAAACTGTTGTCGGAATGGATTTTATAAGGAAGTAGTTGCACCGCATGATTTCTCATCTAAACAGAGCGGCAAAACCACGTAAATTATTATTAACGTTGGAGCAAGACCAACTAATAATTTTAATACGCTCTGTAGAAATTCTGTCAGGGGTTATGGATGTGGCTACTTTGTGGTCGTAATTTGATAGGTTGTTTTCTTGGGTTTATTATAACTTTCGATTGTTAATTTACCACAAGATAATTAATTATCAAAATAAATAATTTGTGTTTTTTGTCTAGAATTCAGGGTTACGGAGCAAAAAATTCGGTGCGAAATTCGAAACACCGAAAAATTGAAACATTGTAAAAACATAGAAAAATCAAAAATAAAACTGAAAAATCGGGAATTGAAAAATTGGAAAAACGAAAAAATAAAAAATCCCGAAATTGAAAAATCGAATAACTGTAACACCGAAGCATTAAAAAATGCAACAATTAAAAATCGAGAAATTGAAAAATCGACAAGATGCAACAATTCTGCTTTTTTAAATTTACGATTTCTCAAATTTTCAATATTCCAGTTTTAGAATTTTTGGGTTTTTTAGTCGTTTGATTTTTTGAATTTTCAATTCTTCAATTTTTTGATTTTTCAATTCTTTTAAATTTTGGCGTTTTAAACTTTCAGTTTTTCCATTTCTCGATTAATCGATTTTCGATTTCTCGATTTGTCGCCTTTTTAATTTTGTGATATTTCAATTTTCCTCTTTTTCCAGGTTTTTGTTTTCCAATTTTTCGATTTTCCGACGTTTCGCGATTTTTCAATTTTTCTTCAATTTTTCCATACATATTTCGTTCTGGGTTATTTTGATTTTCGATTTTCTAATTTTCCTGTTTTTTGATTTGCCGATTTCTCTATTTTCAATTTCTCGATATTTTCAGTTTTACATTTTTCGATTTTAATTCTTCTAATTTTTGGCGTTTTTAAACTTTCCATTTTTCGATTTTGCGATGAATCGATTTTTCTCGATTTCCCGGCTTTTCGTTGTTCTTCAAAAAAAAAACAAAAAGTTCCCGAATTTGAAATGTTCAAACATTGAGAATTCGAAAACTTGAAAAAAAAAATCGAAAAACCGAGTGTCATGAAAGCAAAACATCAAAAGATGGTAAAATCTAAAAATCGAAAAACTGAAAAACCAAAACACTTTTTTATTTTCAATATTTCGGTTTTACAATCCATATATACATATTTCGTTTTATCGATTTTGCAATTTTTTGAGTTTTAATTTACTCATTTCCCGATTTTCCGACTTTTTGAAGTTTCTCAAAAAAAATTCAGAAGATCCAAACTCCCAAAATTGAAATGTTGAAAAATTGAGGAATTGAAAATTTGAAAAATCTAGAAATCTAAAGGACGAAAAATTTTAAATGGCACAAAATCGCATGTCAAGAAACCAAAATATCAAAGAATCGTAAAATTGAAAAATTGAAAATTCGAAAACAATAAATTTCAGAATTGAACAACTGGAAAACCAAAACAGTTCTTTTATTTTCAATATTTCGATTTTACAATAGGTACATATTTCACTTTTTCGATTTTGCACTTTTTCGATTTTTGATTTTTGAGTTTTAAAATTTCGATTTTGAATTTTTCGTTTTTTTACAATTTTTACATTTTTCAAAGTTTTCAATTTATACATTTCCATTTTTTCATTTTTGATTTTTCAATTTTACTTTTTTAATTTTTTATTAACAGTTGAAAAATCCGAAACTGAAAAAAAAAGAAAAATTGTAAAATCAAAAAAGTGGAAAATCGAAAAATTGCAAATCGAAGAACTACAGAAAAGAAAAACTGTAATAATGAAGAACTTAAAATCACGAAACTTAAAAATCGAAAAACATTAATGAATCGAAAAATTGGAAACAAGAAAAAACGAGTTGAAGCGAAAAAAAAACATAGAAAAATTAAAAATAAAACAACAAAATCGGGAATTGAAAAATTGGAAAAACGAAAAAATAAAAAATCCGGAAATTGAAAGATCAAAAAATCGAAAAACGAAACAATTTTGAAAATTTTTCAATTTTAAAGTTTTCAAGTTCTTGATTTCCAACTTTAATCAAAATAAAATTTTGCAAAATCGAATAACCGTAGCACCGAAACATTAAAAAATGAAACAATTAAAAACCGAGACATTTTCCGATATAATATTTTCAAATTCTGAATTTTTCATTTTTTAATTATTCAACAAAAGGACAAATTTATTCAAACCGAAATTTTAATTGAACTGAAAAATCAAAAAATTGAGAAATCGTAGAATTGAAAAAAATAAAGAAAACTTGAAAAAGCCGAAAATATGAGACTTAAAAACTGAAAAATGAAACTTGAAATATCGAAAAATTGAAAAATTGAAAAATGAAAAAATTGAGAAATTGAACAATGGGAGAACTGAAAAATCAATTGAAAAATCAAAAAATTGTATTATTGAAACCTGAAAACTCTGGTTAATTAAAAATCGAGAAAGTGAAAAATTGAAAAAACGAACAAAAACTTCTATAAGTTAAACAATCAAAAATACAAAAAAAAATAATTTCAAAATTCAAAAATTTTAAAATGAAAACCGAAAAACTAAAAAATTAAGAAATTGTAAAAACGAAACATGGAAAAATTAAAAAAATGTAACATCGAAAAACCGAAAAATTTTAAAGTTGAGAAATCGAAGAACTGAAAAATCGGAAAATGGAAAAGCCAAAAATTGAATAATAAAAACCCTAATTGAAAAAATTGGCAAACTGAAAATTGGGTAACGAAAAAACAATTGAAACATGAAGCAACTGAGAAAAAGATAGAAACTGTAAAATCGAAAATTTGTAACACTGAAACCTGAAAAATTGATAAATTAAAAATCTAGGAATTGAAAAATCAAAAAAACGAAAAATTGTAAAATTCAACAGACAGAAAATCGAAAAATTAAAATATCTACAACTTTACTGAAAAATGCAACAATTTCATAATGAAAATCGAAAAACTAAAAAATGGAGAAATTGAAACACGGAAAAATGGAAAAATTATCAATTAAAAAGACGAAAAATATAAAAATATCGAATTGAGAAATCAAAACTCGAAGAAACAAAATAATTTGGAATTACCCACTTGGAAGTACTTTATTTTTAATTTTTTATTTTCTCAATTTTTCGTTTTTTAATTTTAACCGAACAATTTAAAAATTGAGAAATCGAAGAACTGCAAAAATAAAGAAACTCAAAATCGAATAATTAAAAGCTCAACAATTGGAAAAGGAAAAATTGTAACCTTAAACATGAAAAAACTAAAAAATTGAACAATTGCAAAATTGAAAATCAGAAATAGAAAAAACAAAACTTGAAACACGGAGAAATTTAAAAATTGTAATCTTAAAACTTGAGAAACTGAAAACTTCTATAATTGAAAAAACACCTGAAAATTTGTAAAATTGGAGAAAAAGAAACTGTAAATTCGAAAAACTGATTAATTAAAAATCGAGAAATAAAAAAAAAAATACGAAAAACAAACTTTTCTAGGAATAGAAAAATCGACAAATTTTAAAATTCAAAAGTTCAAGAATGTCAAAATAAACATCGAAAAACTGTAAAAATAAAAAATCCCTAAATTGAAAGATCAAAAAATCGGAAAAAGAAACAATTTTGCAAAATTTTTCAATTTTTAAGTTTCCATGTTCTTGATTTCCAACTTTAATCAAAATTGAAAAATCGACAAAATCTGCAATTTTCGATATAAAATTTTTCAAATTCTCGATTTTTATTCCTTTATTATCTCGATTTGTCATTTTTGTTAATTGTTCAACAAAAGGACAAATTTATTCAAACCGAAATATTGAATTGAACTGAAAAATCAAAAAATTGAGAAATCGAAGAATTGAAAAAAATATAGAAAACTTAAAAAAGCCGAAAACATGAGACTTGAAAACTGAAAAATGAAACTTGAAATATTGAAAAATTTAAAAATTGAAAAATCGAAAAATGAAAAAATTGAGAAACTAATGGGAGAAATGAAAAAACTATTGAAAAATCGAAAAATTGTAATATTGAAACCTAAAAACTAGGATTAATTAAAAATCGAGAAAGTGAAAAATTGAAAAAACGAAAAACAAAAACTTTTATACATTAAACAATCAAAAATAGAAAAAAAAACATAATTTCAAAATTAAAAAAATTTAAAATGAAAACCGAAAAACTAGAAAATTAAAAAATTGTAAAAACGAAACATGGAAAAATTAAAAAATTGTAACATCGAAAAAAAGAAATGGTGAAAAACCGAAAAATTTAAAAGTTGAGAAATCGAAGAAACTGAAAAATCGGAATATGGAAAAGCCAAAAATTGAATAATAAAAACCCTAATAAATTTGAATTATGAAAAATTAAAAATCGGCAAATTTAAAAATGAAGCAATTACAGAATTGTAAATTTGAAAAAAAAATTAAAAATGGAAAAATTGAAGAAATGAAAAATTGAAAATCAAAAATTGAAAAACCAAACTTAAAATATTGAAAAATTGAAAAAAATGGCAAACTGAAAATTGGGTAACGAAAAAACAATTAAAAAATGGAGGAACTGAGAAAAAGATAGAAACTGTAAAATCGAAAATTTGCAACACTGAAACCTGAAAAAGTGCAATTAAAAATCTAAGAATTGAAAAATCGAAAAAACGAAAAAAGCAAATTAGAAAATCGAAAAATTAAAATATCTACATTTTATTGAAAAATGCAACAATTTCATAGTGAAAATCGAAAGACTAAAAAATGGAGAAATTGAAACACGGAAAAATCGAAAAATTATCAATTATAAAAGCGAAAAATATAAAAATCTCGAATTGAGAAATCAAAGAATCGAAGAAACAAAATAATTTGGAATTACTTACTTGGAAGTACTTTATTTTTATTTTTTTCAATTTTTCGTTTTTTAACCGAACAATTAAAAATTGAGAAATCGTAGAACTGCAAAAATAAAGAAACTCAAAATTGAAAAACTGATTATTTAAAAATCGAGAAATAGAAAAATCCGCAAAACAAAATTTTCTAGAAATAGAAGAATCGACAAATTGCAAAATTCAAAAGTTGAAGAATGTGAAAATGAACATCGAAAATTGTAAAATTAATAAATCGAAAACTGAAAAATTGAAAAAATGAAACATTGTACAATAAAAAAAATTGAAATACCGAAATGTTCAAAAAATAGCGAAAGTAAAAAATCGGATAACGAAAAAATCAACAATTGAAAAGTCAAAAAAATTAAAATGTCTTAAAATGGAAATATCGAAAAATCGAGAAACTGAAAAGTCGACAACAAAAAATTAAAAAATACGAGAACCCCAAAATAAAAATGAAAAGATGAAAGCAATAATATTCGACTTTGGGCCAGTTTGAATTTAGCGCCGATGTACTTTGTTGTGATTGGTCGGCACGGGTGCGGAAATTAATGGATACTTGTTCTTAGTTAATGTGTAAAAAAAACTCAAAGATTAAGCTCCACCCACCCACCTCGGTCTTAGTTGTGGTGAGTTTTTCATTCGTAATCAAACCGAGGGGCGGAGTTTAATTACAAAATCCACATTCCTCTACAAAATTTTACCCTTTTAAAACCGTTCACATAGTAATTTCTTGTGGAGAAATGATGATTTTGCAATTAAGCTTCGGCCCTCAACTCAGGATAAATAAAAAAATCGTCACAATTGGGAGGGGGTGGGTGGGTGGGGCTTATATTTTGCCCATTTTTTCTTAATATACGAAGTTTTCTTTTTCCAACAAGAAACTGAAAACATGTTTAACTATTCTTTTGTATAAACAAAAGTATATATATCAGGAAAAAAAAGATGAAACACAAATCACCCGTCCCGATTTTAATTGCGATAAATTTTTCATTCGTTGTTAGATAACGGGCGTTCACCCACCTTTCTTTTCTTAGAGGGTATCTCATGAACTAAAATCAGTTCTATCTTAACAACTAATAGCCCCACCCACCCACCCTTTCCTTTCTTCTAGTATATGCCATCTGCCAAAATCATTTTTATCTTAGCAAGTACTTATGACTACATTTTACATACAGCGTAGAAAATTTCATTTTGAAAAAAGTTGTCTAAAAATTCTGAAAAAATTTATCATATATGTATATATATGTATATATATCTGTGAATTCAAAAATTTAGAGTGTTTAGCAATATTTTCGAAAAATTCGGAAGACTTGATTAAGAAAAGGACAAGTTAAGAGTTGTCGCACGTCATTAAACTGATAACAGTATCGACAGTTTTCAAAACGGTACCACCACACAAGTACCATTCAAGATAAGATATCTCAGTCTCCAAACCGATTCAAACCAAAAATGCTCGCAACTCTACTGGTTCTAATTTTCGCCGGTGCCACCACAGGTAACTAGTACTTACTAGTGTTAGCACGTACATCCCTCCAACCCCTCTGCGCAGGTTCGCCCCCCCATGGTCGCATTTTCGGCGGCACCATCGCCTCCCCCGGCCAGTTCCCCTTCGTCGCGTCCTTAAACAACCCAGAACAATTCTGCGATGGTTCCATAATCAACAAAAACTGGATCGTCACAGCCGGCCACTGCATCGACGCCGTAACTCCCAACTCCACAGTACTCGTAGGTACCATCTACGAAAGCTCGGGTGGTACTAAGTACAACATCTCCAAAGCGATCCAGCACGAAGCCTACAACTCAACAACTGCCCAAAACGATATAGGTTTGATTCAAATCAATGGAGAGTTTGAGTTTGGGGATGAAGTCCAGGCTGTGGAGTTCGCCGATCCTGAAGTCAACGCAAGTTGTCAAGCAGCTGGGTGGGGGGCTAGTGAAACGACTTCGTTCCCTGAGGAGTTGCTGTATGTTGAACTGGTGGCTTTGAGTTTCGAGCAATGCAAAGATTTAATTGAGAGTATGGATCCGTTTTATTTGGGGAGTGAACAAGTTTGTGGTTATGGTCCTTCGGGAAAAGGAGTTTGTTTTGGGGATTCGGGAGGACCGTTGGTGTGTGGCGGGAAGTTGGCGGGGATTGTGAGTTACACGGTTTCTGCTTGTGCCCATGGGTACCCAGATGTTTATGTTAGACCGTTGGCTTATGCTGACTGGATTGACGAAAATACAAAGTAAAGTGGTACTTACTTAAGTACTTAGAATATATATATTATTATGAAACAATGTTTTGGTTTTATTTTGTTGTGTGGTCTAGATGTCAGTGACACGTTTTATCCATTGTCTTTCAAATGCGGTACTTGTAAATATTCCAGAGCCACCCTTGTTGCAAGTGGTACCGTAGGAACTGGCAATTCCAACCTGGACGGGATCCGTGAAAGCATTAAGTACCAAAGCGTCCCCAATGTCCCCCTACCATACCCTAAATTAGTCCGAGTTGTTTATGCGTTTCTACTAACCAAACAAATATTTTGGGAATCACTATTGCCATCCGGAATGGCACATATAGTACTATCAGTACCTGCACAAGATGTACTTATTGTTAAATTGGAGTAAGTAAGATCTGACGATATAACGTCATCTACAATAAACAAATTGAGACACCCATAATCATTCTAATCTAAGTACCTAAGTACCTTCACTTATAGCACCCCAGCCACTAACAGTCACAGTACTATCTTCATCTACATCTTCAGTCATTAAAGCAATGGGTTGAATATAATCTAAAAACACAAAACCCTCACTTATTGAATTTTTTCGAAATATAAGTACCATTAAACACCACCGCTTCTGGTAAGCGTACCACAGCCACATCATTTTCGTACGTCCAAGGATTAAAGTTCTCGTGGATTATCCACAACCGTGAGTGCAGTTCCACCTGGTCTGGATCATCTCCTGTTGATTCTAACGTACCTAGTAGTACCCTGATTCTGAAAAAAGCTCTAACCCACCAATTATTATTTTTTCGTCGGGTAATTTTAAGCGTACTTTCCCACACAATTGGCACTAGTGAGTACCCAGGTGTCACTAATGAGGGAACCACCGCAAAATTTTAGTCCTGTGTTGGTGGGAATCCAAAGAGCTGCCTGCCATGGGAATTGACCTTTGGATGCTGGTTCACCGTTGAAAATTCGGGGTCTGAACTATGATTAGAGTAGAGGACCAAAAGGTGTGGCTTGTGGCACTTACCTCTTTTCGGGGGAGAGACAAGGCGGTAGCGAGTGTTAGAAACAAGAGTAGCTTGTGGATCATTTTGTCTTATCAGGTGTTTTTTTTTAGTTTAAGTAGGAAATTGAGGTTTAAAAGACGAATTTTTTGTTATCAAATTTTTATGAGTGGCTGAGGAAACAATAAAATCTGTTTTTTTATTCAAGTACCACTTGTGATAAAATTGATACGTGCTGTTAGAATAAGCAGTGGTGCCAACTTAGAAACACAAAGCTACACTTTTTTTCTTGTTTTCTTAGTTTCCAATTTCAAATTTTCGATTTTTTAATAAACCTGTCCTAAGTACCATATTGTCTAATCATTCCTAACAACAATTTGGTGACGTCTTTTTATCATTTTTCTTAGTAAAAGATCTAAATTTTATAAAATGATATACTCCTGTACTGGTGGTTTATGAATCCGCTTCAAATTTCATTACAATTCCTTTATAAAAATTCTCTATTAATCTAAATAATCTTAGATCACTTATTTTAATGTATTGTGATACAAAAAGTTTAATTTCTTTATTTCTCTTATTCCGCTATAGATACTTAATTTTTTAGCTCGTCCTTTTTTTATATCGATTTTAGTATGTATTTTTATTTTTTGAATATTTTCGTTTTGGGTTTTGTTGTATACAACGTTTTCATCATTTTTCTCTTTATTTTACTTTTGAAATATCTTGACCCATTTTCCGTTTTTAGATTTTTCTTTATATTTATGTCGTCTTTTTTAATTTTTCATTTCATCAATTAATTGATGTTTCCATTTTTTTGTAATTGTCAACTTATTTTTTTGAATTTTTGAATTTTTGAAAATTATATTTTGCAATTTTTCAATTTCTCAATTTTTTGATTTGCAATTTTTTGAGTTTTCGATTCTAGGTTTTTCAAATTTTCGATTTATCAGCGCTTGATTTTTTTAATTTTTTCACTTTATCATTTTTTGATTTTGCAGTTAGTTTGATTTTTCAATTTTTAACAACTTTCATTTTTCTTTTAGGTACTTATTAAATTTTTGGATTTTTCTGTTTCTCGATTTTCAAATTTCTCGTTTATCAATTTTTCGATTTAGGTACAGTTTTCCGATTTCAAGTTCTCTAGTTGTCAGTTTTTAATTTTTCAATTTTTAAATTTAAATTATTCTTAATTGTTTAATTTTTAAATGGCTTTATCATGCTTTTATTAACTGAGCATTTTTAACACCCATTTTGAATTTTTAAAAAATTTTTAGTGTTTTACAATTTTTCGAATTTGCTTCAGAATTTTTCAATTTTTCGATATTATAATTTCCAAGTTTTTTGTTTTACAGTTGTTGGATTTTTTACTTTTTGAATTTAGAATTTTTAGATTTTACGGTTTTTAGATTTTACGACTTTCCGATTTCAAGTTTTCTAGTTTTCAATTTGTAGTCTTTCAATCTTTAGCATTTAAATATTTCAAGTTCTCAATTTTTGATTTAGGACTGGAAGAACAAGTTTATTATTTTACCTGCAATTTTCAAAAAATAAAAAATCTAAAGATAGAAAATCTGTTGAAGAGATGATGAAAAACTAAAGTCTCGAAAAATTGAAAAATTTAAAAGGTGAGGAGAAAACATACTGAAAAATTGAAATATGCAAAAGTTGAAAAATCGAAAATGTCAAAAATTTAAAGCTGGAAACAAATAATTCCAAATCAAAAAATTAAATATCGAGTAACTGAAAATTCTAAAACTGAAAAAACAAAAAATCGAAAAATTGAAAAGCGGAAAATTCGGAAAATTTAAGATATAAAAAATTGAACAATCGAATAACTGAAAAACCGAAAAGGTTTAAAATAGGAAATTATGAAAACTAGAAATTACAAATTTCAATGATGAAGTAACGAACATTGCAAAATCGAAAATTCAAAAGTTGAAAAATCGAAAAATTAGAAAATCCAAAAACTTTAAAAACGAAAAATTGTAAAATCAATGAATTACAGAAGGAAGAATTTAAATCTGGAAACAAAAAATTGCGAATCAAAAAATTGAGAAACTGAAAATTCTAAAACTGTAAAACCAAAAAATCGAAAAATTGAAAAGTTGAAAATTCGAAAATTTTAAAAATAAAAATGTCAAAAATTGAAAACTGGACACAAAAAATTGTAAATCAAAAAATTGAAGAAACGAAAATTTGAAAATTGAGAAACCGAAAATTCTAAAATTGAAAAAACAAAAAATTGAAAAATTAAAAAGCTGAAAATACGAAAAATTGAAAAAAAAAATGCAAATCCGATTATTCAAGATACAAAAAATTAAAAATTCGAATAAATGAAAAACCCAACAAGTCAAAAATAGGAAGTTATGAAAACTAGAAATTGCAAATCTCAAAGGTGAAGTAAGGAAAAATTGAAAAATCCAAAAATTAGGAAATTCAAAAAAATTGAAAAAACGAAAAAGTGTAAAATCAATGAATTACAGAACGAAAAATTGGATGATTAATCCAAAAGTTGAAAACCCGAAAAACAGAATTATTGAAAAATGGAAAAACTCAAAAATTTAAAACTGGAAATAAAAAATTGTAAATCTAAAAACTGAAGAAAAAAAAATAAAAAATCCAGGAACTGAAAATTCTAAAATCGGAAACACAAAGAATCGAAAAATTCAAAAGCTGAAAATTCGAAAAATTGAAAAATTTGAAATTGAAACAAAAAATTGTAAACCGGCAAATTCAAGATGCAAAAAATTGAAAAATCGAATAATTGAAAAACCGAAAAAGTCAAAAATTGGAAATTATGAAAATACTTAGAAATTAGAAATCTCAAAGGTGAAGTAACGAAAAATTGAAAAATCGAAAATTCAAGAGTCCAAAAATCGAAAAATCCGATTATTTAAAACTGGAAACTCGAAAAATTGCATATCGAAATATTGTAGAAAGGAAAAATTAAAAATTAGAAAATTCAAAAAATTAGAAAAACGGGAAACCGTAAAATCAATGAATTACAACAACGAAAAATTAAATACTTTTTAAACTAATTCAAATGTTGAAAACTCGAAAAATAGAATTATTCAAATATCGAAAATGTCAAAAATTTAAAACTGGAAACAAAAAATTGCAAATCAAAAATTGAAAAAACAAAAAATTAAAAATCGAGGAACTGAAAATTCTAAAATTGAAAAACCAAATAATCGAAAAATTCAAAAGCTGGAAATTCGAAAAATGAAAAATTTTAAATTGAAACAAAAAATTGAATATTCCAATAATTGAAAAACCGAAAAAGTCAAAAATAGGAAATTATGAAAATTAGAAATTAAAATTCCAAAGGTAAAGTAAAAAAAATTGAAAAATTCAAAGTTCAAAAATGGAAAAATCGAAAAATTAGAAAATTCAAAAAATGAAAAAAACAAAACATTGTAAAATCAATGAATTACAACGAAAAATGAATACTTAACCCAAAAGTTGAAAACTCGAAAAATAAAATTTTATTGAAATATCGAAAATGTCAAAAATTTCAATCCGGATATAAAAAATTGTAAATAAAAAAATTGAAGAAACGAAAAATTAAAAATCGAGTAACTGAAAATTCTAAAATTGAAAAAACAAAAAATTGAAAAATTTAAAAGCTGAAAATTCGAAAAATTAAAACAATTTAAACTGAAACAAAAAATTGAAAATCGGAAAATTCAAGATACAAAAAATTGAAAAATTGAAAAATCGAATAATTGATAAACCGAAAAAATCAAAAATAGAAATTTATGAACACTAGAAATTGCAAATTTCAAAGGTGAACTAACGAAAAATTGAAAAATCGATAATTCAAAAGTTAAAAAATTGAAAAATCCGAATCTTACTTAAAACTGCAAACTTGGAAAATTGCATATCGAAATATTGTACAAGGGAAAAATGAAAAATTAGAAAATTCAAAAAATTAAAAAATCGAAGAATTGTAAAATCGATGAATTACACAACGAAAAATTGAATATTAAACCCAAAAGTTGAAAATTCGAAAAATATAACTGAAATACCGAAAATGTCAAAAATTTTAAACTGCAAACAAAAAATTACAAATCAAAAAGCGAAAAATTAAAAAACGAGAAACTGAAAATTCTAAAATTGAAAAATTCAAAAACTGAAAATTCTAAACATTGAAAAATTTTAAATTGAAACAAAAAATTGCAAATCGGAAAAATCAAGATACAAAAAATTGAAAAATCGAATAACTGAAAAACGGAAAAGTCAAAAATAGGAAATTATGAAATCTACAAATTGTAAATCTCAAAGGTGAAGTAACGAATTGAAAAAACGAAAATTCAAAAAAATATTGTAAAATCAATGAATTACAACGAAAAATTGAATACTTAACCCAAAAGTTGAAAACTCGAAAAATAGAATTCTATTGAAATATCGAAAATGTCAAAAATTTAAATCTGTAAACAAAAAATTGTAAATCGAAAAATTGAAGAAACGAAAAATTAAAAATCGAGAAACTAGAAATTCTGAATTTGAAAAGCCAAAAAAATTAAAAAATTTAAAAGCTGAAAATTCGAAAAATTGAAAAATCCATGAATTACAAAACGAAAAATTGAATACTTATCCCAAAAGTTGAATACTCGAAAAATAGAATTATTGAAAAATAGAAAATATCAAAAATTTAAAATTGGAAACTGGAAAAAAATTTGTCAATGAAAAAACTAAAGGAACGAAAAATTAAAAATCGAAAAACTGAAAATTCTAAAATTGAAAAATTTAAACAAAAAATTGCAAATCGGAAAATTCAAGATACAAAAAATTGAAACATCGAATAACTCAAAAACCAATAAAGTCAAAAATAGGAAATTATGAAAATACTTAGAAATTGCAAATCTGAAAGGTGAAGTAACAAAAAACGAAAATTCAAAAGCTGAAAATTATAAAATTCAAAAAATTTTAAAATCAATATATGTTTTACATACAGAATGAAAAATTGAATGTTTAATCCAAAAGCTGAAAACTCTAAGAATAGAATTGTTGAAATATCAAAAACTTTAAAAATTTCAAAGCTGAAAATTCGAAAAATTCAAAAATTTTAAATTGAAACAAAAAATTGCAAATCAGGAAATTCAAGATACAAAAAAGGAGAATAAATTAAAAAACGAAAAGGTCAAAAATAGGAAATTACGAAAACTAGAAATTGCAAATCTCAAAGGTCAAGCAGATAACGAAAAATTGAAAAAGTAAAAAAATCGAAAAATCCGAAAACTTAAAACTGGAAGCTCAAAAAATTGCATATCGAAATATTATAAAAGGGAAAAATTAAAAATTAGAAAATTCAAAAAATTAATAAACGAAAAATTGAATACCTACTTAATGCAAAAGTTGAAAACTCGAAAAATAGAATTATTGAAATACCATACATCACAAATGTCAAAAATTTAAAAGTGGAAACAAAAAATTGCAAACCAAAAAATCGAAGAAACGAAAAACGAAACGAATCTAAAAATTCGAAAAATTGAAAAATTTTAAATTGAAACTCAAAAAATTGCAAAAAATATTGGCCCGACTGTACTTATCGGTCAGAATAATAAAAACAATAACACAGAGCAAAACAGAATAAATTAACTTTAAATTACAGATGAAAAATTAAAGTTGGTATTAAAAAAAAATGCTTTCAGTTTTTACGAACGTTAACAAATCTAGTGTTCCCTGAAATTTATTACTGACGTATTATTAACAAATTTAGAACTGTCATAACGAAAATATAAAGATCGTGTTCAGAAAATTGATAATTAAACAATTAATTTATATTTTATTTTAGGAGTACAAAAATACGCCATTCTGTTCACTCATTTCAGGTCTGAATTTTGATTGGTGATCTACTAAACTCGATTTCCATTGGTTGTCCTAACCACACCTAGAGCCAATAGGGGTTGTGATGACGAAAACGACATTTTGTATTATTAACGTCTGACAAACTTTACATCCGCCAAGTTTGTCTAACCATTGTTGCAAAATACGGTATTAGTTCATAATTTTGTCAAGCAAGATTACAATTTCAATTGAAAGAACTTGGAGACATCTATGAATATCGACTCGAATTACGACGCATCAGATTACAGTGTTCTGCTTTTTTAAGTGACAGTTGTTTTTCAGTAAGTTGCGATTTGTAAATCAGTGTTGTTTAATTTATTTTTTCATTAACATTAGGCGTTTGATTAACATTAAGGTAAGACAGTTATTCTATTTATCTATTGTATAAGTGAAATCTCGTATAATAAAAAATTATCAACAAATAAACATAACCTATACAGAATTTCCGGTGTTTGGTTGTGGTTAAAGTCACGGCTACCAACCAGTCGAAAGTGGCTATGGAAACAACAATTTTAATTTTTAGATGGCTGAATGGTTAAAAGAACCCATTCAGTGGAAAGGCGACCACAAATCCATCCTTTTATCGCCAGACAACAGAACCGAACCCACCTCTGATCTCACCATAGAGCAATTAATGGCAAATAGCTCCTCATTCCCGGTCAAATTTCCCATAGAGACCACCCGCTGCTGGAAACTCAAGGACAAAACATCCGCGGAAATCCTCGAAACAAACATAAATTCAGCCTACCCCCTAATTCACGAATATGGCCTCTACCTCTGTTCCACGTTTCTTCTTTACCAGAAAACCTCCGGCCTGTGTAAAGAGTTCTACAAAAAAATGTCTTTGGTCCAGTTGATCGACAGGCTGTTGAAGAAAAGAGCCGTCATGTTCTTGGACCCGTCAGACCGTTACAAGTTGTTGAGTGGAGAAACTGGAATGGGAGATTGGGAGAGTATTGGAACGACCGACGAAAAACCACCTCTAGTTTTGGAGAACTGTCTAAGCTATGACGAAATTAAATTGTCAGCTTTGTTGTCGGTGTCGTCGAGGAGCTATTTTATCAATGATGGTGATAGGAACAACGAGGGGAAGTTCGAAACCGATAGAAGCAAGGTGGAGGAATATGGGGTAGTTGTGGGAGTGATTGGGACGCGACTGGAAAAGCCGAAAGTTATGGAATATCGGGAAATAGTAAAATCCAAAGAACAGAATAACGAAAGAAATGGATATGGGGTTGGTTGCGTTTCGTTACAAAATGAATTTCTGAACTTCTATGGTGATGAATGTGGGACTTATGAAGATTTGGTGGAGCGCATGAAAAATTTAGAGGACAGATATACAGATTTGGGTGAATAAATACATGTCTAATTAGTTTTGTCTAAAAACATCGTGGAAGGTTTATTTCTTTCTGTTGTGTGTAGGTAGAGGCAGATTCTTTGATACCCTCATGTACGAGAGAAGGATGGCCATATCCTTTGACACCCTTTTACTAGAAGCCAATCACAGAGCTAAACAGGAATCCAAGATGGCGTACATCCATCTAGTGGGGATCGGGCTAGGAGTGTGGAAGTTGTATGACCGACAAAACCAACTTTTCTTGAACACGTGTGCTCACAGATTAGAGTAAGTTTCAGCTTTTAGTAACAGTTTGAAACGTTGAGGTTTTAGATTGCTTTCTGATGTTCTTACAAACGTGAGTGATGTTCGGTTTGCTTATATTCGGAAAGGAAAAACAGCCGGGCACTACAGAGCCGGTGCTAAAATCAAAGGGATTAAGATACACATGGTCGATAAAAACCCACAGGAGAAGCTAAAAGAACAGGACCAGGGGAAATTGCTGGTGGTGTCGTACGCGTGGGATGGTAATGCCTTACCCGGAAATGAATTTTGGGGTGGGAGTTTAAGCGGGAGTGGGGATCCCGCCGCCGCGTGTTCTACGCAGGTGGCAGAACTGCACAATAGTCACATTAACGGGACAGTTTGTGGGGGGAGACTGAGAGTGGCCACTTCCAAGGGAGTGGTAACGTTCCAAGAATATCAGAGTCTACATAAGGACGACTGATTACGTTACGTTATGCATTTAGTGTGTTTTTTATGACCCAAGAAAATAAAATATTTATAGTTGTTTCTAACGTTTTTGGTCAAAGTTTCTTCAGTGATCGTGAAGACTACATATACATACTAAGAAAAAAGGCAAAGTATTAACCCCACCCGCCCACCCTATCTCAATTGTGTGTTATTTGTCGTGAGCCAAGAGGGCGGAGCTAAATTGCAAAATATTTGTTTCTCTACAGGAAAGGGAGAGAGGATTACACAGTCTCCTTTTTCTCAAAATGACATATTTTGAACAATATCATCATACCTACTTAAAACATGGAAAACATCGATTTTACCATTATTAAACTCTGCCCCTCGGTCTGACAACAAATTAAAAATTCATCAGAGTTGAGATTGGGGCGGGTGGGTGGGGCTTACTTTTTAACTGTTTTTTTCTTAACATATATAGCTTCCTTTCAACAACAATGAACAAAAAAGTTACTTATCGTAATTAAGACAAGGGCGGGTGGGCGGGGTTTTCTTTTCACGACAAGACACTGAAAACATGCTTAAAAGGGTAAATTTGTAGACAAGGGAAATTGAGTAAGTGGGGCCAAGAAAACAAAGCCAGTAAAAAATTGTGGAAGGTTATTTTAAGAGAACTTGCCTCGCCTTTGAAGTATAGTCCGATAAATTTTGCTTCTTTAAAAATATATTGGATTAGATTTTGCGATTTTCGTCTTGGTTAATTCGTAATCAGTTTTTTTGCCAAAAACTCTCGTAAATTTGAGGAAATTCGGCAAAAATGCAAGATGGAGGACAAATTTTGATTAACGAGTTACCATGTTTTAAACGCTCTTAAAATATTTGCACGAGTTCACAGGATTCGTTTTTTTTTTAATTTCAAAGTTAAATTGTAAAATATTGTTATACAATCCTGGTCAACACAGATTCATAAATCACACATACAGGATTATGTTATTTTATAAACTTTAAAGAAGACTTATTTGTTCGGCATAATTCTGAGATGTCATGATTTTTTGGGAAGGCCTGAATTGAACAAGTTGTGGTTAACGATTTAATACTTGCTAAGGTAAGACGCATTTTGGCAAATGACATTTCTTCCAAGAAAATAGAGGGTGGGTGGGTGGGACTAGTATTTGCTAAGAAAAAAACTGATTTTAGCAAATAACATACCCCGTAAGAAAATAGAGAGAGGGTGACGGGGCTAGTAAGTACTTGCTAAAATAAGACAATTTTTGGAAAATGACATATATACTCTTTAAGAAAAAAAAGGGTGGGTGGGCGGGGCTAGGATTTCATAAGATAAATTTGCGATTAATACCCTATAAAACTAGAAACTCGGTGTTTTCCTCTCAAAGCCATTTGGAACGGTTTCAAATTTTTTCGAAATTTTGTGGATTTTTTTTTTAAATTTTCTCCACAGTTCTCAGTTATTTAAAGAGAAATTGTCAAAAATATTTTAGATTCGTAATTTGCGAAAAATTATCTATAAGCCAACTATTTTCCGTTGAGTCAGATCGTGTTTTAACTGTTTCAAACATAAAATTTTGGAAATTACGAAAAATGTTTCTCACTTTTCTGGCTAATTTTCGGAAATAGTTGAAAAATAGTCGGAAATGTCGAAAGTGCGAAAATTAGTAATATCTTATCAAATACTAGCCCCGCCCACCCACCCTCTGTTTTCTTGGAAGGTATGTGATATGCCAAAATCAGTTTTATCTTAACAAATACTATTTAATTATTATTTAATAATTTATTTAGCCATTTCAATATAGAATATAGTACTTAAGATAAGACTGAAATTGGCAAATCACATATCAAGAAAATAGAGGGCGGGTGGGTGGGGCTAGTATTTGCTGAGGTAAGACGGATTTTGGCAAATCACATATCTTGTAAGAAAATAGAGGGTGGGTGGGCGGGGCTAGGATTTCATAAGATAAATTTGCGATTAATACCCTATTAAACTAGAAACTCAACGTTTTCCTATCAAAGCCATTTGGAACGATTTCAAATTTCTTGGAAATTTTGGGGATTTTTTTTGAACATTTTCCCTGCAGTTCTCAGTTATTTGCAGACAAATTGTCAAAAATATTTTAGATTCATAATCCGCGAAAAATTATCTATAAGCCAACTATTTTCCGTTGAGTCAGATTGTGTTTTAACTGTTTCAAACAAAAACATTTTGGAAATTACGAAAAATGTTTCTCACTTTTCTCGCTAATTTTCGGAAATAGTTGAAAAATAGTCGGAAATGTCAAAAGTGCGATAATTAGTAATATCTTATCAAATACTAGCCCCGCCCACCCACCCTCTGTTTTCTTGGAAGGTATGTGATATGCCAAAATCAGTTTTATCTTAGCAAGTACTATTTAATTATTATTTAATAATTTATTTAGCCATTTCAATATTGAATATAGTACTTAAGATAAAACTGAAATTGGCAAATCACATACCTTCCAAGAAAATAGAGGGCGGGTGGGTGGGGCTAGTATTTGCTGAGGTAAGACGGATTTTGGCAAATCGCATATCTTGTAAGAAAATAGAGGGCGGGTGGGCGGGGCTAGGATTTCATAAGATAAATTTGCGATTAATACCCTATTAAACTAGAAACTCAACGTTTTCCTCTCAAAGCCATTTGGAACGATTTGAAATTTTTTTGGAAATTTTGGGGATTTTTTTTTAACATTTTCCCTGCAGTTCTCAGTTATTTGAAGGCTAATTGTCAAAAATATTTTAGATTCATAATCCCCGAAAAATTATCTATAAGCCAACCATTTTCCGCCGAGTCAAATCGTCTTTTAACTGTTTCAAACAAAAAAATTTTGAAAATTACGAAAAATGTTTCTCACTTTTCTCGCTAATTTCACTGGTCAACAGCTAAACTCTAACTTTTATTATAGCAGCCACATATTATTTAATTAACAATTTTAAATGATATTATAAACGGCTAAACCCAAACTTAGCTCTCATTTAAAAGTAATCTTCAATATTATCCTTTGAAAAATACAAAAATCGTACTATTAAGTAATAGGAAACTTTCTATAAGGTGTATTTTTTTGTGATCAAATTGCTACAAACTTCTTGGGAAACAATAAGAAAACTACGTTTAGTAAGTAGAAAACATGTTATCATCATATAAAAAATTTAAAATTAACATATTCTTAAAAGTGCATTTTATGTATTCGCATCTTGATTTTTTCCCCAAAAATTATGACGACGTGAGTGTCGGACATAGAGAACGCTTCCATCTGGGCATTTTGTGGATACAAAAACGTTACCAAGATCGATGGAACACCTAACACCGCAGAATACTGCGGGACCATCAAGCGAGAGATCTCCAATGAAATCCATAGGAGGCAAGCGAAAAAACGTCGGTCTTAGCTGTTTCTTTTGTTTTTTTCGTTTTTTAAACTACAATCGTTGTTTTTTTCTTAATTATGGTTGTTCTTTTGTTAATACATCACTTTTTGCCGTTAAAGATACAAAAATTAAATTGTTTTACCTGCTTTTTTGTTTTTAACATCAAATATGCATTTTTATTTTTAATTGAGCTAAGTTGTAAGGTTTATGCCCTTTGTTACAAACACAGAGACAAATTAAACGAAAACATTACAATTATGTCAAAGTTAGAGAGAAAAAATTGAATTTTGTTGACCAGTGTTTTCGGAAATAATTGAAAAATAGTCGGAAGTGTCAAAAGTGCGAAAATTAGTATTATCTTATCAAATAATGTAATCTTAAAACGTTTGCAATATTTCAGTACATTAGCTTTTCAAATTTTAAAAATTAAAACCTTCTCGAGGGCCCCAAATGTCTTTTTTTAAAGTACAACTTTCTCGGGGGTCCCAACTGCCTTTTTTTAAATGTAAAACCTTTTCGGGAGCCACAGTTTTTTTTTTAATGTAAAACCTCTGGGGTCCCAATTGTCTTTTTTAAAAATGTAAAACCTTCACGAGAGCCCCAAATTTTTTTTTTTAGAATGTGGAACTTTCTCGGGGCCCCCAATTGTCTTTTTTGAAAATGTAAAACCTCGAGGGCCCAAATGTATTTTTTTAGAATGTCAAACCTTCTCGGGGCTCCCATTTGTCTTTTTTAAAAATGTAAAACCTCGGGATCCCCAAATGTCTTTTTTTTTCAGTCAAATCTTCTCGGGATCCAAACTGTTTTTTAGAATGTGAAACCTTCTCGGGACTCCCAGTTGTCTTTTTTAAACAAGTAAAACCTTCTCGGGGGGGGGCCAATGTTTTTTTTAAATATGAAACCTCGGGGGTTCCAATTGTTTTTTTTTGAAAATGTAAAACCTTCTCGAGGGCCTCAAATGTATTTTTTTTAGAATGTGAAATTTTCTCGGGGCCCCTATTTGTCTTTTTCAAAAATGTAAAACCTTCTCGGAGGTCCCAAATGTATTTTTTTTAGAATGTGAAATTTTCTCGGGGTTCCCATTTGTCTTTTTCAAAAATGTAAAACCTTCTCGGAGGTCCCAAATGTATTTTTTTTTAGAATGTGAAATCTTCTCGGGGCTCCCAGTTGTCTTTTTTAAACATGTAAAACCTACTGGGGGGGGGGGGGCAATGTTTTTTTTTATAATGTGAAACCTTCTTGGGGGTCCCAACTGTCTTTTAAAAATGTAAAACCTTTTCGAGGGCCCCAAATGTATTTTTTTTTTAGAATGTGACACCTTCTCGGGGCTCCCAGTTGTCTTTTTTGAAAATGTAAAACCTCCCCGGGATCCCCAAATGTCTTTTTTTTGTCAAAACTTCTCGGGGATCCGAACTGTCTTTTTTAAAAATACTTATTAAACCTTCGGTCCTTTTCGGAAAAATATCCATTTTCTTTTGTGTTCACAGCACCAACACAACACATTTTCACTAATATTTATTAATAATAAATTGGAAATTCGTGAAAAGAGCCCTACTTTTAAGCCAAAACGGAGCTATGATGTTGCTGCCACCAAACCGAAATCAAAACTAAACACAGAGGACCAAAAAATGTGATCAGGAAGCTCACGTGACAGTGACGTCATCGTACGTCACGATGAGATTGCAAAAATTATTTTTCATATTTTAGCTCAGAAATTGTACATGTTCGGGGTTAATTTAACAATGTTTAAACAAACTAATTTGTTTTTGCTAACCTCGTTTTCTTCGGGAAATGATTTTCGGTTTACTTATCATATATTAATAGTTATCATATTTAAACATTATTAATTATGTTTAAATTTTATTTAATTATATCGCGAAAATGTATAGCTTTGACCCACCAACTTCAATCGTTTCGAAAATTTTTCCAAAATTTAAACATTTTCGAATAAACGAATCCGATAAATTAAAACTGAAGTCGTACTTACCCTGTTTTCGGTCCTTTTCGGAAAAATATCCATTTTCTTTCGTGTCTTTTAAGCCAAACCAGAGCTCCAATGTTACTGCCATCAGACCGAAATCTAAACTGAACACAAGGGGCCGGAAAATGTGATCTTTGAATAGGTAGCTCATCGTACGTCACGATGAGATTGCAAAAATTATTTTTCATATTTTGGCTGGGAAATTGCACATTTTCGGGGTTAATTTAATAATATTTAAACAAATTGCTTTGTTTTTAGTAACTTTGCGTTTTGGAGAAAACGGTGTTCGATTTAATTATTATCATATATTACTTAATACTTATCGTATTTAAACATTATAAATAATATTAATTATGTTTAAATATTATTTAATTATATCGTGAAAATTTATAGCTTTGATCTACCAACTTCAATCGTTTTGAAAATTTCCCCAAAATTTAAACTTTCTCGAGTAAACGAATCACGGAACCTGATAAATTAAAACTGAAGTTCTACTTACCCTATTTTTTTTTTTTTTAATGTGAAACCTTCTCGGGGGTCCCAGATTGTCTTTTTTGAAAATGTAAAACCTTCTCGGGGGGCCCAAATGTGTTTTTTTTAGAATGTGAAACTTTCTCGGGGCTCCCAGTTGTCTTTTTTAAACATGTAAAACCTTCTCGGGGGGGCCATTTCCTTAAAGCCCATTGTTAAAAAAAGGAAGTTATATGGCCAGAAAACATCTTTTTTTCTGCATTTGCAGCCTTGGTTATTTCATTTGGTAGCGTTTACCGAACAGATGGAGTTGTAAAAGTGACCTGTGAACAAATGCTCAAGCACGTCCACTTCAAGTACCTATCTACTTCGATAAAGATAATTTATACTCAAGTATAACAAAATTTTAGCAAATAAACACTCAGTCAACAATGGAGAAGATTCAGCTGATCATCGTAGCGATTGCGATTTACGCAGGTTACAAATTACTTCATAAATTCATCAAAAATAAATTGTCGACTTTTCTAGCCCTCGCGTCACCCCCCCATCGTCGCATCGTCGGCGGTACCACCGCCTCCCCCGGCCAATTCCCCTTCATCGCCTCCCTAAACGACCCAGAGGAGCTCTGCGGCGCCTCCATCATCACCCAAAACTGGCTCCTGACAGCAGCCCACTGCATCGAGTTCGCCCGTCCCACCTCCGTCATCGTCGTGGGTACCACTTTTCAACACTCCGGCGGTACCCGGTACAACATAACCCAAATGATCAAGCACGAGAACTTCTCGTGGACACCCATAAAAGATGACATAGCTTTGATCCAAATCGACGGAGAATTTGAGTTTGACGATTTAGTCCAGCCCGTGGAATTTAGCGACCCTGAGGCAGGGACGACCTGTGTTACCGCCGGTTGGGGTACTATAGACGACGGGAGCTACCCTGAGGAGCTGCGGTATGTGGAGATGGAGGTTTTGAGTTTGGATGAGTGCAAGGAGATTGATCCAAGTGTGGATGATAGGGAGGTGTGCGCTGAAGGGGTTGAGGGGAAGGGGGCGTGTGGGGGCGACTCGGGAGGGCCGTTGGTTTGTGGGGGGAAGTTGGTGGGGGTTGTTTCGTACGGGCTGGCGGAGTGCGGGGAAGGGGCGGATGTTTATACCAGGCCTTCGGCATATGTGGATTGGATTAAGGAACATATTGAGTAGAGTGATGACGTTTTTGATTAAGTACTTGTAGGTATTGTTTGATTATGGTTAAGTATTAAAGGTTTTTGGTAAAGTGGTTGACTTTGATTCTGAATGACACTTGGAAGAGTAATAACCTCATGACCCACGAATAGTATCAAAAATAGTACCAAGGTTGGCAATGACATTACGTAACGAAACTTATTTTAGTACCTAGCGGATACATTAACTAAGTACATCCTGTTTTCATATTTACTTTCCATATAGATCGCTTATTACGCCAAAAATTGCACACTTAGCTAACTATTCCGGGTACTACCAACATTAATCGTACATATAATAAGAAAACGCACGACCTCCACACAGTGAGTACCTATATCATATTCAAAATGTATACATACTTGAAGATTGTCGTACTTTTGATAACAATTAAAAGTAGTTTGGGTTTTATTCACGGCCATGAAAGACACCTTGTCACCCCTGGCCAGTTTCCCTCAGTGGTGTCAATTAGCATTGCTCAGTACGCCCAGCATTACTGTGGAGGTGTCATCATTAGCAAAAAATGGGTACTAACGGCCGCTCGTTGTGTAACGTAAGTACTTTTTATTTCCTGGGCGTAATCAAGATATACAGGATACGAAAAAGTGGTCCCCCGTTTCCGTCTGTCTGTCTGTCGTCTGTGTCAATTTTTATTAGACAAAATTTCCGAAACTACTACTACTAAATTTTGTATGTACATTAGGAATTCGTAAAGTTGATGTGAAAAAAATAAAATTCGCAAAAAACAAATCTTATCATTTTTTCGAAAAATCTGAATTTATTTACCTACGACCAACTTTTTGATATCACAATTTTTCACTTTTTCATTTTCATTAATTTTTCAATTTTGCAATTTTTCGATATATTTCAATTTTTAGTTTTCATTTTTTCGATTTTATACCACAATTTTTGGTTTTTTCGATTTTTGAATTTTTTGTTTCTTAAATTTTTTCAAAGCATACAATTTTGTACTTTTTTTATTCGAAAAGTTGAAAAATCAAAAAATTGCAAAATCGAAAAATTAACCATGAGAAAACCAAAAAATCGGAAAAAACTGAAAAACGAACTGAAGAAACGAAAGTTTGAAACATTGAACAAAAAAAAAGAAGTTAAAAACCAAAAAAAATATTGAATCGAAAAACTGGAAAGAAGAAAAAACGAATCGAATCGAAAAATTCAAAAATCGAATAAATCAAAAAGTTTTAAAATCGAATAATTGTAAGTTATTACATACTAAAAATGAAAACTAGAAAAATTTCCAAACAAAAATTGAAATTGCAAACTAAAAAATTAAAAATCCAAAATTTGAAAAATTTCACGTTAAAAAAAAAGAAAAATATAAAATCACAACGCTGAAAAACCGAGAAATTGAAAGAATTAAGAAATTGAAAAACCGAAACGAAAAAGTGCAAGTCGAAATAATGAAAAATTAAAAATTGAAAATAGAAAAATTGCAAAATCTAAAAATTGAAACATCCAAAAGTTGGGAAATAGATAACTAAAAAATTTTAAAGTGAAAACTCGAAAGTTGCATGTCGTAAAAGTTAACAAACAAAAAAATCAAAAATTGAAAAATTACAAATCGAAAAATAGAAGAAACGAAAAAATAAGAAAATAGAAACGGAAACGGAAAATTGCAATTCGAAAATTTGAAGAAATGAAAAATTGAAGAATCAAAAACTTGAAAAGTCGTACAAATGAAAAATCATTGAAAAATGAAAAAATTCTCAAATCGTAAAGTTGAAAAAATGATTCTTTTTAAATTATACTCCTAATTATTATTATTACATATTTAAAATGAAAAGTAGAAAAATTTCCAATCAGAAATTGAAGAAATGTGAAATTGGAAAATCGAGAAACTGAAAATTTTACAAAATGAAAAATAGAAAAATTGAAAACCGAAAAATTGCAAATCGAAAAATTAAAAAAATTCACAAAGAAAAAAAGAAAATCAGAACGCTGAAAAACCGAAAAAAATGAAGAAAATCGATAAACCAAAATATTTTAAAATACAAAACAGGAGATTTGCATCTCTTAAATAAAAAAAACATTGAAATTGCAAATACAAAAAATATAATGTCCGAACATGAAAACATGAAAAAATCGAAAAATTGTTAAAATAAAGAAAACAAAAACCGTAACAAAAACTTGAACTAGAAAATTTGAAGGAATGAAAAATTGAAAAATCAAATAAATGAAAATGTTACAAAATTCGATAATTGAAAAATGAAAAAAATCTAAATCGCAAACTTGAAAAAATTAGCTATTTTAAAAATTATTATTATGATTATTAGATAATTAAAACGAAAACTAGATAAATTGCAAATCAAAAACTGAAGAAACTGAAAACTCAAAAGTCATAAAAAATGGAAAAATTAAAAAGCCGAAAAAAATTTTACAATGGAAAAAGGAAATTCATAAAATCAGAATATTGAAAGGCCGAAATATTGAAAAAATATTGTAAATAAGAAACCGAACCAAAAAATTTGCAAACTGAAAAATTGAAGACTTAAAAACAGAAAAATCGAATAGTTAAAACATAAAATCTCGAAAAGTTAGATGTTGTAAAGTTGAAGAAACAAAAAATTAAAATTAATTAATTAAGAAAACCGAAATGGGAAAAAAAATACAGAACATTGAAAAATCGAAAATTGTAGATAAAATAAAGAAAATAAAAAACCGAAAAAAAATTCGAATAGAAAATTTAAAGGAATGAAAAATTGAAAAATCGAAAAATGAAAAAGTTATAAAATCCAATAATTAACAAATAAAACAAAACGTAAAACTGAGAAAGTGAACTATTTTAAAAATTATTATTATTATGAGATAATTAAAACGAAAACTATAAAATTTGGACATCAAAAACTGAAGAAACGAAAAGCTGAAAAATCATGAAACTGAAAATCAAAAACTGAGAAACGAAAAATTAAAGCCTAAAAGTTGAAAAGTAGAAAAATTTCACAATGCAAAAAAAAGAAAAATTATAAAATCAGAATATTGAAAGACCGGAAAATTGAAAAAATATTGGAAATAAAAAACCGAGGCAAAAAATTGAACACTTGAAAACGTGAAATTGAAGAAATTCAAAAAACAATGAAAAATTGGAAGAACTGAAATTGATTAAACAAAAATTTATAAACCCGAAAGATTGAAAAGTCGAAAAATTGTAAAAATAAAAAAAATAAAATATCGAAACGAAAAATTGCAAATCAAAAATTTCAAGAAATTGGAGAAACGGAAAAATGAAAAAATTAAAATTGAAAAAGCAAAAAATTCTAAAATCGAATAATTGAAAAATTCAAAAACTGGATAATAGAAGAACTCGAGAATTGTGGTTTTTACTTTATAGAGGTTAGTTTGTTGTAGTCCACTTCAGGGGTGAGGGAAGTTCTGTCGAAATAACCTTCGGCCAATTTTTTTTGTTTCACCATAAACTTAATTATTCACAGAAATACGATCCCCGGAGAGTACCACCTAGTCGTCGGCAGTACCCACCTCAGCAACGGTACTAAAATCAACATCACCACCATCAAAGTGCACCCAGATTTTGACCAGAAAAATTTACACAACGACATTGCTTTGGTAAAACCACAAAAAGAATTCACTTTTGGTGATAACCTCAAACCCGCTGAGGTGTCAAAAATTTCAATCAATTCCTCAGGCGTGGTTGTCGGATGGGATGAAAATAGAGACGAAGCAGAGTTTATAAATGTAAGAATCTTGTCTTCGGAAGAGTGTGAGAAATTGGAAGAGGATGCCAACGAAAGGGAAAAGTCGTCTTCGGGACAAGTGTGTGGATATGGAGGTGTGGGTGTCGGACTCTGCTTCGGTGACTGGGGAAACCCTTTAATGGTCGAAGGGAAACTCGTAGCCCTTGCTTCATACAGCGTGGAGTCTTGTGGTTTAGGCTTTCCAGATATGTACACCGACGTATCGTACCACTGGGACTGGATTAAAAAGAACATGTAAAAACCAGTACTTTTGTTTTTATTTATTAGATAGTTTCTAGTTGCCAATGATACTTTGTATCCAGTCTGCATACTCCGTCGTCTTGGTAAAAACATCCGGGTACCCCATAGCGCACGGTACTACTCCATACGATACAACTCCCGCCAACTTCCCGTCGCAAACCAGTGGCCCTCCTGAATCCCCATAGCACAACCCTTTTCCTTCCGGACCCAACGTACACACCTGCTTCGGCCCCAAGTAGTACCCATCGATATAATCCTTCGAAAGACTCAAACAATAGTCAATATCGATACTAGTCAACTCGACATATTGAACGGCATCTGGAAAATCAACGGTGTCAGTGATCCCCCACCCTAAAGCAACACAAGTTGCGTTCACTTCCGGATCGCCAAGTTCGATGGGTTGAATGGTGTCACTGTACTCCAGTTCGCCGTCGATCTGGATCAAACCGATGTCGTTTTCGGTAGTGTTTGGGTAGTAATCTTCGTGTACCACGACTTTGGCGATGGTGTATTCAACCCCACCTACGTGTTCGATGTGAGTACCGGCGAGTACCGTGGTGGTGTCGATGCTGAGCTCGAGGATGCAGTGGGCTGCGGTGACTATCCAGCTGGTACTGATGATGGAACCATCGCAGAATTGGTCGGGGTCGTTTAAGGCTACTATGAAGGGGAATTGGCCGGAGGTGGCGTTCTGGCCACCGAAAATGCGGACATTTCGGTGGGGGGCACCTAGATTTAGTTGGAAATGTAGTTAGTACTTATACTAAATGGTGGGTACTTACTTGTGGCAACGGCCGCTAGTGCTATAATAGTGAGGAGGTACTTCATGTTTGACTGTCAGGTGATTCGGGTTTCGTTTTATATTAAACTAGTTATCTTTGTTATCGAATAGACAAGTACGTCCTGTGGTACTAAGTGTATTTAAATGAATGGCCACCAATACGTGGAATTCGTTTCGAGTGTGAGACAGAATTATCTTTACCACATTTTTAGAACAATCAAAATGAAGAACTAAGTACTTGCCTTATGCATTGTGCTGGACATTTTTACGAGTGTCTGATAGTGTAAAGTTTTATTTATCTTTGTTTATATATGTAAGTACTTTTCAAATTAGAGGATACACTGCTGTAACAATAAATAAAATTGCTTATGTTGGTACTTATACTTAACACGCAAGGCTACTTTGATGTTTTCTCGACGTTTCATGACCCCTAAAATACGCAAACATTGGTATTTCGTTTCCGTCTGTCTGTCTGCTGTCGATTTTCATTAGACAGTTAATCTCCTAAACTACCGGACCGATTGTTGTCAAATTTTGTATGCTATCTAAATCGATACACGTGTGTTCGAATTTCATTGTTTTGATTTTCTAATTCTTTGATTTTTAGTATTTCAAAACTTCGATTTTCAATTTTCCGAGTTTTTGATTACTCAGTTTCATAATTTTGCAATTTTTCAATTTCGTAATTTTTCTATTTACCAATAATTGTCTGATTTTCCAATTTGAAAATTATACGATGATTCAGTTTCGTAATTTTGCAATTTTTTCATTTTTCAGTTTAAATTTTTAAAATGTTTCGATTTTTCAGTTTTCAATTTTTAAAATTTTTTCATTGTTCAATTGCCCAGTTTTTCAATTTTTGATTTTTCACTTGTCAGAGTTTTTAGTTTTCCGATTTTTCGATTTTTATTTTCCATTTGTTCGAATTTCATTGTTTTGATTTGCTAATTTTTGGTGTTTAATATTTCAAAATTTCGATTCCTAATTGTCCGAGTTTTTGATTTTCCAATTTCGATTGTACAATTTAAAATTTATTTCTGAATTGTTCAGTTTTTACTGAATCAATTTCTCAATTTTCAATTTTCAATTATTAGATTTTCCATATTTTCGATTTTTAAAATTTTCAGTTATCAGATTTTTCGATTTTTTATTTTTAGTTGTTTCATTTTTCAATTTAATAATTTTGCAGTTTTTTACTTTTACGTTTAATACATTTTTGAGTTTGCAGTTATTCCATTTTTCAATTCTGTAATTTTGCGATGTTTTGATTTTCAATTATTCAAAATTTCAAGTTTAATTGTTCAAGTTTTCGATTTTTCGGTTTAATTATATTACAATTTTTCGTTTTTAAAGATATCCGATTTTTCAATTTTTAGATTTTTCACTTTTTGATTTTTCAATTTTACACTTTTACAATTTTTGGACGGCTCAATTATCTGGTTTTAATTAACCAATTTTCATTTTTTCTATGTAATCATATTTAATTTTTGATTTTCCAGTTAATCGAATTTCGTTGTTTCGATTTTCCAATTATTTAATTTTCAATTTTTCAAAATTTCGATTTTCAATTATTCTGGTTTTTGATTTTTCAATTTCATAATTTGGCAATGTTTCAATTTTGTAATTTTTCTGTTGAACATTATCTGATTTTTCATTTATTTAATTTGAAAATTATACGATTTTACCGTTTCGTAATTTTGCAATTTTTGATTTTTTAATTAACAGATTTTTCAGTTTCTCAATTTTTCGATTTCTCATTTTCTAATTGTTCAATTTTTAATTTAATAAATTATTTTCCGAATATCAAATTTTTGAAGTTCTCACCTTTTCAATTTTTCGGTTTTGGAAACCTTCGATTTTGAATTTTTCGATTTTTGAAAAAGTGATTCTCTTTAAATTATACTCCTAATTATTACATCTTTAAAATGAAAACTAGAAAAATTTCCAATCAAAAATTGAGGAAACCAAAAACTGGAAAATCGAGAAATTGAAAATTCTAAAAATGAAAAATTGAAAGTCGAAAAATTTCACAAAAGATAAAAATACAAAATCAGAACACTGAAAAACCGACAAATTAAAAATTAAAAAAATCCGAAAAGATATTGAAAAATTAAAAATCGAAAAACTGAAGAATTCTAAAATTGTAAAATTAAATAAATAAAAACGGAAACGAAAAATTGCAATTCGATAATTTGAAGAAATGAAAAATTGAAGAATCGAAAAACTGAAAAGTCGAACAAATGAAAAATGAAAAAATTCTAAAATCGTAAAAGCGAAAAAAAGTTTTTTTTTTATTGTACTCTTAATTATTATTACATATTTAAAATGTAAACTAGAAAATTTTCCAATCAGAAATTGAAGAAATGTAAAATTGGAAAATCGAGAAACTGAAAATTTTAAAAATGAAAATTGAAAAATTGAAAACCGAAAAATTGCAAATCGAAAAATTAAAAAAAAATATAATGAAAAGAAAAAAATAAAATCAGAACACTCTAAAACCGAAAAACTGAAACAATATAGAAAATAAAAAACTGAAACGAAAAATTTGCAAGTCGAAATATTGAAAAATTAAAAACTAAAACATCCAAAAATTGGAAAATTAAAAAAGCAAAAAATTTAAAATTGCAAAATAGGAGATTTGCAATTTTAAATAAAAAAAAATACAAAAAAATGAAAAATTGAAAAATTGCAAATCGAAAAATCGAAAACATTGAAATTGAAAATACAAGAAAATATAAAATCCGAACCTTGAAAAATCAAAAAATTGTAAAAATAAAGAAAATAAAACCGCCACAAAAAATTGACTAGAAAATTTGAAGGAATGAAAAATTGAACAATCGAATAAATGAAAATGTTATAAAATTCGATAATTGAAAAATGAAAAAAATCAAAATCGTAAAATTGGAAAAGTGAACTAATTTAAAAATTATTATTATTACATAATTAAAACGAAAACTAGAAAAATTGCAAATCAAAAACTGAAGAAACTAAAAACTCAAAAATCATAAAATTGAAAAATCTAAAACTGAAAAAACAAAAAATTAAAAAGCCTAAAAGTTGAAAAATTCAAAAATTTTACAATGGATAAAGGAAATCCATAAAATCAAAATATTGAAAAGCCGAGAAAATATTGGAAATAAGAAAACCAACCAAAAAATTTTGAAATTGAAAAATTGAAGCTTAAAAAACAGAAAAAAACGAAGAGTTAAAAGATGAAAACTCGAAGAGTTACATGTTGGAAAATTGAAGAAACAAAAAAAATGAAAAATTGAAAAAACAAATAAAAAAAAAACGAAAAACTGAAAAATCATGAAATTGAAAAATCAAAAACTGGGAAACGAAAAATTAAAGCCTATAAGTTGAAAAGTAGAAAAATTTCACAATGAAAAAAAAGAAAAATTATAAAATCAGACTATTGAAAGACCGGAAAATTGAAAAAATATTGGGAATAAAAAACCGAGACAAAAAATTGAACACTTGAAAATCAGAAAAATCTCAAAATTAAAAATTAGAAACTCGTAAAATTGAAGAAATTCAAAAAACAATGAAAAATTGGAAGAACTGAAATTGATTAGACAAAAATTTATAAACTCGAAAGATTGAAAAGTCGAAAAATTGTAAAAATAAAAAAAATAAAATATCGAAATGAAAAATTGCAAATCAAAAATTTCAAGAAATTGAAGAAACGGAAAAATGAAAAAATTAAAATTGAAAAAGCAAAAAATTATAAAATCGAATAATTGAAAAATTCAAAAACTGGATAATTGAAGAACTCGAGAATTGTGGTTTTTACTTTATAGAGGTTAGTTTGTTGTAGTCCACTTCAGGGGTGAGGGAAGTTCTGTCGAAATAACCTTCGGCCAATTTTTTTTGTTTCACCATAAACTTAATTATTCACAGAAATATGATACCCGGAGAGTACCATCTAGTCGTCGGCAGTACCCACCTCAGCAACGGTACTAAAATCAACATCACCACCATCAAAGTACACCCAGATTTTGACCAGAAAAATTTACACAACGACATTGCTTTGGTAAAACCCCAAAAAGAATTCACTTTTAGTGATAACCTCAAACCCGCTGAGGTGTCAAAAATTTCGGTCAATTCCTCAGGCGTGGTTGTCGGATGGGATGAAAATAGAGACGAAGCAGAGTTTATAAATGTAAGAATCTTGTCTTCGGAGGAGTGTGAGAAGTTGGAAGAGGATGCCAACGAAAGGGAAAAGTCGTCTTCGGGACAAGTATGTGGATACGGAGGTGTGGGTGTCGGACTCTGCTTCGGTGACTGGGGAAACCCTTTAATGGTCGAAGGGAAACTCGTGGCCCTTGCTTCATACAGCGTGGAGTCTTGTGGTTTAGGCTTTCCAGATATGTACACCGACGTATCGTACCACTGGGACTGGATTAAAAAGAACATGTAAAAACCAGTACTTTTATTTTTATTTATTAGATAGTTTCTAGTTGCCAATGATACTTTGTATCCAGTCTGCATACTCCGTCGCCTTGGTAAAAACATCAGGGTACCCCATAGCGCACGGTACTACTCCATACGACACAACTCCCGCCAACTTCCCGTCGCAAACCAGCGGCCCTCCTGAATCCCCATAGCACAACCCTTTTCCTTCCGGAGCCAACGTACACACCTGCTTCGGCCCCAAGTAGTACCCATCGAGATAATCCTTAGAAAGACTCAAACAATAGTCAATATCGATAGTAGTCAACTCGACATATTGAACGGCATCTGGAAAATCAACGGTGTCAGTCACCCCCCACCCTAAAGCAACACAAGTTGCGTTCACTTCCGGATCACCAAGTTCGATGGGTTGAATGGTGTCACTGTACTCCAGTTCACCATCTATCTGGATCAAACCGATGTCGTTTTCGGAGGTGTTTGGATCGTGATCTTCGTGTATTACGACTTTGGCAATGGTGTATTCAACCCCACCTACGTGTTCGATGTGAGTACCGGCGAGTACCGTGGTGGTGTCGATGCTGAGCTCGAGGATGCAGTGGGCTGCGGTGACTATCCAGCTGGTACTGATGATGGAACCATCGCAGAATTGGTCGGGGTCGTTTAAGGCTACTATGAAGGGGAACTGGCCGGAGGTGGCGTTCTGGCCACCGAAAATGCGGACATTTCGGTGGGAGGCACCTAGATTTAGTTGGAAATGTAGTTAGTACTTATACTAAATGGTGGGTACTTACTTGTGGCAGCGGCGGCTAGTGCTATAATAGTGAGGAGGTACTTCATGTTTGACTGTCAGGTGATTCGGGTTTCGTTTTATATTAAACTAGTTATCTTTGTTATCGAATAGACAAGTACGTCCTGTGGTACTAGGTGTATTTAAATGAATGGCCACCAATACGTGGAATTCGTTTCGAGTGTGAGACAGAATTATCTTTACCACATTTTTAGAACAATCAAAATGAAGAACTAGGTACTTGCGACATGCATTGTGCTGGAAATTTTTACGAGTGTCTGATAGTGTAAAGTTTTATTTATCTTTGTTTAAATATGTAAGTACTTTTCAAATTAGAGGATACACTGATGTAACAATAAATAAAATTGCTTATGTTGGTACTTATACTTAACACGCAAGGCTACTTTTATATTTTCTCGACGTTTCATGACCCCTAGAATACGCAAACATTGGTATTTCGTTTCCGTCTGTCTGTCTGCCGTCGATTTTCATTAGACAGTTAATCTTCTAAACTACCGGACCGATTGTTGTCAAATTTTGTATGCTATCTGCATCGATACACGTGTGTTCGAATTTCATTGTTTTGACTTTCTAATTCTTTGATTTTTAGTATTTCAAAACTTCGATTTCCAATTTTCCGAGTTTTTGATTTTTCAGTTTCATAATTTTGCAATTTTTCAATTTCGTAATTTTTCTATTTACCAATAATCGTCTGATTTTCCAATTTGAAAATTATACGATGTTTCAGTTTCGTAATTTTGCAATTTTTTCGTTTTTCAGTTTAAATTTTTAAAATGTTTCGATTTTTCAGTTTTCAATTTTTAAAATTGTTTCATTGTTCAATTGTCCAGTTTTTCAATTTTTGATTTTTCACTTGTCAGAGTTTTTAGTTTTCCGATTTTTCAATTTTTGTTTTCCATTTGTTCGAATTTCATTGTTTTGATTTGCTAATTCTTTGGTGTTTAATATTTCAAAATTTCGATTCCTAATTGATTTTTCAATTTCGATTTTACAATTTAAAATTTATTTCTGAATTGTTCAGTTTTTACTGAATCAGTTTCTCAATTTTCAATTTTCAATTATTAGATTTTCCATATTTTCGATTTTTAAAATTTTCTGTTATCAGATTTTTCGATTTTTTATTTTTAGTTGTTTTATTTTTCAATTTAATAATTTTGCAGTTTTTCACTTTTGCGTTTAATAAATTTTCAAGTTTGCAGTTATTCCATTTTTCAATTCTGTAATTTTGCGATGTTTTGATTTTCAATTATTCAAAATTTCAAATTTAATTGTTCAAGTTTTTGATTTTTCGGTCTAATCATTTTACAATTTTTCGGTTTTCCAATTTTTAGAGTTTTCACTTTTGGATTTTTCAATTTTACATTTTTACAATTTTTGGATGTCTCAATTACCTGGTTTTAATTAACCAATTTTTATTTTTCTATGTAATCACATTTAATTTTTGATTTTCCAGTTAATCGAAAGTCATTGTTTCAATTTTCCAATTTTTTAATTTTCAACTTTCAAAATTTCGATTTTCAAATTTTCTGGTTTTTAATTTTTCAATTTCATAATTTCGCAATTTTTCAATTTTGTAATTTTTCTGTTTAACATTCTCTAATTTTTAATTTTTGAATTTGAAAATTATAGGATTTTTCAATTTCGTAATTTTGCAATTTTTGATATTTTATGTATCAGATTTTCCAGTTTCTCGATTTTTCAATTTTTCGATTTCTCATTTTTCAATTGTTCGATTTTTAATTAAAAAAGTTTACAATTTTTCAATTTTATTGTTTAATTTTTAATTGTTCAAGATTTCAGTTTTAATTTTAGATTTTCAGTTTTATATTTTAACAATTTTTCGATTTCTCAATTGTCCAGTTTTTAGTGAATCAAAAATTATTTTTCGAATATCAAATTTTTGAAGTTCTCGCCTTTTCAATTTTTCGGTTTTGGAAACCTTCGATTTTGAATTTTTCGATTTTTCGTTTTGTTGGATTTTACAAGGTTTTATTTTTACAGTTTATTAATTTTTCGATTATACCATTATCCAATTTTTCAAATTTGTAATTTAAATTTTTACAATTTCCAATTCTGTGATTTTTATTTGTTGAAAATTTCAATTTTAATTTTTCAAGTTTTTAGTTTTTCTTTAATTATTTTACAGTTTTTCGTTTAGGGATATAAGTGTCCGATTTTTGAAATTATCCGAATTTCATTATTTCCATATTCTAATTCATTGATTTTTAATACATATTTCAACATTTCGATTTCCAAATGTTCCGGTTTTTTGATTTTGATTTTGATTTCATAATTTTGTAATTTTTCAAATCTGGAATTTTTCTATTTTACAAATGTTTGATTTTTCAATTTTTTAGTTCTAAAATTATACAATTTTTTAGATGGTAATTTTCTGTTTTATATTTGTACAATTTTTCCACCTCTAGTTGCCCAGTTTTTAATGAATCAGTTTTTCAATTTTAAATTTTCCGGTTTAGGAATCCTTCGATTTATCAATGTTTCGATTTTTTATTTTTAGATTTTTCATTTTTCTGTTTAATAATTTTGCAATTTTTCATTTTTACTGTTTAATACATTTTCAAGTTTACACTTATTCCATTTTTCAATTTTGTAATTTTGCTATTTTTCAGTTTTTTGAATTTCAATGGTTCGAAATTTCAATTTTAATTTTTCAAGTTTTTAATTTTTTTGAATTGCAATTACCTATTCAATTTTACAATTTTTGGATGCCTCAATTACTTGGTTTTATATAACCAATTTTCATTTTTTCAATTACGTACTTAATTTTCAATTTTTCAATTAATCGAATTTCATTGTTTCAATTTTAAAATTTTTTGATTTTCAATTTTTCAAAATTTCGATTTTTAATTTTTCAGATTCTTGATTTTTCAGTTTCATAATTTCGCAATTTTTAATTTTGTAGTTTTTCTGTTTAACATTGTCTGATTTTACGTTTTTTCAATTTGAAAATTATACGATTTTCAGTTTCGTAATTTTGCAATTTTTGATTTTTTAATTATCAGATTATTCAGTTTCTCGATTTTTCATTTTTGTAGTTTAATTTTTCAATTTTGTAATTTTACAAGTTTTCAATTTTTTGATTTTTAATTATCCAAAATTTTAATTTTAATTTTTCAAGTTTTTATTTTTACAATTTTTCGACTTTTAGTTGTCCAGCTTTTAATAAATCAGTTTTTCAATTTTCGTTTTTTCGAATAACAAATTTTTGAAGTTCTCGTTTTTTCAATTTTTCGGATTTGGTAACCTTCAGATTTGAATTTTTCGATTTTTCATTTTTCAATTGTTGGAGTACACTATGTTTCATTTTTACGTTTCATGTATTTTTCGATTACATAATAATTATCCAATTTTTCGATTTTGTAATTTTACAATTTCCAATATTTGATTGTTCAAAATTTCAATTTTAATTTTTAAAATTTTTGATTTTTCAATTTAATTATTTTACAATTGTTCGTTTATATAAGTGTACGAGTTTTCCAATTATCCGAATATCATTGTTTCCATATTCTAATTCATTGATTTTTTAATACATATTTCAAAATTTCGATTTCCAAATTTTCCGGTTTTTTGATTTTTCAGTTTCACAATTTTGTCATTTTTCAAATCTGGAATTTTTCTATTTTACAAATGTTTGATTTTCCATTTTTTTTCCTAAAATTATACAATTTTTCAGTTGGTAATTTTCAGTTTTATTTTTGTACAATTTTTCGACCTCTCAGTTGTCCAATGAATCACTTTTTCAATTTTCAATTTTTCAATTTTTTTCAAAGATTTCACAAAACCTTGATTTTTCTATTTTTCGGTTTAGGAATCCTTCGATTTATCAATATTTCGATTTTTTATTTTTAGATTTTTTCTATTTAATAATTTTGCATTTATCATTTTTACTGTTTAATAAATTTTCCAGTTTACAGTTATTTCATTTTCCAATTTTGTAATTTTGCAATTTTTTAGTTTTTTGAATTTCAATTGTTCAAAATTTCAAGTTTTTGATTTTTAGGTTTATTTATTTTACAATTTTTCGTTTTTAAAGATATCCGATTTTTCAATTTTTAGATCTTACACTTTTTGATTTTTCAATTTTACATTTTTACAATTTTTAGATGGCTCAATTACTTGGTTTTAATTAAGCATACCAATTTTCATTTTTTCAATTACATATTTAATTTTTCAATTAATCGAATTTCATTGTTTCGATTTTCAATTTTTCAAAGTTTTGATTTTTCAATTTCATAATTTCGCAGTTTTTCAATTTTGTGATTTTTCTGTTTAACATTGTCTGATTTTTCATTTTTTCAATTGAAAATTATACGATTTTCAGTTTCGTAATTTTACAATTTTTGATTTTTTAATTATCAGGTTATTCAGTTTCTCGATTTTTGTAGTTTAATTTTTCAATTTTGTAATTTTACAAGTTTTCAATTTTTTTATTTTTAATTATCCAAAATTTTTATTTTAATTTTTCAAGTTTTTATTTTTACAATTTTTCGACTTTTAGTTGTCCAGCTTTTAATAAATCGGTTTTTCAATTTTCGATTTTTCGAATAAAAAATTTTTGAAGTTCTTGTATTTTCAATTTTTCGGATTTGGAAACCTTCAGTTTTTCAGTTTTCAATTGTTGGAGTATACTATGTTTCATTTTTACATTTCATTTATTTTTTGATTATATAATAATAATTATCCAATTTTTCGATTTTGTAATTTTACAATTTCCAATTTTGTGATTTTTGATTGTTCAAAATTTCAATTTATTTTTTTTTATTTTTGATTTTTCAATTTAATTATTTTACAATTGTTCGTTTATATAAGTGTCCGATTTTTCGAATTCTCCGAATTTCATTGTTTCGATATTCTAATTCTTTGATTTTTAATACATATTTCAAAATTTCGATTTCCAAATGTTCAAGTTTTTTATTTTTAATAATTTTGCAATTTTTCAACTCTGGAACTTTTCTATTTTACAAATGTTTGATTTTTCACATTTTTTGTTCTGGAATTACATACACAATTTTGCAGTTTGTAATTTTCATTTTTATATTTTTACAATTTTTCGACTCTCAGTTCTTCAGGTTTTAATGAATCAGTTTTCCAATTTTCGATTTCAATTGTTCAAAATTTCAATTTTAATTTTTCAAGTTTTTTATTTTTCACTTTATTTTTCAATTTTTCGATTTTACACTTTGATTTTCCAAATTTAAAATTTTTACAATTTTTGTTTTTTCAATTATTCGAGTTTCATTGTTTCGATTTTTCAATATTTTGATTTTCTGACTTTATAATTTCGCAATTTTTCGATTTTTAAATTTTGTTATTCTTCTATTTCAAATTTGTGTGATTTTTCAATCTTTCGATTTTAAAATTATTTGATTTTCAATTCTTAATTTCTACAATTTTTCAGAATTGTAATTTTGCAACTTTTTTATGTTCAGTTTTATATTTTTACAATTTTTCGATTACTCAATTGTCCGGTTTTTAATGAACCAAGTCTTCAATTTTATAATTCTTTGTTTTTAAAGTTTGTCGTCTTTTCAGTTGTCCAGTTTTCTGGTCTTTCAATTGTCCAAATTTCATTGTTCGTATTTTCCAATTTTTTGATGTTTAATGCAATTTTTCAGTTTTACGGTCTAATAATAATTAATTTGTCGGTTTTACAATTATCCAGTTTTTCAACTTTGTAATTTTGCAATTAGTTTTTTTATTTTTCAGTTTTATATTTTTACATTTTTTCGATATCTCAATTACTTCGTTTTTAATTAATCAATTTTCAATTTTTGATTTTTCGAATAACAAATTTATGAAGTTCCCGTTTTTTCAATTTTTCGGATTTGGAAACCTTCAGTGTTTCATTTTTCAATTGTTGGAGTATACTATGTTTCATTTTTACGTTTCATTTATTTTTCGATTATATAATAATTATCCAATTTTTCGATTTTGTAATTTTACAATTTCAATTTTGTGATTTTTGATTGTTCAAAATTTCAATTTTAATTGTTTAAGTTTTTGATTTTCCAATTTAATTATTTTACAATTGTTCGTTGATATAAGTATCCGAGTTTTCCATTTCTCCGAATTTCATTATTTCGATATTCTAATTCTTTGGTTTTTAATACATGTTTCAAAATGTCGATTTCCAAATGTTCAAGTTTTTTATTTTTCATAACTTTGCAATTTTTCAGCTCTAGAATTTTTCTATTTTACAAATGTTTGATTTTTCACATTTTTAATTCTGGAATTTTACAATTTCGCAGTTTGTAATTTTCACTTTTATATTTTTACAATTTTTCGACCTCTCAGTTCTCCAGGTTTTAATGAATCAGTTTTTCAATTTTCGATTTCAATTGTTCAAAATTTCAATTGTAATTTTTCAAGTTTTTTATTTTTCACTTTATTTTTCGGTTTTACACTTTGATTTTCCAATTTTACATTTTTACTATTTTTGTTTTTTCAATTATTCGAATTTCATTGTTTCGATTTTTCAATTTTTTGATTTTCTAACTTTATAATTTCGCAATTTTTCGATTTTTAAAATTTGTTATTTTTGTTTCACATTTGTGTGATTTTTCATTTTTTCGATTTTAAAATTATTTGATTTTCAATTCTTAATTTCTACAATTTTTCAGAATTGTAATTTTGTAATTTTGCTATTTTTTAATGTTCAGTTTTATATTTTTACAATTCGATTACTCATTGTCCTGATTTTAATGAACCAAGTCTTCAGTTTTATAATTCTTTGTTTTTAAAGTTTGTCGTCTTTTCAGTTGTCCAGTTTTCTGATTTTTCAGTTGTCCAAATTTGATTGTTCGTATTTTCTAATTTTTTGATGTTTAATGCAATTTTTCAGTTTTACGCTTTAATAATGTGTCGGTTTTACAATTATCCAGTTTTTCAATTTTATAATTTTGCAATTAATTTTTTTATTTTTCAGTTTTATATTTTTACATTTTTTCGATATCTCAATTACTTGGTTTTTGATTAATCAATTTTTGATTTTTCTATTATCAAATTTTCCAATTTTCCAATTTTTTTTCACTTCTCTTGAAACGCCATCTGCTTTGTTTTCAAAGTTAAAAAACCGATTCCCTTTACTGTACATTATTTATTAAACTAATAACAACCATATACATATATATAATTTTCTACATATACACTCTTAAAAAATAGACTTTTCAAACCGCGTGACTATTAATCCAGTCAAGATAAGCAGACACCCTGGTATAAAGATCCGGGAACCCCATCCCACACGCCATTATAGGGTACGACGCCACCCCTGCCACCTTCCCCCCACACACCAAAGGCCCTCCCAAATCCCCAAAACACACCCCTTCTCCTTCAGCCCCCAAACTACAAACCTGCCCATCCCCCACTTTAATCGACCCAAGATGAACCCCAGAAATCGTCACACAATCCGCATTACTCAAAGCAGCCACTTCAACAAACTGCAACTCCGCAGAGTAGTTCCAATCAGGTAGCCACCCCCACCCCACGGCCATACAAGTGGCATTAACCCCATCAGGATCACCAAATTCGGCGACTTGGACTGTGTCGCCCATCTCGAATTGACCATCGATCTGAATTAGCCCGATGTCGTCTCCTTCGGTTATGGTAATGAAGTTTTCGTGTTGGACGGTTGCGGCGATGTTGTAGGTGGTACCGCCCGAGGTTTGGGAGTTAGTGCCCACTAGTACCGTGGAGGTGTTGGTTACTTCGAAGATGCATTCGGCGGACGTTAGTACCCAGTTGGTGTTGATGATGACGCCTGCGCAGAACTGGTGGTCGGGGTTGTTCAAAGAGGCTATGAATGGAAATTGGCCGTCTGCTGCGGCAGTACCACCGAAAATTCGGCCATTGGTTGGCGAGGCTGCGATGGGTGGTGTTAGAGTGAAATGGGTTGTTGGAAGGAGTCTTACCAGTAGTGGTGTGGAGAAGGGTGACGCTGACGAGCAGAAGGAAGGGTGGCTTCATTGTTGTTGTTGTTGTCAGTACAGAAACTCAAATACCTTTGACTATTCTATTATCTTGAGGTTATCGGTTATCTGAGAGTTTGTTGTGGCTTGTCAAAAGAGAAAAGTAGATGTATTGTTTATGTGCACGGAATTATCAAAAGGATCTCTAACAATCAATAGATCAAATTCTATGAAATGTCAAACATTGATAAAATAAGTTTTTATTTGTCTGGTACTTATCTAAGTAAATTTGGTTTGAGTAATTTGTCTGGTACACCTAGTACCAGAGAGTACTTTGTGTTATTTTAAATTTGACTTCGACTGTTAATGTTTATACTTCGACCAAATTCAACTATTAGCACGTTCAGATTACAAGCATCAGCGGTTAAAAGAAAATGAAATTTGGTTGATTTTGTGTTGTCAACGCAGAGGAAAGTACTTGAACAAGTAATTCATAATCAGTTTTTTCCCAGTGGGTGGGCGGGGTTTATTATGTTCTTCTGTCGAGTGGGGGTGGAAACTAATAATATCTAGGATGTGAAAAAGTGAAGCAATAGCACTTATCGTAGATAAACATTTTTTTGGTTATACTATTTGCTATAAAATTTAATTCTTAACTTCTCAATTGTCGCAAATAAACAAATTTCAAACATTTCTGTGATTATATAAAAACCACAAAGGACATTCTTAAAACAATTGTATTTTGTAAAACAAAAATTAATAAAAATTTCCTTTTTTATCTACAAAATTTTTATACCCAACTATTTTGACGGAGCTAGAAAATTTGCTACATTTCAATTAGCGATTTTGGAAAACGATAGGAATTTTCGAAGAAACGAAGCCGAAAATCACTTCTGGATATCGAAATCTACAAGAAATTGTATTCAATTAATTTTCGAAAGTAGTCATATTTATCTTATCAAATACTAGGGCCACCCACCCACCCACCCTCTATTTTCTTGTAGGATATGTCGTTTGCCAAAATCTGTCTTATCTTAGCAAATATTAGCCCCGCCCGCCCACCCCCTCTTCTTATTCTAACGACTAATTTTATTTCTGTTTAGTATAAGATCATTCTATCCATTCAGAGCGGATAAAACCAATCACCGAAATGGAGGCCGGGTGGGTGGGCGGGGCTAATTATGTTCTTCTGTCGAATGGGAGTGGGAACTAATAAAATCTAGGATGTGAAAAAAGCAAAAAAAATGTGCTTTATATATATTTTTTAAAGAAAACAAGCCAATTTTGTCGTTGAACTGTTTTTTTAATTTTTTTTTTTGATTTTTCGAAATTTCGTCTTTCAATTTTTCAAGTTTTTGATTTTCTAATTCTATAATTTCCCAATTTTTCGATTATTAAATTTTGTTATTTTTCTATTTCACATTTGTGTGATTTTTCAATTTTTCGATTTTAAAATTATTTGATTTTCAATTCTTAATTTTTACAATTTTTCAGAATTGTAATTTTTCAATTTTTTTTGTGTTCAGTTTTATATTTTTACAATTTTTCGATTACTCAATTGTCCGGTTTTTAATAAACCAAGTCTTCAATTTTATAATTCTTTGTTTTTAAAGTTTGTCGTCTTTTCAGTTGTCCAGTTTTCTGATTTTTCAATTGTCCAAGTTTCATTGTTCGTATTTTCCAATTTTTTGATGTTTATTGCAATTTTTTAGTTCTACGGTTTAATAATTTGTCGGTTTTACAATTATCCAGTTTTTCAATTTTGTAATTTTGCAATTAATTTTATTTCTGTTCAGTATAAGATCATTCCATCCATTCAGAGCGGATAAAACCAATCACCGAAATGGAGGCCGGGTGGGTGGGCGGGGAAAATTATGTTCTTCTGTCGAATGGGAGTGGAAACTAATTAAATCTAGGATGTGAAAAAAGCAAAAAAACGGTGCTTTGTATATATTTTTTTAAGAAAACAAGCCAATTTTGTCGTTGAACGGTTTTTTTAATATTTTTTTTTTTGTAAAATTCTCAAAGTGAGCGGTTTCTGTATTTCTTAAAAATTAGGTGATGTTAAAAAAATTCGCGACAAAAACTGACTTTTTATTTTATAACAAGGCAATAAAAACTTCAACGTCAAAATTGGTTTGTTTGTTTAAAAAATTATATGGTACCTTAAAATAGATGAAAAAACAGGTTAAAAATGGCTTAAATAAATGGAAAAAAAAGATGTGGGGAGAAACGTATTATTTTACTTTCTGCTGATTTCTATTTAGAAATTTCATCTAAAACGTCCGATAATCCAATCCTAAACACCAGTCATTCAGATAAGAATTGGATTTGAAATGCCAAACAATGCTTTTGATTTTGAAGATCAGAATGTAATAAAGAGTTAACGTAACGTAAATAGTTAAAATTAAAACTATTTTAGTGGTTATCCTACATTCTAAACAGATGCATTGTAAAACATTAAATTAATTAAGCATTTGAAAATGGTTATGGAGTGATAGATTTCCAAAACTTAAAAAAATAATCTTAAAATATAAAGCAAATTTTTGTTTCAGATTCAATTGATTTACTGATTGCATAACATTTTGTCGATTAATTTCATCTTTTTTTTGGTTGTAAGGTACGAAATAAATTGCAAATATCAACTTGAATTATCTAAAAATTAATTAAATCATCACCAGACGTATTGGCTGTTCTTTAACCTGTTTTTTTTTTCCTCAAAAAATCTCATTCTAAATTTAAAAATTAATTCTGGCTATGCAACCAACACTACAATTAATTTCAAAATAATATTTCCTTAAAATAAGATTAAAAATAAAAATTATATGAACAACGTGGTAATATTTGTTTGATTTGTCCCCGCTCAAATTTGGGTTAGGTTTTTATAATGGTTTGTTATAATATGTATGTTGAACTCGCCATTTAAATTTCGTAATATTTTAGTGGAAAACATAGACAAATTGACGTTTCTCCCAGTATCCCACAGTCCGACTTTCTTATAAAATCACTGGTGAATTTTGCTGGTTGCCTGACATTGCATTAATGGATTTATATATTAGATGAAGGTTATTTTATAGCGATAATCGTACTAAAATACCTTGACAGTAAATAGATTTTTAAAAGTCTTCTCCGGGATATTTTAATCTTGTATAGTGTGAATTTGTAAAATACAGTTGCTTATACAACCAGCAATACACTAAAATGTGTTGACAGTCTTTCATATTGCTAAAACATTTTCGAAACATGTTTATTGACAAAAAAATTCTTAATGGTTGCCCAGTATCTTTTTTCTTCAGTTAGCATCACTGAATTTTGCTTAAAATTGGTAGCTCTGTCACTCCACGTTGCTTCCTTTTGTAAAAACTGACATGGCAATTTAGAAAGTGACATTTAATAAAATTTGCGTCAAAATTTGTTATTGTTTATTATTAAAATGGAAGCGAACTCTTAATTAAGATTAAACAATAAATCTATAATTACTATGTGTGTATATCGTTTTAAAAGTTATTTTGCTTATGCAACCAACATTACGCCTTAATTTAAAATTTTGTAATCACCTATACTTTGAAATGATCGTCGAGATGACGGTAAGTATTTGCAAATTAGTAAATCAAGAAGAACTATTTTCAAAAATTATACAATACAATTTTATTTTTCTCTAAAAGAAAATATTTTAAATCTATGTATACAAATCTAACCAGTGTGACAATTTAATATAATTTTAAATATTTGGAATTTAAATTATAATCGTCAGATGAAAAGTTTAAAAGGCCAGCGAAAAATTCAAAAATTTAAAATTTGGCCTTGGGTGTGATCGTCTGACAAAATGGAACCCTACGTTGTGTTGTTGAAAAATGATAGAATGCATTCAGATGCAAATGGTAGACCCCAAAGCAATTCTCGATTATGGATAAGCCGTACGTGCAGGTTGTACAGATGGCGCGATAAATCTCGCCAGCTCGACTAGGAACCGCACACTCCGCTTCTGCCACGTTTTTCTTTTTATTTCCCTCAATTCCATTTTAAATGTTCAATTTCTTATAACTCTGATATTAACGACAACTGAACAACTGTTAAAGTTTCAAAAAGAGCAATAAACAATATTTAAATTCGCCATATAATTTTTGTGAAATTTTAAACAACAAATAATTCTTATTTGAGATTAAGATTGGACATTAGATAATTTATATGATGGAAACATTCATCAACAAAACATTTACATAAAAAAAACTAGCAAAGATTAATGAAAACAAGAGATCTGGGGTGGGATTTTGTTTCTGTAACGATAAAATATCGGTACCGATAAAATGTGGTCATCTTTTTCTTTCGCATCTGAAATTTATATTTACGTCCTTGTCATTTATCACTTCATAACGTATCGGTAGAAACAAAATTCCACCCCTGATGTGAAATAAACTTGTGCACATAAATTACAAAGGTTAAAATTGCGGAGCATGAAAATTTACGTTTAATTAAAATTATACAACAAAGAAGATTATTGAGGTTAAAATTGTGAGATAGAGAAATATTGTATGAGGTGAAAATTGCAAAGTTTGTTATTTTTTACTTTTTGTAAATTTATTAATTTACGACTTTATCAACGATTCAAACAAAGAGTTTACATCATGTTGAATTATGTCTTGATCCAAGTGATTGGTTACTTAAAACAATTAGCTTCGAGAGTTTATAATATCGCGAACTGCTTACCCCAAACTGAAATCCTAACCTGATCGGTGAATAAAACAGATTTACAGCACGTATAGCATCCGTCGAAAATGAGCACTTTTTCCGATTCGAAAGCCGGAAGAATTAGCTGCGCGGGTTGGGGAAAACTGGGCGCCATCGTTACGATTAATTTTCGTTAAACAAAAGCTCCTTCCCTTTTATTAACTACTAAACCAACTAATTTAACCTAGCTAACTTACAGCTTCTTTTCACCATGCTCACACAACACCGAACCAAACAATCCTCGTGCCGCTGTTTTGTCTACTACTACCGCCCTCTAACTAATAAGCAGAACTACCCCCAAGCGCTAACGTGCACATGGTTGATTTTTTTGTTTGAATTTTTTTTTCAAATTTAAATTATTCAAATGTGATTTCGCGGAACTATTATTTAAATTCAACCCGAAAATTTGATTAAAATTCGGTTACCACAATGTTGTATTAGATTTTTTTAATACATATGTATAGTTTCAAATAATGGCTATGTTTTGCTAAATTAATGTTAGATTGGAGTATCGTAATTTTGGCTATGCAACCAACAATACGTTCATTGTTATGGGTGACTTGTGATAAATTCATTAATATATTAGACAAGATTTGCACCTAATTCTTCGATAAAAAAAATGTCTAAATGGGTTTTTTAGAGTCTCTTATTATATTATTGACACAAAAAATTGTATACCGATTTAAGAGCAGTGACCAAAGACGTTGAAGATTTAAGACAAAAGATGGAACAAAGGCGCAAAAAGACTTTGAGTAAAGTTGACAATCTTTGTTTTGCTTACAACAAATGCAGAACATTTCATCATCTTTTGTATTTAAAAATGATCAGAAAACTAAATGAGTACCTAAGTAGATAGGTACTTAAAGCATATTTTATTTATTTTTTTAAGATAATCTCAAATATAGTGACATGATCAAAACAATTAATAAATAAAAATAATAAAAAAATTATGTATTTTCACAGTCAAGTTGATTATAACTTTTTTGATGACCCTCCACATACAAAGCATAGACAAAATTTACCATGTCACTTATTAGACTTTGAGTACTTTGAATCCTTTTTAATACAATGGTCAAGAGTTTATTGCTGAACGTACCATTACAAGAAATTTACAAAAATTCTAAAAATTCTAAAAATTCTATATTCATATACAGGTTGCCTATAGTGAAAATTGTTTCGCTAAGTGGCGTTTTTAACATCAGAACTCGATAGATTGCACATTCAATGTTGCATCATTTTTCAATTTTACTAAGCACCTCCACTTATCAACAGTCAAAAGCCACTTCTAGCTGTCCAATGTATCACTTTTGACAACACGTGACTGATTACTTGTACTATATATCGAACAACGAACTCCGTAAAGCATTATTCAAAAATGAAGCAATATTGCCTGATACTAGCTATAACAATCGGTGCCACCTTTGGTAATAAACACACCATATTCACTATATATTTTGATTATTAAAGCTTCTCCCCTTCGTAGGTGCTCCCCACAGGGGCCGAATTTTCGGCGGTGACCCAGCCGCCCCTGGCCAGTTCCCCTCCATAGTGTCCATCAACAACCCAGACCAGTTCTGCGATGGCTCCATCATCAGCAAAAACTGGGTGGTCACAGCAGCCCACTGCATCGACGCCATAACATCCACCACGACCATAGTAGCAGGTACCAATCTGGCCCACAGTGGTGGTACCACCCATAAAGTAACCAACTGGTTCAACCACGAGGACTACGATGACCAAACACTGATAAACGATATCGGTTTGATCCAAATCGAAGACGAGTTCGAATTCGACGATGTCACTCAACCTACGGAGTTTGTTGATCCGGCAGCGAACGCAACTTGTACTGTTGCCGGATGGGGAGTGACTGACGTTGTTGATTTTCCCGAAGAACTGCAGTTTATTGAGCAAACCGTCTACAGTTTTGACACTTGCAAGAGTTTTATAGGGGATGATTTTACGGAGGGACAAACTTGCGCTTTCGCTCAGGACGGCAAAGGGGCGTGCTTTGGAGATTCAGGTGGGCCTTTGGTTTGCGAAGGGAAGTTGGCTGGGATTGCGTCGTTTATTATTGAAAATTGTGGAGCGGGGAACCCTGATTTTTACACTAAGCCAATTGCTTATGTTGACTGGATCAACGCAAATATACAGTGAAACTGAAGTTATGAAAATATACTTTAAATAAAGGTTGATGGTTTTAAACAAAAATTACGTTTTTTATTGGTGGTTTTAGATTTGTAGAATTTTTCAAAATTTTACAACGTGGTGTAGTGTTGGTTGCATAAGCTTACTAACTTTTCAATGTTTGTAGATTGTTACAGAACATTTTTGAAATTAAAAAGAGAGTGTGCCTCGAACAAAATGATGAACATTTGTTTTTTTTTTTAATTGTAATAAATCCGTTTTATTTTTTTTAAGATATGAAGCATTTAGGCAACCAGTTATACAGATGCGTGTGATCTTTGTCATGCGTCTTTGGGCATTTAGTACAGTTCAAATCTGAAAGGCGGCATGTTTACATGACGTACTGCGACCCTATAATGATTTATAGAAACCCTGTATTAGTGATAGCAAGTTAGATTTTTAACCAACTGAACAAAACTGAGTTTTTTTGTGTTACTAATAAACCTGAATTAAATACTTGTCACCATGTCACTTTAACGCGGTCAAGAAAGTTTGGTTACAACATTTTAATAATAATCAGCAACATATTTTGACGTAAATTAGATATCGCTGCCAACTATGTCTTTTTTGACAAACAGGAACTAACGTGGGGTCAAATTTCAGATTTAGTATTGTGCCATTTTAAATTTAGTGTAGTGTAAGATGAAATCACGTTGTATCAAATATAATTTGCTTTGTAATTTCAGATAGGTACTTTTTTCTAATTTTTGATAATCTGTCACTCGATAACCATTTTCAAATTATTTACTTAATACTTTGATAAATTGTCATTTTTTAACAAAAATGTCAGTTAAATATTAGGTTAAGTGTTTGTATTCTTAGTTGCCTAAAATAAATTTATATTATGAATTGTGATAAGTTGCTTCAATATAAGTTGTAATCAATTATTTTTGTTTAATACCATGGTAAATCATATTTTATTTTATATCAGAATTTACTTTTTCAATGTTTCACAATTTGAGTGATTCCATTATTCGATATTTTTATGACAATTATCAAAATATGTTACCTACCAAAATTCGACAATATACCAAAAAGAAACGACTCATTAATTGCCAAGTATTTCAATTAAAATATTTTTTATTATGAAGGAATTGTTGGTTGCATAGGCAAAATCTAAATTTATGGTTATTTGAACCAAACACGGTTAAATACCAACAATTTAATAAAAAAAATATATATTTTTGACGATCGTTTATTAGTATGAAAATTACGAACAAATTTGGTGTTCAAAATTGATCAATAATGAGTGTCATTATTCAACAATTAAAGTCGACAGAAATGTCAATGTATTGTTGGTTGCCTGTCAATCTAACAAAGTTTGTTATTTCGATTTTAAATTAACGCGATATTTAAAAGTTGAATTAACAGGGTGTTTCTTAAAATTAAAAATGAATTGTAAAACAAATTTAAATAAAGTAAACTTGACAGAAATGTTAGAGTATTGTTGGTTGCATACCAATTTAATAAACATGTCTGTCACGTTAGGCAACCAGTAAAACAAAGTTTAACATTATAAAACTAGAACTTTCACATGGTCAATAAAATAACAGCTTGAGAATTTTTAATAACCCCAATCAGTTTAACAAAATTTGATACATAAAATTGTTAAGTGATCGATAAATCAAAATTATTTGTAATAGCTGTATTATCAAATTATTAATTCACATACACAAAATTAGTTAAATTCAACAAAAAGCGGTTATTGACAAATTGTTTGTAGCTTAATAAAAAACGACCGAGTGTAGCAAATTTTAAATAATTAACCATTTGTTGCCAAAATTGTTATAACGACAAGATTAAAGAATTAAAGGAAGAATGAGTAAGTTAACAATCACAGTAATAATAAAACACAGAAAACAAAATAAAAGTGCACACTTACTATTTACAGGCTTCTTCTTCTGCTACAATATGTAGCGATAGCTCTCCTCTTCTTACAAAAAACAACAACAACGAAACTTTATTATCTCCACAAACTACAAATTTACAAACATGGACAGTTGTATAAAAACTACAGCAGCGTCAATAATACGTTATACCGCCTATTTAAGCCTAAATAATTAAAAAAGATATCCATTTCTAAATAAAGTTGGTAACAATAACTTTACACACTTTGAATGGACGCATCTAATCGAAAATAGCAGGTTCATAATCATAATTTTTCACATTGGAACCAAATTTAAACTGTCCAATGTTAAATTGACAGTATAAGAGTGCTTTAGTTGACTAAAATTAGCAATTAATCACAAATTATAAATTTAAAAAATAAATAATACCAAATATCGCATAGAAAATTTTGGAAGTCGAAAATTCCGAATCATCGACGACTTCGCAGCAACTGCAACAAAAAATTTATGGAGTCATTTACAATGAACTTCCCTCGCTTCTGAAGCACAACGAACACCGTTGCATATCAGGGATTAAAACAAATATATACAAAAAAATTTTGTTTGAGAGGAAGCCATCCATTTTTCTTAGATATAAATAAATTTACCGAAATTAGATACAAAGCTTCTGAAAATTTTGAAAACACGATTGACATAAATATGTTTCAATCTAAGTTTACTTAACACAAGCAAAGTAGAGAAAATTACTTACACATTTCGTGCTTAGGATGAAAATAAGTGTTCCAAGCAGCTACACCAAGCATAATGATCAAGCACAACATGCAGGAAATTTCACTGGGAGATTAAAAGTGAAAAAGCAGATTTGAACTTTTTTTATAGCAACATCCGCCTGAAAAAATACTGTGTAAATACCAAAGAAAATAAATTGACAATTGAAAACGTTAAGGTAAATATTTAAAAATAAAGTAAAATTCAAGAATAATATAAGAACCAAGATACATTTCTCACCTTTAAAGCTTCATCATCAGGAACTGCAACAGCGACCATCTTTCAAATACAGTCCCATGACGCTTGACAGGAAGCCACAATTAGGAAATTGATAACAATAATAATATTAGAAATATTTTATTAATAATTTTAAAACAAATAAGAAAACTAGTAAAATAATAATAATAAGGATGATGAGAATATAATATTTTTTTGAGTTAGAATATTATTTGCTAGCCTTAACACAGCTCGAGTCCACCCTCCACTAACCCCTTTCTCGAAATGATCCGAACAAGTTCCACGACCTGACCATTTTGTATTTTTTTATGAAACTCTATGCCAGACATTACGCGAAGGAGGCAGGTGGAGAGATGTTCCCAACTGATTTTCTAGAACTGTAGGATACACCCCGCGGTCAGTTACTGGATATACACCATGCGTTTCTCCTCGATTTGCTCTAAACAAGATCTCTCTGTAACGAATGTCAGCTGGGCTAAGCCCGGACTGGTATGATAGCCCAGCAAGACAACCATCATCCGGAGATCCGTTGGAGATAAATTGCAGAGAAGGCACAATGTTTATCGAGTAGCGGTCCAGATCCCTCATGGACGTGGGTCTCGTATTCTGGCAAACACTGGACTTCGAGCATTTAGGGTACGTTTAAACCAGGCTTAGCCCTAGCGATGGCAGAGATGTTGTGACCGCGATGGGGACACGAGTCTGGCGGACCGAAAGGTGACACTAAAAGCTGTCTAGTGTCAAATGCAAAGCTGATTTTATAATAGTCGATGAATTGCTTAATACTGTTCACAGTTTAAGCTTAAAATTAATGAAAACGAGTGAATTATTATTAATATACCTAACTTAATTACTAATTGCGCTAGTTTGAATAATAAATAGCAAATGAATTAGTTAATAATATTATGAAAGGTGAAAGTCGGCTGTCTGTTAAGGTCTGTGAAAGCTGCGACGACTTAAAATTGTGTGTTTGGGACCACCTAGAACAAAAATAAATATGAAACAAGAATTATAACTCAATACCGTAAATAATACAATATGCATGATTAGCTGTCTTAGAAGATTACTTACGTCGTAAAAACTGAGTTTAAAAGAAAATTAAAGGAGATATACCGGTTGGTTCAAATCAACTTTAATCAGAGAGCTCTTTAGATAAGTAAACGGTTTGACCATATTGCTATTTTAAATATTTGTCTTATTTCGTAGGTAAGTATTACTGGTTGCCTAAAAATTGGAAACAAAGTTGAACTTTTAAAATAAAACATACAATTTTCCTGGAACTGGAATAACTAAAACAGCTTTCAGAAAGGGGGGAACAGAGGGATTAGATTTGACGTTTCGTTTATCCTACCTACTTGATTTAAGTTCAACTGAATCACCTGCTACAAATCACACGGATTTGTATACGTCAAGGTCGTAATGGGCCAAATATTTAACTTTTTGAAGTTACTACGACATTAATAAAAAATTAGTACGTTTGAATGTTAAAATAACGACACTTATTTAACCCTAATTCCTCATAAATCTACTTACACAGTGGGAAATTTCGTTGTTGAAACTGAAATTCACGACACCGAAAGGGTTCGTAAAAAGTTCGGTAAGAAGTTTTAAAGTCGATAAAATGTGGTAAAATTAAGTAAAATCCTACCCGAACACGGCTTTTCTGCGAAAAAATCCAACTCAAAACGCAACACAGACACCATTTTGAACAAGCTTGGTTTTGAAGTTGGCTCGTTCTGTCAAAGTTGTTACCAACCAAAAATAAATAAAATTGAAGACTAGGATAAAATATAATTTGGTTAAATGGCAAGTTAATAATCGAATTAGTAATCTCAGAATTAAATGATTAGCGGTCTATGAATACCGAATTATACTGTTGCGTGCATAAAATCGGCAACCCGATATACGTCAGTGGAGAGATGGTGCCTATCTTCACAACTAGTATTAATTGTCAAAACTCAATTTTTGGAATGGTCCGGTTTGCACTTGTGTGTGGGATTAATATTAATAGTACGGATAGGTATTGTACCATTGGTCTACAACCATCCTGGACGCCCCCATGCCTATGATAGCCCCTTTCTCATCATAGTTATATTGAAATCATATAAAATTTTAACATGATGTGGAAATTAGCTTTAAAAGATATATGCGAATTAGAAACAAAAAAAATTCAAGTAGATCACAATGTTGCAGAGATCTGTAAATGAAGATTTGTATTATTACAAATTACAAAATATAACTCTACAGATCAGTTTGATGTAAGGTTTTTAAGACTTGACTGTTACACAGTCCAAATTATTTGATTTTTAATTAAGCTATGTAGAAAATGGTAAATTTAACTAAAATCCTACCTGAACACGGCTTTTCCATGAAAAATCCAACTCACAACACAACACAGACCCATTTTGAACAAGCTGGTTTTGAAGCATTTTGTAGTTGGCTCGTTCTGTCAAAGTTATTACCAACCAAAAATAACTATAATTTTCTTTGTACTACATAAAAGTGAACAGTAGAAAAAAACTGTTTAAATTTGAATTAGAAGTAGTATAAATCCATATTTAGTTATTTCGATTTAAATCGAAATTTGTTTATGCAACCAACAATTCGCTTGATTTTAGCAATTTCTTGGTTGGAATTTTAATGAACGATTTTCTTTTATTAAAATTAAAAACAAAAAATGAAGATAGAATTTTCCTAATTGTTCATTAATTCCTACAATGAACGCACAACATTAATTTGATTGTCAAGTTCATTTAGGTTAGGCAACCAACATTGCACTAAGTGTAAAAAATTGTAAGTGACAATTTGTTAAATTGAAAAGACATTCATTAAAAAAACAAAAAAATCCTAGGTCTAGATATCCTCTACATGAATCGAAAAATAGAACAGACTAAAATTTCCGACAAACAGAAAATTCCATAGCAATCGTAGCATTTTAATGAAGAACTTAAGAAGAATTTGGAAGAAAGGCGAAGAAACACAAGACGTAATATTTAATAATTTAATACAACAGAAATATTAGTAATGTAAAAATAACTCTTGTACACACGAAATACAAACACATTGAATCATATCACTCTCATCACTTCATATTTTCGCTAATCCAGTCAACAAAATCCAACGGCCTGGTATACACATCTGGATAATTCTGCTCACAACCCCCAAAAACAAACGACATAACCCCACCCAATCGTCCATCACAAACCAACGGTCCCCCCGAATCTCCAAAACAAGCCCCAGTACCTTCCACCCCAAACCCACACACTTGCTCCGACCCCAAAAACGATTCCGTATCTTCAATAATGACTTGACATAGCTCCAAATCCAGAGCAATTTGTTCAACGAAATGCAGTTCTTCGGGAAATGACACGCTTTCGGTAACCCCCCATCCAGCAGCAATGCAAGTTTGGTTGACTCCTGGGTCCACGAACTCAACGGGTTGGACCAAGTTGTCGAACTGGAACTCGCCGTAGATTTTGATTAAAGCGATGTCGTTCTTCAAGGTGTTGTAACTAAAGCCTTCGTGGGCAATGGCTTTGGAGATGTTGTATTTGGTACCACCGGAGTGTTGGAAATTGGTACCGACTAGGACTTGTGTGGTGTTGGTGACAAGGTCTATGCAGTGGGCGGCGGTTAGAAGCCAGTTTTTGTTGATGATGGAGGCGTCGCAAAGTTGGTCGGGGTTGTTTAGTGAGGCGATGAAGGGGAACTGGCCGGAGGCGGCAGGGGTACCACCAAAAATCCGCCCATGGTGTGGTAAACCTGAAGTGGTGGCGGTAGCAAGAAGTATTATCAACAGCTGTTTCATTATTGATTCCGATTATTATTGTTAGCTTGGTTTTATACAAATTGATAACAAAAGATTGTATATATAATCTGTCGAAAATAGAAATAGTTTATGATGGGCAATTAGTGGCATGAGTCACAATACTCTAAGTTTAATAAGAGTAGGTCAACAACTTTATTGCTGATATAGTACTTAGAACTTTAAAAATTTCCACTTCTTGTTGGTGTCCAATGTATCATTTTTGGCAACACGTGACTGATAAAAAACTACTATATATCGGACAAAGAACTCCGTCAAACACCATTCAACAATGAAACTATATTGTCTGATTCTAGTATCTGTAACAATCGGTACCACCTTTGGTAATAAAAACACAATATTTTGTACATAATTTGATTATTAGAGTGTCGTTTTGTAGGTGTACCCCGTAAGGGCCGAATTTTCGGTGGTGACCCAGCCGCCCCTGGCCAGTTCCCCTCCATAGTGTCCATCAACGACCCAGACCAGTTCTGCGATGGCTCCATCGTCAGCAAAAACTGGGTTGTCACTTCCGCCCACTGCGTCGACTATGTAACATCCACCACGACCATACTAGCAGGTACCAACTTGGCCAACTCCGGTGGTACCACCCATAAAGTATCCAAATGGATCAACCACGAAGACTACGATAACGAAGCACTGACGAACGATATAGGGTTAATCCAAATCGAAGACGAGTTCGAATTCGACGATGTCACTCAACCAACCGAGTTTGTTGATCCGGTAGAGAACGCAACTTGTAGTCTTGCCGGTTGGGGAATGACTGACACTGTTGATTTTCCCGACGAATTACAATTTGTTGACCAAACTATTTTTAGTTTTGACACTTGCAAGAGTTTTGTAGGGGATGAGTTAGTGGAGGAACAAATTTGTGCTTTTGCTCAGCAGGGTAAAGGGGTGTGTATTGGGGATTCGGGTGGGCCTTTGGTTTGCGAAGGCAAGTTGGCTGGGATTGTTACGTATTTTATCGGGGGTTGTGGGTCGGGGTACCCCGATTTTTACACTAGGACAATTCCTTATGTTGAGTGGATCAATAAAAATATAGAGTCAAAGTAAAGTTTGAATAAATACTGATGGATTCAGCAAAATTGTGTTTTTATTTGAAATGAACAAGAAACAAAATGAAAACCAACTAAGTAAAAATTAAAACAAAAATCTTAAGAATATATTTTGACTGTATATGTAATCCGGTAGTTTGTGACTTGTAAAGAAGTGTTTTTTGTTTGTCTATACTTCTATCAAAGTCACATAATAAAGGCTCGTTTAACCGTGTGTAAATTTGTTTTATTGTTTGTAAATTCACAGTTCATGTTAGGAGTTTAATCGTTAACTAGAGCTAACAGAATTTAACAATCAGGAATTTATTTGGATAAATCACTTGCTAGGAAATTTCGTGAAATTCACTCAGACAGGATAACACCCTTTGTTTTTATAAATTTAAATAAGTTTCTGGATGCTTATTTTTAACCTCAGTAATTTTCTTTGCCGTATAATTTAAATTGAACGTAAATTTTCATGCTCTGCAGTTTCCAATCTCACGTAACTTTTTATCTGCACAAGTTTTACTTCACACCAGATCTTTTTATTGCTTTTGCAAATCTTTGCTACTTTTTTTTTAACGTAAATATATATTTTGTTGGTGAATGTTTCCACTGCATGAATTATTATCTGATGTCCAATTTTAATCTCAAATAAGAATTATTTGTGTTTCAAATTTCACAAAACTGTATGGCGAACTTAAATGTTGTTTATTGCTCCGTTTGAAACTTTGACACTTGTTCAGTTGTAGTTTAATATCAGAGTTAGAGAAAGTGAACATTTAAATGGAATTGAAGTTAAATAAGACAGAAGCATGAAGCGGAGTGCGCGGTTCCCTGTCGAGCTGCACAAAAGATGCAGTCTTGCATTGAAGTCAGGGAAGGTCTGGATGACGTGACGCTGTCGATTTGACCCAATAGTCGAGACCCAACCGCGAGATTGCGACCGTAACACCCTGTTTCCGCGTGGTACGTTTCTGGTCATAGAGGGGTGCTGGGCGGCATGTGCTTGTCTATAGAATTGAATCACCGTCGCGATGGAAGAACAGCCACGATTAGGAGCCCCAAACTTCGCTCGTGTTACAACGCCCCCTAGGGGTATTTTTCTCGTGGTCTAGAACGAAATTGCTATAGTTCGATCACCACACTCTTATAGCATTCTGGTGCCACCTGCGGAATTGAGTCGCAGTTTTTTTTTGTCAGTGGAGGAATAAATGATTTTGTGTCCTCCATAAATTTTGTTAGCGGTACTTTTCCAAACTTGGGGTCCACCATTTGCATCTGAACGCATCCCGTCATTTTTCAAAAACACAATGTAGGCTTCCATTTGTTAGATGATCACAGCCAAGGCCAAATTTTTGAATTTTTGAATTTTTCGCGGGTTTTGAAATTATTAATTATGCAATATCATGAGCGGACGTCTTCAAATTGTTGCTGGAAATGATTATCCAAATTTAAGTTAGCGTATAAAATTTGATAACAATCGGTCCAGTAGTTTCGGAGATTATTTGTCTAATAAAAATCCGGACAGAGAGCAGATGGACAGACAGACAGAATGACGGAAACGGGCGATCTATTTCTTCGTTTTCTAGGGGTCATGAAAAGACGAGAAAACGAGAAAAAAATTTTTATTGCTTTTTTTATATTCGTTTTGCAGAAAAGGCACTGTTATGACTTCTAAAAGAATTTTCATTAAAACACAAGACATCTTCATAAATTACCACCCGATTAAGTACGTTGTTACACAATCATTGCTGTACGTGCCCGTTTGGGGAAATATTTTAAATTTTTAACATGGCAATTCCACCACCGAAAGAAACGGATCAATACACGCTTAAATTTTAAAGAACTTAATAAATACGCTAGTCTACAAAACTTAACCTCCAAACACACAAGTATAGTTTTGGGAGGGAATTTTCCCGCCCGAATATGAATATATGTTTATAAATGACTCTAAGGGCGTAGTTCGCCATGGATTTCAAAAACCCCGCTTAGCTGAAATTATGTATACTATTATGACAGTTCTCAACTTCTCACTTGTCACATTAGTGTCATTTGTAACCTGTCATTTAAAGTCGTCGTTTTTATTGTTTTAAGGTTTTTCAAGTGAGAATTAGAATAAGTACGGAAATTGTTTTTGTGCTAGGAAACGAAGACTGTAAAATTGGTTTATTCTGTTGAACAAGACTCTTTAGACATCGTTAAGTCTTGTTATCGCAATGGGACTTCGTAAACGAAGAGTCTGTGTATTCTGTAACCGCTTGCAAGCAGGAATATCTGGCCAGTGATTTAATAATCCAAGAAACATCGTTAAAGGCCCACATTAAAGATGTAATCAACATATTTGTTCGAACTGGCAGTATGGACAAAGGGAAATCTCCTGGAAGACCTTCAGTATCTGAGGAAGATTTCCTCAGCAGTCAAGAGTTCTGTTGCAACATGAAATTGATCAGTGGGTATTGACGAAAGAATGTTACAGAACATGTTTGAAATTAAAAAGAGAGTGAGCATGAACAAAATGTGGACATTTTCAACATTTATTGTGATGTTTAACCGCAATAAATTAAGGTTTTTTCAAATAAGATATGAAGCATTTAGGCAACCAGTTACACAGGTGAATTTGGTATTTGTCGTGAGTCCTTGACCTACTTCGACCCTATAATCATTTAAAGAAACCCTGTATTATACTTTAACCAGAACTCTTGTGCGGAGTCCGCCTCAGGCGTCTATTGATTTCCACTAATTTTGATGAGGGGTTAACCACCCACCGTTGTAAACTTGTCTACTTACTCCGACCTCTGTTTTGAGTATGGTTTGTCTTTATTACGGTACATCGACAAACCCCCGCCCAGCCATCTCGACTGCGGCAAGTTTGCAAGAGTCTTTAGTTAAGCCCTCATAAAAATTAGTGGAAGTCAATAGACGCCTGGCGAAGACTTCGTACAAGAGTTCTGGTCAAAGTACAGAATATAACTCACAAGATCTAACCTAGATGTCCTAGAAACTGTTATTCCCGAACTTCGGGGCTATAAATGTGGAAACTCGCTTTAGACGGGGCTAGTATTTTCTAAGATATGTGATTTTGGCAAATGATATATTCTCTGAGAAAATAGGGGGCGGGTGAGCGGGGCTAATACGTGCTAACATAAGTGTGATTTTGGCAAATAATAAAGCTTCTAAGAAAATAGAAGGCGGGTGGATGGGGCTAGTACTTGTTAAGAGAAGAGTGAATTTGGAAAATGACATACATAATGTTGTTAGTACTTGCTAAGATATGACTGATTTTGGCAAATGATATTTTCTCTGAGAAAACAGAGAGCGGGTGGGCGGGCCTAGTACTTGCTAAGATATGACTGATTTTGACAGATGATATACTCTCTAAGAAAATAGAAGTCAAATGGGTGAGGCTAGTACTTGCTAAAATAAGACTGATTTTGACAAATGATAAATCCTCTAAACAGAAAGCGAGTGCCTAAAAGGTATGTCACTTGCCAAAATCAATCTGATCTTTACAACTTACTAACCCCACCCACCCGCCCTTTACATTCTTAAAGGGTATGTCATCTGCCAAAATCAGTTTTATCTTAGCAAGTACTAGCCCCGCCCACCCGCCCTCTATTTTCTTAGTAGATATATCATCTGCCAAAATTAGATTTTTATTAATACATCCGGTATTGTAAAGTACTTGCTAAAATAACACTGATTTTGGAAAATGACATTCTCTAAGAAAATCGAAGGTGGGTGGGCGCAGCTAGTACTTGCTCAAATAAAACTGATTTTCACAGATGATGTAACCTATAAGAAAACAGAGGTCGGATGGGCGGGGCTAGTATTTTCTAAGATATAAGTGATTTTGGCAAATGATATATTCTCTGAGAAAATAGAGGGCGGATGGGCGGGGCTAGTAATTGTTATAAGACAAGACTGAATTTGGAAAATTACATACACTCTAAGAAAATAGAGGGTGGTCGGGCGGGGCTAGTACTTGCTAAGGCAAGTAATATATTCTCTGAGAAAATACTAGCGGGTGGGCGGGGCTAGTACTTGCTAAGATATGACTGATTTTGACAGATGATATACTCTCTGAGAAAATAGAAGGCAGGGGGGTGCGGCTAGTACTTGCTAAATAAGACTGATTTTGACAAATGATAAATCGTCTAAGAAAACGGAGGGCGAGTGCTTAAAAGGTATGTCATTTGCCAAAATCAATCTTATCTTTACAACTTACTAGCCCCACCCACCCGCCCTTTATTTTCTCAAAGGGTATGTCATCTGCCAAAATCAGTTTTATCTTGGCAAGTACTGAAAAACCAGCGGCCCCGCCCACCCACCCCTTCTTCATTCCAGTGACTACTCTCAATATTGTTCATTTCTATCTTAGCCAGTTTTAGCCCCGCCCGCCCACCCTTTATTTTCTTAGTGGATATATCATTTACCAAAATCAGTATTATCTTGTCAAGAACTAGCCCCGCCCACCCGCCCTCTATTTTTGCAAGGTATGTGATTTGCCACAATCAGTCTTATCTTAGCGAATCCTAGTGCCACCCACCCACCCACACTTTATTTTTTTAAAGAGTATGTCGTTTATAAAAATTGCTCTATCTTAATGGGACTAACCCACCCATCCACGCTGTTCTCATTCTAACGATTTTATCTGTGTTCAGTATGAGATCCACCTTCCATTGGGACTAAATAAAATGAATCAATGAAATGGAGGTGGGGTGGGTGGGCGGAGCTAATTACATATATGTTAATAATAATATTAATAATAATAATAATAGGACTTTATTAAATAATAATAGGCGAAGTCTAGCCATTGGCTATTCCACTTAACCTTAGATTTATAAGAAAATAAAACTAAGCAAACAGTTTGTACAGAAAAACGGATTAAATATCTAGACAGGAGTCAGCTAGGTAATGATCAAATTAAACAATTTAAACTAATTAAATCTAAATTAAATGAAATGAAATGAAATTAAAATTAAATTAAATTAAATTAAATTAAAATTAAATTAAATTAAATTAAAATTAAGATTAAATTAAATAATCCA